TAGTAGGCTAGCGAGGAAAGGGATCGGTTTCGCGGGCAGTTATTGCTTCGTCGCCTTCTTATATTATCGTTAGGGCGAGCGTAACAGTCGCGAGTATACTAGGTTAGTAAGCGTATATCTATTAGTATAGATTTAATATTGCTTATACTTAGCTCGAGAAGTTATCGTAGTACTAGTTATATTAATTAGGTATATATACAGTTCGGATATCTAGCGACAGCGATAGCAACTACCTCTTAAGTAACCTATAGCGACGACAAAACCGGCGACAAAACCGGCGACAAAACCGCGACTACGACAAAACCGGCGACAACACCGCGACGACGACAATATAGCGATAAAGCCGCGACGACGATAGCGATAACGACAAAGCTACGGCGACGACACTATAGCGACAACGACAAAGCTACGACGACGACGGTATAGCGACGACGACAAAGCCGCAACGATAGTATAGGGACTACGACAAAACCGCGACGACGACAAAGAAGTAGAATCGATAGATACGGCGATAGCGATATTAAATAGTAAAATAAAAGAGGTTCTTCTAGAGGCGAGAACGTTAAGGATACTAGACCGATAAATTGTTCTAAGACGTATACTGTCTACGTCTTAAAACAAACGGAACGTCGAGCGTCCTCCCGTCCGATCGAGTTTATACCCTCTATGTATATTGTATACCGTACTTAAATATATATAGGTATTAGAACTCGGCGCCTTTCCGGTTGTTAATACTAAGGAGTCCGACGCGACGCTTAAGGAGTCCGACGCGATGTCTTTATATAGATATCTTCTTCGAGACCTTTGCGCTTTCCGTCTAGGTTAATCGGGCTGCCGATAATACCTTTGTTCGCGAAGTAGTAGTCGTTAATACTAAGGAGTCCGACGCGATTTGCGCTTTCCGTCTAGGTTAATTAGGCTACCGACGATGCCTTTGTTCGCGAAGTAGTAGTCGAAGATAATAGTACGAAGCTGTTATATAGTTATTTAGGACTATTATATAGTTATATATAAGGAAGTACTCAAAAATAATAGTACGAGGCTGTTTTAGTAGGCCGAGAAGATTAAGCTAGATAGATATAATTGTTCTGAGACGTTTGCTATCTATATCTCAAAACAATCCCGACGACGGCAATTAGGGTTAAAGATTACCTATAGACATAATTGTTTTAAGACGTAGATAGTAAACGTCTTAGAACAATCCGAACGACGACAATTACGACGACAATTACGACGATAATTACGACGACAATTCCGACGACAATTCCGACGACAATTCCGACGATAATTCCGACGATAATCCGGACAAAGAAAACGCAATTGTTCTAAGACGTATACTACCTTAGGCGGCCGACGAGCCGTTGTTTATATAGTAGTACTTAAATATAAGAATACAGTATTGTTTTAACAGGCCGAGATAATAATAGCGTAGTACTATATTAGCAGGCCGAGAAGAGGAGAGTACGGGGTATACGATTTACGCTTTCTGTCTAGGTTAATTGCGCTGCCGACTATACCTTTATTAGCGAAGTAGTAGTCGAAGATAAGAGTATAGTACTGTTTTAGCAGGTTGAGATATTAATATATAGCTGTTTTAGCAGGCCGAGATAGGATTATAGTACTGTTTTAGCAGGCCGAGATAATAATAGTATAGTACTATATTAGCAGGCCGAGAAGAGGAGAGTACGGGGTACGCGATTTACGCTTTCCGTCTAGGTTAATTGCGCTGCTAACTACGCCTTCGTTAGCGAAGTATTAGTCGAAGATAAGAGTTCGGGCTGTTTAGCAGGCTAAGAAGATATTAATATAGGGCTGTTTCGGGAGGCCGAGCTAATTAAATAGCTTTGCTAAACGACGCCGTTGTTTATAAAGTAGTACTCTAATATTAGAATACAGTGCTGTTTTAGTAGGCCGAGATAATAATAGTATAGTACTATATTAGTAGGCCGAGAAGAGGAGAGTACAGGGGGGGGGGAAGGGGGGGCACCCGATTTGCGTTTTCCGTCTAGGCTAATAGGGCTGCCGACTACGCCTTTATTAGCAAAGTAGTACTCGAAGATAAGAGTTCGAGGCTGTTTAGTAGGCTAAGAAGATATTAATATAGGGCTGTTTTAGCAGGCCGAGATAGGAGTATAGTACTATTTTAGCAGGTTAAGATAATAATAGTATAGTACTATATTAGCAGGCCGAGAAGATTAGACAAGCCGAGAAGATAAGGCAGGCTAAGAGAATCGAATAGTTTTGAGACGTATACTATCTACATCTTAGAACAATAGCTAATTGTTTTAAGATATATACTATCTACGTTTCAGAACAATAGCTAATTGTTTTGTAGACAGAATACGTCTTAAAACAACGCCGATAACTATACTTACGACAACTACTTACTACAACAACGATACTTACGACGATAACTATACTTACGATAGCCAAATTCGAGACAACTATACCTACGGCGATAACGACGATACCCCTAATATATAGAAGAACCGCGGAAACGCAATTGTTTTAAGAGGTATACTGTCTACGTCTTAGAACAATGCCGACGACGACCCTTACGACGACGACCCTTACGACGACGACCCTTACGACGACGACTCTCGCTATACGCGTCTTAAAACAATTGCCGGTAAGCGTCGTAGTGTCTAGGTAGCGCTAACAATTGTTCTAAGACGTATACTGTATACGTCTTAGAACAATTCTACTCGCGACGACCGTACTCGCGACGACTACTCGGCGTATACGTCTTAAAACAATTGCGCGAGGCATACATCTTAGAACAATTCGACAAGCGACGACTATACTCGCGACGACTATACTCGCGACGACTACACTCGCAACGACTATACTCGCGACGACTACACTTAGTATATACGTCTTAGAACAATTCTACTTACGATACCAAACTGCCGACGGCGTACGCGTCTTAAAACAATTGCGTAAGGTATACGTCTTAGAAAAATTCGACGAGCATTCTAACGATATTCGCGACGACTACACTCGCGACGACTATACTCGGCGTATACGTCTTAAAACAATTCTACTCGCGACGACTATACTCGGCGCATACATCTTAGAATAATTCGACAAGCCTTCTAACGATGTTCGCGACGACTACACTCGCGACGACTATACTCGCGACGACTATACTTAGCGTACGCGTCTCAAAACAATTGCGCGAGACATATATCTCAAAACAATTGTATAGGGTATACGTCTTAGAATAATTGCGCAAGGTATATATATACGCTATTAATTGTTTTGAGACGCGTACTAGCTACGTCTTAGAACAATTCTTAGCGCTACCTAGTATATAAGGTAGATTTGGTCTACGTATCGATATAACGACAACGCAACGAGATATAACTATATACTTAGTAAGGACTAGGGATAGATTCCCCGTATTAAGCTTATCGAGCAGTCAAAATATACCGTTTCGAAATCGAGTAAGCCGTTAATCTTAGACTACAGTTCGAAATACTACTATTTTAAGAGGAAGACGTTAAGATACGGAAAGATTGTTTATATAATCTATACTTATTAGACCTCTACGAATTACCTTGTACCGATATATACGCTGTTCCGGGTCCGATGTAGTTGTAGGTTTACGTACTATCGCTGTAATTCTCTTAGTATAGCTAGGTATTAGCGGCATACGATAACTTAACAACGCGACGTCGTATCGATATAATTTTTAGTTTGCCGTACTCGTAGAGGACGGTAGTATTAGCGCTAGACATAATATTAGTATATCTTAGTATTGCTATTAAGTTGGTCCGATACGTAAGGGAGCTTCTAGTACGCGTACGTAGCTTAGCTTCAGACCCTCTTAAGCGACGACCCTACGATACCCTAAAAGTCAAGCCTAAGGCATTATTCGAGCTCCGAGGGTTAGAAAGGAGATAGATTATATCCTTAAAAAGCGAGGGTCAAACTAGTCTAAGTAGATATCTACTCCTTTTAGTACTAAGATATAATTCTTTCCTCTATACCCCCTAAAATCAAGTAGAGTTTTATTATAGAAGATAAGCTTAACCTCCTCTGCTTTAAGAGCTAGGACCTACTTAATATATCGCTTCCTATTGTCTAAATCGAGCTTCTCTAAGGCAATCTTGTTTAGGGCCCTCTTCCTATAGATTGGTCGCTTATCTACTAGATCCGCTTAGTAATAGGCTTTGCCTCTAAGTATATTATATACCTACTAAGTTCCTAGCTCTTAGAGAGGCTTCCTAATTAATATATTACGGACTGAATCTATAGAGTAATTAGTAGCTTAGGGTTAGCTTTACTACTTCTATTTAGCCCTTATATCTTGCCTAATCTTTAAAGAAGTTCTCGATCCTAGTTCTATACGCCGAGGAGCCCCCCTCCTAGGTAATAGATCAATATAATCGAGTATCTATATAAAGGAATTCGAGTTAGCTCTAGTTTTAGCCCTATAGATAAGTCTCTAGGCTGTATTAGCATTTATACCTAGTAGGACGGTCGTAATATAGTCAAATGTGTATCTAGCGATAGCGTAGAGTATAAGGATTGCAACGCGGGTATTATAATCGATTTCTATAGTCTATATATTGAATAATTACTCTACAAAGTAATAGAATTTATCTTAAAGGGGGGTGGATTTTTGCTAAGAAGACAGACTTTCGGAGGAGCGGAGGTACCTGTAGAGATAGGTATCAAAATATCATGGATGTCATCGTCTGTGTTGTATCAAGCACCAGGAGCCAATAATGACGAAGCCTTTTTCACACTCGACCGGTATCGGATGAACCTCGGGCTCGCCTCTCACCTCTCGGCCCTCTCCAATGGCACAGCTCACTAGGAGGTAGGAGGTACGGAGGTAAGGTAGGAGGTAACCGGAGCTTGAGGTTGGGGAGCTGGAGCTCGAGCTTCACCTTCCTCGTCGTGCGTGCGGGGTGCTCCTCTTCTTAATTGACATTTTCACCGTCCGTGTCCTTTGTCCTTTGACACCAACATCGTAGTCAACGCCGCCAACCACTTCATCCACCACCTCCATCAAGTACCTGACCTGACCACCTCCCATCTAGCATAGACCATGTCTGACCAACTTCACAGGCTCGCCATCCCCATCGGTATGGACCACCTCCACCAGAAGCCGCCATGAGGCTATTCTTTGCTCCAACATCCAGACATGATGATCAAGGTATTTCATTCAATACGATTGAGAGCTTGAGCCGGTGGACGTTTGCAGATGTGACCTTGTCTTCCAACCGCCACACCCGTGCGGAGAAGGCAGGGCACATCAAGCGAATGTTCTGAGATTATACGGCAGAACTTGATTATCTGGATAATACCAGCGAAAGAATCATGCTTTCATTGCGACTCCCCTCTCGAGGGAGACGCCGTTACTAACGTTGGCAGTGACGCATTTCCCATCCACTTCACAACGAAGTTTCAAACAACATCAAACACAATGGCCCCTCCAGCGATGAACTTCCAGGAACCCGCTCCAGCTGTTGACAGCTATCCTGCCAAGCTTGCCAACCTCCCACACGGCGCTGCGATCCCCGCCAATGGCAAGGCCACTGATGCCGCTACCATTGAAGACATGGCTGGCAAATGGTCCACATTCAAGTTTGCGCACATTCGCGAATCTCAGGTGCGGAGCCCACCAACAGCATGCCTCCCTGTGGGAGTGAGAGACATCTGCTGACTATGTACGTGCACTCATAGGTCTCCCGTGCCATGACTCGTCGCTACTTCTCCGATCTGGACAACTATGCGGAGTCAGACATTGTCATTGTTGGTGCCGGCTCTTGCGGCCTCTCTGCCGCATACTGCCTCGCCAAGGCACGTCCAGATCTCAAGATCGCCATTGTCGAAGCCGGAGTTGCTCCAGGAGGAGGCGCTTGGCTGGGAGGCCAGCTCTTCAGCGCAATGATCATGCGTAAGCCAGCTGATGCCTTCCTCCGCGAGGTCGGCGTTCCTTTCGAGGAGGAGGGGAACTATGTAGTGGTCAAGCATGCTGCACTCTTCACAAGCACAGTGTTAAGCAAGGTGCTGCAGTTTGACAATGTCAAGCTGTTCAACGCCACCACTGTGGAGGATTTGATCACCAGACAGGGACAAGATGGACAGTTGCACATTGCCGGTGTGGTGACCAACTGGACTTTGGTGAGCATGCATCACGACGATCAGTCGTGCATGGACCCCAACACCATCAACGCTCCTGTCATCATCTCGACCACGGGACACGATGGACCTTTCGGCGCCTTCTCTGCCAAGAGATTGGTCAGCATGAAGCACGATGGTCTTCCCGCGCTCGGTGGTATGCGCGGCTTGGACATGAATACTGCCGAGGATGCCATTGTCAAGGGCACTCGCGAGATTGTGCCCGGTCTCATCATCGGTGGCATGGAGCTCAGCGAGGTTGATGGCGTAAGTGATTTTTCTTGTCATCCACTGCCACAGAACGAGAATACTAATCAGACTTCAGGCGAACCGCATGGGACCAACCTTTGGTGCAATGGCCCTGTCTGGTGTCAAGGCCGCAGAGGAGGCACTCAAGGTATTCGATATGCGTCGTGCTGAGCGCGCCGAAGAGGCGGTCAAGGTCAATGGCAAGTAATCAGCAACGAGTCGAAATGTTGCCTTTGTGACAAACGATGCCCACATCAGAATGGAAGCAACGGGGCATCATCTTACGACCTTACGCTCTTTTTAGCTGTACACGAATAAAAATTGTAACCCTAAAACGGTATCCGTACATGTCATGAAAGCTGTTCTGCCACCATCATGAATCTATCATCAGACCAAAACCCATGTCAGTAGATCTGTGACAAGAATAGACAAATCCTTGCCACAACTGTGAACGGGCAAGTGAGGAAGATGTCTGCCGCCCCGGATTGATGCTTGATCACGGCACCACCAACCACCATCCCGTATATCCAAAACGCCACACTGGACATCTCTGCGTAGGTAACAACAGCGTCAGCCTCCGCCATCAATTGTCTCTCCCACTTGCTCAATATGCCCTTTCGCAAACATATCCAATAGCCCCCGTCCTTCCCAAAACCTGCCAAAGACAAAGTAAGTCAACTTTTACTCATTCAATATCCATTGATCCCATCATCATTATCTCTCGATGTGAAAGAAACCAAACCAAACCCCCTAAAAAAAGAATGAAAAAAAAAGAAAAACTCACCCTTTCCCATAACTCACCAAAATCTCCTCTCCAGCTCTAATCCCCCCCTTCCCCTTTCCCCCCTTTTTATTCTTCGAAACCACAAAAACACCCACTCTCCTCTCCCACTTCCTCCCACCAACTCTCTTCGCCGAAGGCACTTGAACAAAACAATCCCCAAATTCCGCATTCGGGCGCTCAGCAACGCCTCGAAAATCATTCGCGCAGCGAGCCTCATTCCCCATGCGAGCAGCATCAATACTCAGATCCAATTCCCGATCGAAACTCAAATCGTAATCGCTGGAAGAGTCGCTGTCGGAGAGGGAATTGGTGTGGACGAGACCGAGGTATAAGAGGATGAATTGGGAGGGGAGGAGAGGTTGGGTTGCGAAGAGGCCGAGTTGGCCATGGGCGGGGTGAGTGGACGGGTGTGTGATGGGGAGGATTTGGACGTTGGGGCTGATGGGGGAGAGGGAGAGGGAGGAGGAGGGGATCAAGGGCCAGGTGGACGGGGAGGAGGAGGGTGAGTGGGTTAGGAGGGGACGGGAGAGGAGTGCGGAGGTGGTGTAGGTTGGTTCGGTGAGGAAGATGATGTTTTGGGGCCAGTTGGGGGGTAGGAGGGAGGAGTCTTCTTTGATTTCTGCTTCTTGCTTTGCGGGCTTGGCGGCAGGCTTGTATTTGGGTTTGGAGACCATTGTTGTTCTTGTTGTTCTTGTTGTTGTTCATCCGTTGCCTTTGGATCGTGACGGGCCGGCCGGTCTTGTTCCAGCGTGCAAGCTACAAGCAGTTCGATCTGGTTGAAGCCACATATCTGTGTGCATAACAGACATTCAAACGATAGGCGGGAGATGTTTGGCAGTTGGAGTGAGGGGTGATGTAGGTAATTCACGTGCGGGGCATGTGGATGACTAAGCATCAGGCGATCAGGCAGACATGTCCTATCCATCCCTCTCATCACACAGTGACACACACTACCTGACATCCTTTTAATCCCTCAGGTCTTTCTATCCCTTCCATCTCGCAATTTCGCTTGCTCGCTTGAAATCTGACCCCCGTACTACTACGAGCTGACCAGTGACCACCCACATCCTTTTCGCCACCGGCACGAGGGCTTCAGGCAATTGCTGACATGGACCAGTCCGATACAAGTTTAGACGTTCCTGCGCTACCATGCCTACCAGACTTTATTGGACCTATAAAGAATCTCCTCCCAGGACTGCGTAGGTTCGGACGCCACGGATATGACCATGGGCGTCGACCTCTCCATGTGAGAGCTCAGGCTCTGTTGCTCTAGCAGTCTAGCTTGCATCTATCTACCCAGCTGAGCCTGGCGGATTGCGTGGGTGAGCGTGATCGATCTGGAAAAGAGGACGCTATGATTCGTATGTAGCTGGGTATGTGTTACGCAGTGTCGCAGTCCTAAACCAATGCCATGGCTGAGCCGCAGCGCCATGTGAGGCGTACGGCCGTTCAGATGGTCAGACTGGACGGACGGCCAAGGCAAGATCAAGGTTCTGACCACGATCCATCCCAGTCTGAGCAGCGGATGTACGAAAGTAAACACCTGTATGCAGCTAGCTGACTGCATCACGTTGCAGTGATTGATTATGGATTGAATGCTTCTTCTTGTTTTCCATCCTCTGCTTCCTCCTCTCTTGTCTTTACTCAGATTCTCAGAATAATGCCTTCGCAGTATGCTCCAGACCATGATGTCGACTCTCGGATTGCTCTTCTCGCCGAAGCGTTGGAAAAAGAGCCAGAGTTCGCCGACAAAGATGTGCCAGGATTAGCAAAGCTACTCAAGGACTACTTGGATCCCGATGTCGACGTCAATGGATGGGATTCTGGCAGAATCGACTTCAACAGAAGGTTATTACAAGTGTTCAAGGACTCGCCCGTGGACAACACATATCAGGACCTCCGAGAGCGCTACACAGATGAGGAGAAGAACCGCCTGGATAAGTTCATTGCGGGCGAGACTGCCGAGAAGTGCTCTCATGGCTTTCGAAAAGGTCCATCGCTGGGCACGAGGAAACAAATTCATAACTTTCTCCATGGTGCCAAGGACTTTTTCGGCAAGCTTTTGCACCTCGACGACGATGAAGAGCTCATGACGATCAAGGAGAATCTTGAGTTCCAGAACTGGGGACGAACTCACAGTAATACCCCAAAGTACACAGTGGTGCCTCGGAACGTGGCCGACATTCAGAAGGTGGTCCGTTTCGCCAAGCAAGCCAACCTGGGAGTACGATGTGCGGGCTATCGACACTCATGGTCGCCCATCTTTGGAAGAACTGGCGAGATCATGATATCCACGCTGGACATCAAGACTGCCAGTGAACTCCCGGACATTACCGCTCTTCATCTCCCACAGGAGAAGCCCAACGAATTGGAGACGATTGAGCTTCTTCCAGGTCCTGCCCGTGCCGCTGGCAAGCACTTGGTACGCATCGGGTGTGCAACGACGAATGAACGGCTTCGTAGATGGTGCGTGAAGCACAACAAAGTCACAATACCACTCAACATCATCATGGTGGAGATCACTTCTGGTGGAAGCAATGGTCCTATCTGCCATGGAGCCGGCATCAAGCATCAGACCTTGAGTGATCTCGTTCGTAAGATTGAATACGTCGATGCCAATGGCGAGCTGCAAAGCATCACCGACGAGGATCCCGAACTTCTCACCGCCGCAAGTGGCGCTTTTGGACTGATGGGCGTGATTACTCACTTGACCCTCGAGTTCGACACGATGACCTATGCCGAACTGAGGCCGACGAAAATGCCTGTCATTCAGACCATTCCTCCCCCTCCAGGATTCCCCGAAGATCGAATTCCACGTGCTCTGCGACCCAAGACGCCCTTGACGGCAGCAGAGAAGCAATTCGCCCAGGAAAGATTCGAGAAACAAGCCAATGAAGACTACTACGCGGAATGGTTCTGGTTTCCCTATGCTGATGAATGTTGGGTCAACTGCTGGAACAACACGACCGACGATTCCGACGTGGAAGATTGGCCCGGATCCTTTGCCGTCTTCTTGTCCTTTGTGCAAGAATTCACTCTCAACGTGATACAGTACAACCACGTCCTCACCGAGCTCGTCAACAAAACCGGCATCGCCGAAGCCGCCGTAACCCTATTATCGAGATTCGTCATGATGAATTTGCCCGAAGTGAAAGAGGGCGACAAAGCGATCAAAACGCATCTGATCAATGGTCTGCACTTTCAACGTGCCATTCAAAACATTCGAGTCCGGGATATGGAAGTCGAAATCCCCCTCGTGCCTCGCGTGGATGATGCGACGAAAGTGGATTACACTCTGGTGCAACAGGCGTGGTGGGATGCGATTGTCAAGTGCTATGAGCACAGTGATACGTGTCCGCAACGCTTTCCGCTGGAATTGAGAATTATGGGCGGGAGTAATGTACTCTTGGCGCCGCAGTATGGGAATCGATTGGGCACGGCTGCGATGGAAATTCTCACGCTGCAGAATGCTGTTGATATTTGGCAACCGTATGCTCAGGAAGTCGTTGATCTTTGGTGTTCGTACAAAGATCGCAATGGAGTACGACTCAAGACTCGTCCTCATTGGGCTAAGGAATGGTATGTCTTTTTCTCTCTCTTTCTTTCCCTCATTCACCCCCATCTCTCTTCTGACAAAAAAAAACCCCCCAAAACTAGGCACGAAGGCTACACCATTGACGGTAAACCATGGCTCGAAAAACTCAAACATGAAGATTATGCAGCAGAAATTGTAGAATTCAAGAGAATTTTGTCTCGGATTGGGAAGAAGCATGGATGGACGTTGGAGGATATTCAAAAGAGATTTTCGAATGAGTTGTTTGATGGGTTGATTTATGATTTGTGAGGTGAGGTATAAGAAAAGAGAAAACGAAAAGCGGGAAGACTTGCCCTCGAATCATAATAGACTCATCCAGACGCGGGTTGAAAAGACTGACTTGATCAAAAACTATTCTTGTTCATGCTCGCGTGTTGTGTAGGGATACCTAGTGTGTCGTAACATGTCATGTCAGGTCCGCCCACGACCTCGAATACATACCTAACCTACCTAGTGCGAAACAGGGCCCGTTTTGTGGAGGCAGAGACACGAGTCGACAGGGCGGGCGAGACTACCTCCTACCTCTATACCTACGGTAGGTACATGTAGGTCAGATAGGTATACACCCGCAAGTTACGCCTCCAGGAGCAAGTTTCATTCAGGTTTTGGTATGTCGTGACCTCTCTCGAAGGGTGGTGAGTGGTGAATGGCGACGAGGAAGACGGGAACGGTAGGGGCCGGCCGAGATCAGAGACCTACCAAGGTATTCGAATACTCATCATCACACCACCCATCACTACACTTCTTCTTCTTCTTCTTAGACCTGATTTCCATCGAGATTCAGCCCACATTTGGTGAATTTCCATCGTCTCGAATTGACTTGTCATCAGCAGTAGGAGATAGTGCCGAAGAAACACGACGACAAGTTGGCAGATGTATGTACCCACATCAAGGAATGCGACGTGAAAGAGAGTGAGAGAGATAGGTTAGTATGTAGTTAAAAGCGGGCGCATCGCATATTGACGCATGCGGTAGAACTAGCACGGCCCACTGCAGCATTCTTGTGTCTCCTTTTTCGATGGAGATGACCCCGTTCCCGTTTACTTGATACCGACTAATTCATACTACCCTTTTCCCTTATCCTCATTATCATCCTCATCATCAGCAGCAGTCTCTTGTGCTCTGCCTTAGGGTACTAAGTGGTAGTTTGGTGGTACTCCTGACTGGCGCCCTAATAATCATCGAGAGCTCCATCCTCGATCTCCAGAATTCGAGTGTCTCAGTCACACCACAAGTCCGTGCATGATAAGGCCATTGGGTGAGTGTTGAAACGAGGCACGTCATGGCCGCAACTCCACTAAATATATATCATCTACAGTATCTATATCAGCAGCAGCAGCAAAAAAAAAACATACGCAAACTGTCTCCGCTTCACCCCCCAAACCGTGAGTCTTGCTTTCCTAAAACTGTACGAACTCCTGCACGATTCAGGACAATATCACGATAGCCTACTTCCTGCAGCCACATCTCCGAAGCTACTTTTCTAGCCTCGCCAAGTCCTGCAGTGCCACGCATCGTATCGATCTAACACCTTTTTTACTACATACAGTACCGGCACCTCCTAGAATGCCCGCCATGCCTGAGCAACATCTTCCTCTCATCATCACCACTACCAATACCAATTCCAATTCCAATATCAACAATACCAACAACACCTACTACTACTCCCCTGGAGACAATCTTCCGCAGAGAACCTACTCCCGATCAACATCCGCCTCGCCTCCCCCATCGCCTACCGCGCGCAGAAAGCGCACCATGTCATCTTCCACATCGAGCTCCGCTAGCGCCTCACCCATTCTCGAGCCACGACGTCTCTCTATCACATCTCCTTCAGCAGCAGCAGCAACACCACATCCTCGCCCTCGAAAGGCAACGTGTACCTCACAATCGCAGCTTCCGGAGGCGATACCAGAACACCACGTGCCGGAATTCAAGCTACAATCATCATCTGCTGCAGAGCAAGATCCATTGCAGATCAAAGCCCATTTGACGGAGCTTCTGAATTGCGAACAAGTTCGTAATGATCCGATTATGCGACAATATGTTCAATCTCGTTTGTTTGAATCGGAATTGGAGTTGAGTATGTTTGCACTCTTTTTCTTTTTCTTTTTTCTTTCTTCTTTTCTTTTTCCTTTTTTATACTTTTTTTCTGTGTTCAAAATGCTAACGTGGATGAATAGAGCGTCAACGACGAAGAAGACTTAGCCTTCCTACTGCTTCGATACCAGAATTCGCAATCGATGATTCTCTTCGTTGAGGGGAGATGATGTTGATTCAAAAGCCCGGATGCCGCAATGGAGTTTATTGTTATTGTTATTGTTACTATTGATGATGATGATGACGACGATGATTAGCGTGGAGTTGGAAGGCGTCACACCTACACACAGACAGACAGAAAGTGCAGGTGATTGCGGTTTGGAAAAGGAAAAGCTCACCAGCAGCAGCAGCAGCACACTTGGTTTATTTCTTGGTTGCTATCGTTGTTAGCAAGATCACAACAGAGGAAATTTCTTCTCTCTGTTAAAAAGTCGCAGTGAAAAGTGTAAGATACTACGAAGAAGAAACAGTCGAAGCAGTCGTCGAAGCAGTCGTCGAAGGAAAAGAGGAAGAAGCAGCAGCACAGTCTTCTAAAAACCACCTGTATCCTATACATATACCTATCTGTATTGTATAACAGTGCATACTTAGGAGCGATCACTTCTTACTATCCAGCTCCTAGCCGTAACCTGAAGCTACCAATGCACTCGTACACGGGAACGACAGGTATTAAAATTACTATAAGATACGCTATCTACGTAGCCGCTTGCCCTCCGCTGCCTAGGGGCGCGGAATATCCATCCTGGTGTGCGATCAATTGTGCAAGAGGGTGAGAATGCGTGCTTTATGTATGTACGTGAATATATACAGTATAAAGACAGGGCTTGAAGGGTCTAGCTGTTCCATGGAGGTAGGAGATAAGTACAAGCGCTTCTAGAAGCCGTTGATCAGAAGACTCCATCTCAGGTTGTCTTGTGGCACCCGTGGAGGTAGTGTGGGGAGGCGGAGAGAGGGGGAGGGGGAGGGGCCGATCGGTAACAAGGCTCTACGGACATGAGACATCATCCAGTCCTTTCATCGACGTGTCTTTCTACCTCACCTCCTACATCGGTTGTCGGTACCAAGTTCTCTTCAGCCACCGACGAGAAGTTTGAAAGGGAAAAAAGGTCTTCGTCACCGCCGCCACAGCCTGAGTGGAAGGCAGACTTCCCGCACTCTCTCCGTCGCCAACATTGTTACTGGAGACGGTGGCAAAAGCTTATACCACGATTGGCATTCACAAGCATTGAACTCTCTCTCTTTCTCTTGACTGTAGGAGGTACTGCTCCCTCGTCGAGACTTGGCGACATATCTCTCCGGGATGGACTTTGAAAAGGATGAAGGAATCCTGATACCTACGGATGCTGTATAGCCTGCTCAAACTGATGGACCGCCAATTCCTGCCTAGGTACCTATGGATGATGCGCCTGGGAATACCACACTGTGACACTACCTGTACCTTTTCATGCTTCAAGGTACACGCCAACCTGCCGTGATATCCGTTCTCACGAGACCCCTTCTCGTGCCCGGCATTGGAGATACTCTCCCTCTCTCCGTCTCTCTCTCTCTCTCACACACACACACACACACATGTACGCACGCGCGTGCTAAGTCCGTTCGCTCCTCCGTCCCGCGGACTACGAATGCGGTAGGTAGGTAAGTTGAGAGTGCAGCGTCTAATCATTTAGCCTGACGATTGCTCGCAAGCATCAGAAAAAAACAAAAAGGATCATGTCTGTCACCTCTTCACTCGCAGCTTAACCTCTTCTTTACCGACTCGCAGATTCTGCCCAGCTCGGTAGTTGGCTACACTTGTCTTCCTTGTGGCTGTCTCGCTGCTCACTCTCCAGATTCCCACAATGGGTGATATGGGCTCCTCTCGAATCGAAAGAGTATGTGTTTTTTTTTTTTAATCTCCCTGCCCTTCTTTCTCTCTGACCTAAGCCAGCCTATTGTATATATCATCATTTCACTAATCCGACCATCGCAACTTTTTTTTCTTTTCAGTTACATACCAATGACTTGGAATTGGGTGCTACAGAAGCTGTTCAACAACACTTTGCCCGTCACGTCGTTGCTTCCAAGCCCGTCTCGCAGCGGAAACTCAACTTTGAACATTCCAGACCGAGATGGTTGAGAGAGTATGTCAGATGATCCGATTTGGAAAGAAGAAGAAGAAGAAAGATGTTCGTGTAAAGAAAGGGATTGCTGACCATGATCCTCTCTCTCTCTCTAGATGCATGGCTGAAGCAACTGGAGTGTTTTTTTATGTCTTTGCGGGAATTTCTGCTACGACGGTCTTTACTATCAATCAAGAAAATGCCGCGCTTGGAAGTATTTTCCAAATTGGTAAGTTGTATTCTTCCATCCCAAAAGAAACCAAAAAAAAAAAAAAAAAAAGAAAACCCAAAAAAACCATATCCAACAGAAAATAACAAGACTAACTCCTTCTCCCCCCCTCAAAACCAGGCGCCGCATTCGCCCTCGGCATCGCCTTCGCCATAATAACCTGCGCCTCGACATCCGGCGGCCACTTCAACCCGGCAATAACCATCTGTTTCGCAATCTGGCAAGGTTTCCCCTGGCGCAAAGTTCCCCACTACATTTTCAGTCAAATCCTCGGAGCATTCATAGCAGGTATACTCATGATGGGCATGTATCACCAACAACTCTCCGAATTCGAAACTTCGTTAAGGGAAGCGGGACATGTGGGATCGATGGTGTTTAATGGTGGACCAGCGAGTGTATTGTGTTCGATACCGAATGGGAATCAGACGAATTTGGGATATTTGTTTTTTATAGAGTTTTTTGTGGATGCTTATATTGTGAGTTTTCTTTCCTTCCCTTCTCCCCTTTTTCTTCTCCCTCCCATCCACTAACCCCCCAACAGGGCATAATAATCTGGGCAGTCCTCGACCCCGCGAACCCCTTCGTCTCCGCCTCCTCAGCGCCCTTCGCAATCGGCCTCGGCTACGCAACAATGATATGGGGCTGGGCACCGGCCACAATCTCGACAAACCTAGCACGCGATTTAGGCACAAGAATCGTGGCAGCAATATTCTACGGCGGGGAAGTTTTTTCTTTTCATAATTACTCGTGGATTGCGATTTTGGTGAATATTCCTGCGACAATTTTCGCGACGGCGTATTATGAGTTTTTGATGAGGGATAGTTTGCGGAAGATTGGGAAAGGGGCGGCGTTGCATGAGCATGGGGAGGAAGGGTTGGCTTTGCATTTGACCAAGACGGAGATTGCTACCGAGAGGGGGATGATGAATGCTGCTGCTGCGGCGGCTGCTGCTTCTGCGGCGGAGGAGGGAGCGGAAGAGAAGATGCGATAGGGGGTGTCAGTTTTCTAAACTGCTGCTAGCTATCGCACCATTATGCAAATTATACAATGAAAGAAAGGGAATCGTTCCTTCCGGCTACGGCAATGGCGCAGTCCACCGAGCACTGCACATCCATCCACTTCAAAAGTGAGTGTGAAGCCCCTCCCTAGTACGGCGAATTGACAATCTCATTTCTACTGAGATAGCTCCCTCTTCCCTTGGCTCGTTTGGGCGTGGCCATGATACTCTCTCGCGTGGGTCTCTGTAGTGCCGCCCTCCGCACCATGTCGACCTCGTTGGGGAGAGCGACGACAATATTCTTGTCGCTGCCAAACCGGAAATTGTCGGCCTTGACCTCCTCTGCGTATCGCTTGATGTGGTAAGGATCTTTCCGGCCCGCAAGCACCTTCTTCAGTGACCACGTGACGATGAAAGGACCCGTGGCCGTGATGATCGTGGTCTCGTCTTTGCCTTCACCCGTATTGAACCGGGCGGGCGTGAAAGCCATGCCGGTGCCAGTCTCGTGCTGGAACTGCGCAATGTGTTGAGGTGTCAAACCAAGGCGTCTGGGCAGTGGCTTGTGATCCTTGGAGAAAGGCTTCTCGAAGCCGAGTTTGCCTGCGTATTTACTCCCTTCCTTCTGCTCCGCGTCGATGAGAAGCAAATATGTGCGAGTCGTGGCCAGCACCCATCTACCATCCGCACTGACATCAAGACCGATGATGGGGTCGCCCAGTGCCGGGAGTGCAGTCTTCGCGTTGATGCCGAGTCGGTCAAACATGCGAATGTCACCCTTGTTCGACGCGACGGCAATGTAGCCCTGCTCAGTGGTTGCAGCCGCAGAGAAATCATTCTTGCTGACATACTGCTTGAGCTCAGAGTCGACAAGCTTGTTGCCGCTCAATCGAGGATCTACACGATAGAGTGCGTTCTTGGAGAGACCCAGGAAAGTCTGTTCGCCCGTAGTCTGCGCGAACTTGTTCTCCGGCGCGAAGATGTTGATCGGGATATCGTCGTGCACCTTCCACTCATCCACCACCTTGCCGACCTCCAGGTCCATGCGGTAAACGCTGTTGGGGTCGTCCGGGTTCTGCAACACCATGTTACGATCTTGTGCGTGGAGCATGACCTTTGATGGCGCGAACTTCTTGCCCTTGAGGTTGGCGACGTTATTGATACTGGTGTTGAATTCGAGCTTGTTGTCTTCAGTATGCTTGAAGACGCCAATCTTGTTGCCTCGCACCACAAAGGAGCGGTCCACGTTTGCGCCCACAGCAAGCTGACTGTTGACATTGCCGTCAGCGTCGAGGTTGACCGGATCGTCCTCGTCCTCATCCGAATCATAGTCGGGTTCTGAGTGGCGATCTTGAGCGTCTTCAAATTCATCTTCATCTTCTTCCTCCTCCTCGTCTTCCTCGGCAGCTTCACGCTCTCGTGCATCGTCAGCGGCATCTTCAATGACGAGGTCATTAAAAGCGTCCAAAACATAGTCTCGCTCGGCGTCTTTGACCGCTTTGGCCCATTTGGCCTGGTTGAGATGTTCCCACAGTGCTTGCATCAAGCCCTCCTGAAACCTCTCTTCCGTCTCGCGATCTTTGAACTTGAGCAACCACGAGTATGCAGAGCCATCTTCGGTGTAGTGATTGAAGATGAAGCTAAGATACTCAAAGTTGAAGACCGGGTTGATGTCTGGTGTGACTTGTTGTCCCAACCACTGCTGCTTCTCGCCCGAAATCTGCAGCCAGTATGTCCAATTGCCCGTTTCTGTCACTATGACTTGCACATTTTCGTCTTGTAAGATGAAGGTGCCCGAGGTGAAGTCGAACAGATGCAGCTCGGCGTCCTCATCGGCGAGCGTCTCGGTCGCAGTGGGTACAGATCGTGGCGCGGGCGCCTTCGTCGGCGTCTGCTGTGCGACGTGTGCAGGCACGACCGCCTTCTTAGTTGAATCGCGCACCATGATCGCTTTCGGCGTCGCCTTGCTCGGTGTGGCGTATTGTGGCTCTGTAAGGCGCTGTGCGTTGGGTGATAAAACCTTTTGTTGATTCGGTGCGGGGCTTGTCGACGGACTGGCGGTGGGGATCTCAGGCTCGTCGTCGAAAGAGAATTCGTCTAGGTCGCCTTCGGTGGCGTACTGATGACTGCGACGGTACTTTCGCTCGAACTGACACTGCGCTGCAACGAGCTCAAAGGTAGTTGCCGACTCGGGCCTCGTGCTCTCGTCGCAAACAAATTCGAAGAGATCTCCCGAGTCGCCCGACAGATCTCGCCACGCAACAACGACAGCACCGTTCTCCTTGAGATCGACGCGCAGGTGCAGGCTCTCGTCGAGAAGGAAGATCTTCTCGTCCTTGTCCTCGAGCGTCGCAACCGCGCCGTCCTGTCCGCCTTCGTCTTCGAGCAGTTCCTCCTCGCCTTCCTCGTACGCGCGCTGAATCACCAGCTGGTAGTGGAACTCTTGGCCGGTGCGGCGGATGTAGGCGGCGGCGTCTCTGAAGATGAGCTCCGAGTATCCCTTGGGCGAGCGTGGACGAACAATGTAGAGCTGTCCCTGGGGAATGTCGGCCACGTTCTCTTTGTCGCCTTTTCCAAACAGGTATCCGGTCAGGGACTTAATGGCGAACATGTCGTCGTGTCGTGGAGCGGGGGGGCGGTGGTGTTGGCAGCATGTCGGAGGTGTCGTGCTGAGGATGGATGGTTTAGGTAGGTAGTTGGTGGCTCGGTCGGTGGTAGCTCTTCTAATCTATGTACCAACTGGACCCCACGTCACTAGAACAATTTACGCGAGATGAATAGCGCGCTAGACAGAGCGAGGCAGTTCTAGCCTAGCCTTGGCAGCAGGCAGATACAATGTTGGAGCAACGCCACCTTTGTGGCTGGTGCCTCATCGATGGTCTTGGCTTGGCGTTCTCACTCATATCTTCACATATGTCTCTTCTCTCCTCTTCCCCCAAGGCATGCCTTTCCAAGACTACAGTTAGTTCACGAGGGATATGTTGGATCATGGCAGGGCCTGTCGGTTGATGTCGACCGAGTCCGAATCTCAACAACAACAACAATGAATATATCGTGAACAGTCAGGTACAGTACATACAGTACATATTAACTTGATCTCATCTTTCACAACATCTTCATCTTCAATAGTCTGGCCACTCCCGATCCACTTGTTCCCGCCACGCCCGAAATCCACCTTTGATATCCTTGATGCTGACGCCCAAGTCTCCTCCCTCACCCTGCAAAAGATCGTGAATCGCCTTGGCCACAAGTTGACTATCGTTCCCCTCTCTGCAGACAACATAATAATCACTACTGCCGTGCAACGCACCAACCTCGAGAGCTCTCTGTATCCAGGCCTCCGCATTGCCCTTCCAAGGCACATTCAGACTACCCCTCAATGCGCACATCTGGTACTGTGTTTCGTCTCTCACGTCAATGAGAGTGTTGGAGCCGTCACGTGGGAGCCGGGCAAAATCTTGAGCGCTGATTCGAGAAGAGGGTGGCAGGACTTGCAGAGGGTGTGTGAGACCGCAAAAAGCCTGATAGTCGAGGGAGCCCGAGTTGAGATTGTCCCGAGTGATGGTAGCTTGAGAAGAGCAGCAAGCACAGTCCAGACGACGCGTTCGCATCCGCACGCTGCGGAATTGTGGGGTGGAGAAGGCGGAAAAGATGGTGAGAGTTGGCCGGGGAGGTGGCTCTTGAGGTTGAAGGGAAGGTGAGGGAGGCAGCGACATGAGAGCTGCAAGGTCGACAGATCCGTTGGAGGATTCGTGGGTGCTTGGTTTGGATGTGATGAGCTTGATGGCTTCGAGGGCTTGGAGGACGCCCATGAGGCCCACGACGGGACCGAGGATGCCGCCCTCGCTACAGGAGAGAAGCGAGTCTGCTGGCGGTGGTTTGGGGAAGACGCAGCGGTAGCAGGGCCCGCCTGCGAGATCTCCCGGTGGACGGGGCGGATTGTTGAGGACTATCAGCTGCCCTTCGGTCTTCAGGGCAGAGGCAGAAACGAGAGGTTTACCGGTCAGAACACAGGCATCTGAGATGAGGTAGCGCGAAGTCGGGTGATCTGTACAGTCGAGTATGAGATGATAGCGGGAGAAGATGGGAATGGCCTTCTCTGGGGTGAGATGGAAGTGGTGACGCTGGTAGTTGACGAGAGGATTCAGCCTACCGAAGATATCAGAGGACTATTCTCGTTCGAATTCACGTTGGCTGGTGGAGAGAGAGAGAGAGAGAGAGGGTTTGATTCGAATACGTACTCGGACAAGTAATCGTATGCGCTGTCCACTTTGCTCATGCCCACTCTGGAGGCGTTATGTGCGATCTGACGATGCAGATTGGACACCTCCACCACGTCGCCATCCATGAGTCCGAGGGTGCCTACGCCCGCCGCTGCGAGGTATGCTGCAGCGGGACAGCCCAGTCCGCCTACGCCCACGACCAGCACTCGAGCATTCTTCAGTCGCAGCTGGCCGTGCAGACCGACCTCGGGCATGATCATCTGCCGTCCATATCGCTTGTACTCTTCACACAGCAGTGGCCAGCGACCACTGCTGACTGCCTCGGGCGCGACGAATTCGCGTCCTTCAATTCCCGTCTCTTGTCGGATGGCGGTTGCAATGCCATCGAGGCCACCATCTCCGCTGCCACCGCTCCCACCAGACGCCACCGAGGCAGGATACAGGTCCGAGGCCAGCAGCTGGTCCGTCAGCACTGACGAGATCTCGCCAATCCACTCGGCAGGGAAGCCGCCTTGATACGAGGCATTCAGCAAGCGAGTGGTCTCGACACGCTTCTCCGCCAGCGCCAGCTGCTGCTTCAGCGACGCCAGTTGACTCTCCGTGGCAGCGATCTGCTTGCGTAACAGGGCGACGTGAGAATCCACGTTGGCCATGGCTACCATAGCGGACTCGGACCAACACGTGTAGAATACATGTAGTTCTAGTACATGCCTCAGGATAGGTCAGTTGTCAACACTCGCAGCGTCCAAGTGTAAAGTGAAGTAGGAGGTAGCGGAGGTCAGCCCATCTTTTCTTAGCTTCACCCAGGCTCTGATAGGCACATGTCATGTTAGGTATGCCACAACCCGCCCGGCCCGCGGATGAATGGTTCTACCGGTCGGTCATCCTCTGCTTCTCTTTTCCGAACAGTGAACACACACACACGCATACCTCAATAATAAATACCTCATAACCCCTAACCCCTTACACATCTACCCCTTCTCCTCTCACGCACATCCATATGCATTATATGTATGTGGCCTGATGCAGAGCACAGTAAAGTACGGTACAGGTAGTATTAGCCATGACATGCCATCAGTGCTTCCGATCACACCCGCCCTTCCCGGTCAAAAGACTACAGGTACTAACTTCCTAATCCTACACAGTACAGTGCATCACACCGAAACCTTGGACGACATTTTCCCCCATGCACCATCAACCATGCTCAACTCCAGCTGAATTTCCTCGCCATGCTGCTCGACAACCAGGTGAGAGCCTCAGAGAGCCACTTCGTCGTATTGATGATGCCAATGGAATGCTGGCGAAAGCAGATGAACCCACTTTGACCTGCCGGCAACATCCCCGCAAGAATTGCTGTTATAAATTGCATCGCTGCGCAGACCGCATATGATAGAACTACTGAACATCCACTGCTCCGCGCACCTGATGAAACGATCATGGCGTTGATAAATTCATCTCAGGCTGGATGATCCAAAAAAGAAAAATGGCAACAAAAATAGAAGAATCTCAGCCGCAGAGAGACATCAGCCTGACAGAGGTCTTTCACATCGTTCGCGACGAGTTTGCCGCTTACTTTGCTTCCATCGAGAGCTCGCGTCGGACCTGCATAGAGACTATGTGGAAGAAATTCGTCTCGCGCTGGCGAGCAGCAGAATCCCATACGGCAGTACATGGCAGCAACAGTAACGACCCGCACTACGAAATCTATCAGCCCACAAGCAAACACACTCATACCGTCATCTTCTTGCATGGCCGCGATAGCACAGCAAAGGAATTCGCGCCCGAGCTCCTCGAGAGCGAAGACTCGTATAGCCGAACTCTTTCCCAAGCACTACCGAATGTGAGATGGGTCTTTCCAACAGCTCCCATCATCAACAGCGCCCGCTTCGAACAAAATATGAGCCAGTGGTTCGACATGCATACAACTGAGGACCCTCATTACGGAGAACTTGAGCAAAATCCCACCCAAGCCATTGATATCATATATCATGTGCTCGCGAAAGAGGCAGTGCTGGTGGGAGGGTTCCACAACATCATCTTAGCTGGTATATCGCAAGGCGCTGCGGTAGCCATCCATGCCCTACTCAAACAGCAGCATACGCTGGGGGCCTTTCTTGGCCTGAATACGTGGTTGCCAAATCCCCCGGCGATTGCGCATGCGGGTAAGAAGTGGCCCGAGGCTGTGAAGACGCCAGTGATGCTGGCGCATACGAGGGACGATCCGGTCATCAATGTCAAGTATGGCGAGGAGTTGAAAGCGCACTTGAGGGCATTGGATATGGATGTGGAGTGGCATGATTATTGGACGAATGATGCGAAGACGGCACACTGGATCCACGAGCCCGAGGGTGTCGATGATATCGTGGCATTTGTGGAGAGCATTTGTCAAGGGAGTTATGCGATGAAATGAATGTTTATATGGTTGTATATGTACGCCTGCAATTCCGAGGAACTCGTAAGCATCAAATTCCATATTTCACTCGATATAAACATCTAAAAAACACATCCAATTGCAAAAATGCCCGCTTTTGAATATCCATTGTTTTGTTGCGCGTTCGAACTCTGAGGAATCAGGATTAACGCGGTTTCCCAGAAAAGCTTGGCGTAGAACGCGCTAATACGAATGGTAGGTATCTTCAGGTGAAATCCGCTCCCTCCTTTCCACCGTCCACTCACTGTACCACCAGATGAGATCCATCTCAAGCTCTCGACTGCTTCCGCGAAAAGCAGGTCTACTCTACCCCGAGCATAAACAATTCTTCTGCAAAAAAGATGCATTGGAACAAGGATGCAACTTCACTCATGTCCTGCATGACCAGATGCGAAAGTTTGCCATCAAAGAAAGAATTTCATAATCCATTCGCAAACTGGAAACATCCGACCCACTCAATATTCCCCCCGAACCTATCTTCTATACTCTGCGTAAGACGATTATACCTGATCTGTTCTGGATTGAAATTTCTCGCATCCTGACAGTACTAGTTGATCAGGCAAGGCATCATGGTACAAGATTGGGCTGATGCCTCTGTGGAACTTTGCAAGCATCGGTGCAAGGACAAAGAGGCTTGTAAGCACACGATTTGCTGTCGACAACATGGAATCAGAGACAGGGCGAGAATAGGTGCTGCTGTCGCTGCTGCTACTGCTGTCGCTGTTGCTACTGCTACCGCTACCGCTAATGCTGCGGCTGCTGCTACTGCTGCTGCCACTGCTGCGGCGGCGGCTGCTGCTACTGCTGCCGCCGTCGCCGCCGCCACTGCTGCTGCTGCGCCTGGAACTACGGATCCTGGGAGCCAGGACGATGGAGCAGGAGGTAATCAAGATGGAGGCGGCCAAGACCAAGGCGACGCGAACCAAGACGACGCGAATCAAGTCGACGTGAATCAAGACGACGAGAACCAAGGCCAAGCACCCACGGTCGAGACTAGGGCAACTCCCAAGACGCAAGTGGAGATGGATAGAGAGATGTGTGCAAATTTTGAAACAGAAGCGACATTTGGACTGGCCACTGCAGACAACATACCGGAATCTTTCGACTCCATTGCATCAGAGGAGCTACGCAACATCGCACATGCTATTGAGGCATGGCAGACTGCACGAAATAACGTTTTCCAGGCTAAGCAAGAAGTGACGGCCACAGAAGCATTTACTGGCTCGCTGCAGGACGATGATGAGTTCGGAGATGAACTGCAGGACCGACCTACATTCGCACAGTACGAAACATGCGAGAACGCGTTGCTTCATGCGTTGCAGACCCTTCGCGATCAAGGTAATGCACTGCATGCTGCTCGGAGAGCAGACTGGCGAGCCCGTAGCTCTAGACAGTGGCTGGACGCACGCATCGCACTTTACAATAATGAAATTACTGTACAAGCAAACAAACTGGCCACTTTGCCGGAAGTGAAGGCCGAGGCGGGGAAAAAACTGGTCGTGCGGGAAAGAAGAGCCAAAGGTCTTTTGGGACCAGGATGGGTTGGTTCGTGGCAGCTGTCTCCAGTCAATATTGGCAGGTCGCATCTTTGGCTCAAGCAAGATCGTCATGGGATCATTCGAGATCGTGTGGTCATCAAAGACACCTTCTTCCCCGCAACTGGTTCCGAGAGCCTGTGGGAGGATCCCAACTTGTGGACAGGCGGCAAATGGAGTGATGCGAATAGCGTACCGAACGAGGTGCAGGCAATGTACAATCTTCGTGGCAAGATTGGCTCCGAAACAATAGTAAAAATTCGGAATTGGAGGTTGAGGAGGGCGGAGCGGATGCACAGGATCATGACAGAGTACTGCCCTGACGGAGACTTGTTTGACCGGACGATGGACGGCTTTTCAGACAAGATCTTATTCATTCGACAGTTGCGGCCGGACCTCGATTTGCGTGCACCCGAGGGCGTTCAGATTTTACAGGAACTCCAAGACCCCAACCATGTTACAGCGTTTCACGCAATACGCGCCGAAACTCCTTATATGGTTCCAGAGCCGTTCATCTGGTCGGTGGTCGAGGGACTGGCGATAGCAGGGCTGCTGATGCAACGGGGCGAGCTGGACAGTGGTGGTATCGTACCCTGGGATCAGATCATTCACTGCGATTGGAAACATGAGAACCGTAAGTAAATCGCCTTTGAATCGTTACCCACGACTGACTGACGTCGAATAGTGTTCGTAAGCCCGCCAAACGAGACGCGATACTTGGGCTATCCACAAATCAAGCTCGGGGATTTCGGATTTGCTCTTATAATCGAGCAGAACGATACGCGAGTTCCAGAAAATTTCGCGATTCTAGGCACTGCCGAGACCATGGCCCCAGTAAGTTGACTTCTACAAGAAGAGAGATCACAGTGCTGACTGTACGACACAGGAACAGCACATGTATACGGCAAATGACAATGAGACTCCAAAGATGATGAGCTCTGCAACAAACGTAAGTATTCGAGTCGACTCATATACAGGTGGCATCAATCACAAAGGCTAACGAGCACGAAAAGGTCTACGGCGCGGGTACAGCACTCTGGCAACTCCTATGCGAGACCGGTATGCCTCTTCCCACAGATGCAGCTGGTAACATACTGCAACCAGTCCTCAGCGACCCAAACTGGTATCGACAAAAGAATTTCGAACCTCCCGCCCTAGACGCCACAGCCACAGCCTACTATTCCCCCGAACTAATCGCATTAATCCGCAGCATGTGTCGCCACGACGATCAACTCCGACCAACATTCAGTCAAATCCTGAAGCGAGCACGCAAATTCGTCAGCAGCCCAAACTATCCCGCTCGAGGGCTCCGTGAAGCTCCCGCTAGTGATCCGCGGTATGTATCAGGACCCTATCATCTCCGCCTACCGAGTGGTTACAAAGGAGACAAGTATCCCTTGGGACTCGCTTTGAATACCGTCCCGATGGACACTTTTCTTGGTTCCGACGGCAGGTTGCCTTCTCCACCTGCTTCGCGTGGTGATGTTGGTGATGATGAGGATAGTATCATGTCTGACGACCTGGGAGGTGGACCTGCTGTTTATGGACGACCTCATCTTGCAGCAGATGGATCGGTTTAGGGAGTTTACCTCTTTTATCACGCTATGGCTTGGTCGGCTGGTTACAGGTTGGTTTGATTGGAGGATTATCACCCGGCCCCCTTTCCTTGGGTCTTGGAAGATATAATATTCCGTGCTTTGACACCTTTACTCCCCCCTCCCCCTATCCCCTTTATATCTACAACCCTTTAAAAAAAAGAACTACGTAAACTGCATTTTATACCTCATCAACGAACCTACCCATCTACCTACTACCCCTTCATCCTCAAATCTAGACCCTTGGCCAATCCCAGTGTTTTACTCTCTCTTACTCTCCCCATGAAAATACCAATGAAATACAAATATCTTTTATTATAAAAACACACCCTCGACAGTACCTTCCTTTTCTCATTGATTAAAGAATATACATTCGCGGTAGGAAACTACCTTACCTAATCCTTAACAGAACATCTTCCCAATCCCTCTCCTCTATCCATATTACACCCACATCAAAAATCTCCCCTCCCCTCCCATCTTTTTCGTCCTTTCCTTTCCTTTCTTCTCCCAATCCTCTCCTCCCCCCTCCTAGTAAAAGAATCCATCCCATCAAGCCACAATCAACACAAAGACAAAAATCCCCAAAAAGAGCGAATTCTGCAATGTAGAGGAAAATTTCGTCGCTCCACCGGTATTTGTTGTGGAAGGGGATTGTGGAGATTCAGTTGGGTTTTCTGAGGTTGGGGTGGTGGTGTCTTCGTTGTTGTTGGTGTTGGTGTTGGTGTTGGATTGGGAGTTTGGTGGGGAGGAGTTATTATTATTGTTGTTATTATTGTTGGTGGTGGTGTTATTATCATCAGAAGAAGAAGATGTGTTTGGAGGTGTGTCGTCGTCATCATCATCATCATTTTCGTTATTTGGCGTGTCGGATTGTGAATTGCCTGGTGCACCATAGCTTCCTCCTCCAGTCGAAGAAGGCTCGACTGCTCCATGGCCTTTACTCTCAGAAACCTCATTAGGCAAAGCAGTCGCAGTAGCAGTAACCATAGGCGACCCAACCCTCGAAGACGGCGCAGCAGGTTCCGGAGTAGGATATTTCGAAGCATGCGGTAGCGTAGGTTTCGCGGCCTCGGAGCGCTCAGTCAAAGCCAAAGGGGGATCCCAAAGACCATTATACCACATTTGGCAACCTTCAAAATCGGGGCTGAGTTTAGTAATTTCCGGCGGAATAGCGAGTTGAGGTCGAAAATTGTTTTCATAAATGACACCGCATGTGAAATCTTCCAGCCCGAATTCACAGTGGTTTTGTCCGACCCAGGCGCTGTAAGGGATGGGATTGTTGAAATCTGCGTATTGTACAGGATATCCCGTGACAGTAGCTGTTTCTTGGAGAAATTGGAAATGGTCTTGTTTGTAACGCAAGCTCAAGACCGACTCGGAGGGCATGGCGAGAATGGCGTTGGAAACGACGTTACCAAAAGTTTTGGTGCAACGGTCTACGGCGAAGACTTTGCGGATGCTGATGTATGCTGTTCCAGATGTGAACGTGTGACCGTCCACGACGGCAATTTGGGCGCCATGGGCGGGATCTGGACCTGTGTAATTTGTGCCTGAATACGCGGTGATGACTGCACCTTTGCCGTAGTGTGTTACAGTATTTGTGGGTGTCGTCGCACACAGATCTCTTGAAGTTGATGTCGGGAAGTAGACCAGCTCCACGCCTTCGCCGTAGATGGTACATTTTCCACAGCCGTAGAGGGATGACGTGAATGCGGCATTTTGACTCGCTGCAGTCTGATTGGCACAAGGTGGCGTTGCGATCGTTGCGACAGGCGCGGGTGTGATGGTGGCAGCAGCCGCGACCTGACTATGATATGTCGACCAGAGCTGATCGCAATCGGCAGGCGGGATGATACAAGTAGGGTATGGTTTTTCCCACGCAGGGCTCACATATGTGTTCACAATGGTCGTCTTCCCTGTGATTGAACCTCCCGACGTCTTTGTAGTAACACCAATTGATTTGGCCGGCGAGTATGTGACTCGTGGGTGGCCATCGCACAAGGTCGTCGCATTTTCATATACTGTGTATGTTTTCACTTGTTTACCACCACCAATAGGTTCAATTGTCGTTGAAAGGACCTGATACTTCTTCGCCCAGGCTGAAGACCCTTCGTTCCACGATTTGACCGCAGCCAAACATGAGCTTCCATCGCCAGGACCAGATCCCGTGGAAGGAAGCGCGGTAATTGTATCTTTTGCCAGAACGCTTAATGTGAGAGCTGCCAACAAGACTGAGGGAACCTGTATAAGTCTCATTGTTCCAGGCAAGTGAAATCGTCCAGGTGAAGTGTCCTTAGCCGTGGAAGCCCCAAAAATTGGAGGTCCAGCAAGTAGACCGACGAGTGGTCGTAGCAGAGAGAGACATGGACGCCATACTCAAGCTCGGCCGAACTCCGAAGCTCTTCGACGTGCACACTTCGGCGACACAAATAGCTATAAGCCTCGTATTGGGAGGAACCACTAAGCTCTGGTTGGCCGAGTATGGATTAATGGGCCGAAGAGGTCGTTTCGCAGTGCCCTCTGCGGGATGTTGATGCATCCTCGCCAACCGTAGTGATATTTCTTCGATGTTTCAATATGTTTCTTGTTGTCGATTTCAACTAGGAGGTGGTCTCAGCACATGTCGCTCGGATGTTATATACACACACAGGAAAGTAATATACTGCTGAAAGAGTTTCCGGCCTATAGTATAGTGTCGACAAGGACCTCACCCGCTAGCCAGGTTCACAGTGCTGCCGGCAGAAGAAGGATGCGAATTCGGGTCTCGGCAGCATCAGCATATTTCGGTTCATCACTGGCATTTCTTGCACCCTAGTCATCATAATCGTATAGAGCTCAGGATGCTGCTGAGTGAATGCTGACGTTGTTGTAGTTTGATGTGATGATAAAGCAAAAGGTTTGCCCAGGCGGTGAACGACGCTACATCGAGACTCCTTTTATTTTGCCAAGATTACAGCATATGCCTGAGGACTCAATCCAAGTGTAACATCAAGATTGAAGGTCAAATGGGCCAGTCAGTGTTGAAATCGAAAGCATTCTAGCAGCAGCAGCGACATCGTTCTGGCTCAATAATAATAGACCTAGTATTCAATACGCATTTACGTGGTACGAGCGTACCAGACTTCGTTCATCGCCGTCTTCTGAGCCTACAGCTCAGTGCACGTCCTAGTCCTTCACTAGCTCTATCTAGAGACACGCTCACGACAGGAGACAAATGTTCGCAAATCGAATTAAAAGCGACTCTCGAGCCGTTCGTGCACGCTCTTCGAAAAACAGTAAACATCAATGTCCACAGACTGGAATCAAACCCCTTGTTTGCAACATCTCGTATAATAAACCTCAGCATATCGTACATAGGTAATAACCAGAAAGCCGATGATGGAAATATCACTGCCCACCAGTCTCTCACACTCATTATTCGCCCTGTTCTCCAAACGCATCCAACTGATCCACCCACCCACCCACGCTAAACGTCCAAACACCGTACACAATACAATAACCACAAAAAAAAAAACCATATAAACCACCCCTCCTTACTGTCCAATCTGTCATGAAACCTGAATTGACTTGGGACGAGATATCGATCCATTCTTGTTCTGATGATTCGTAGATTTCGAAACTCGATTGACCAGCAACGAGCTCTTGGGTCCCATGCAAACTCGTTTGGTCAACGAATTGGTATCTCGGCAATAACCTATACGAAGCAAAAAATGAAAAAAAAAAAATAAACACACCATCCGTTAATACGAGTGAGAGACGAAAAAAACAAAAAAAAAGATAGTCCGGCGTGGTTTAGGTATGTACTTACCACAAACTTGGAACGATAACGTCTCGTGTCGTCGGACTTTGAGTGGACAACATTTTTGCAAGTCGGTATATTTGGAGCCTATCACACAGTATTAATACGTTCCCCCATTTTTTGGTTTTGTTTTAGCCCCGAGGACCTAATGCGTGAACTAAAAAATGTGATCCGAATGGGACGGACGGCGGGACTTACACCAGCACATTACGCAATATCGGATGTGCCCGCAGGCATATTTGACGCGGACGTGTTTGCACATTTCTCTCTCTCTCTCTGTCTCTCTGTCTGTCTCTGTCTCGATTCGATGGGTTGGAGAATGTGGTGTCGTAGTTGTTGTTGTCGTTGTAGTTGCACAACGGGGCAGAGTCGACCAGGGGTGGCAAGATTCGAAAAAAAAGCAATAAAAAGAATCCTTAAGAGTGTACGGACGTCCACCGCGAGGGTTCTTGTAGCAGAGATAGGTATGATGAGAGATCTGTAGCAGTGTGGAACAGGCCGGGGGGTTACTTTCTAGGTCGTCGAGGGTTGATCGTGGCTGAGGCCGGCCTTATGTTTTCTCTAACAGTAGGCACGTGGACTGGGATCTGTACGAGCGGGCCCTGTAGACCATCAACACAGAAGGGGGATGGGATGGGGCGGGATTAGGTAGTTGGGGAATGGTTGCTGCTTGGCGCGATATATGTAAGTGCAGGCTGGCAGGCCCTTTTGGAAGCACGCTAGGAGGTTAAAGCTTCAATTCACTATGTAACTCTTTTATACTACTTTCTGTTGTTATAAATCAACAGAGAAAGGCTGTTTTTTGGGGGAATGTCAGATCGAATAATAACAACCGTGGGGGTTTGTTATTCTCTCCCGATCGTACCTGTAAATGCAGTGCAACCAGCCATCGAGTACCAAGAGTCGATTTGTGTCCAGAAAAGCGCGGGATAGGCTTCCCAAGAGCCGGTCTGGTCTCTCTCTCTCTATCTCTCTTAGAGTGATGAGTTCGGAGTATTTGCCGATGCAAAGTGAAGGACTATGGCACTTGTGCGGATCAGAGTAGTGCGTGCAGGGTACAGGCAGGGAACAACTTCACTAGGTCGTCCGAAGTGATCCAGCTCATCCGCCGTACGATTCCCCCATTCCTCGCTGCCTGCCCGTCTTGCCACAGCTCAAATACAGTAGACTCAGTGAGTTAGTACTTCAGTAGTAGGTAGCCAGGAAATGAATGACTCTTCTCGGCCGAAGGATATCTCATTGAAGCATACTCCAAAGCAGCCCATACAGCAGGGTGGCTTCGTATAATGGAAAAAAGCAGATGGAGTCCGAGTAGCCAATCATAGCAGCCACAGAGAGAGCAGCACGGTCAAGATCATGGGTTTGCACATCTAGGCGCTGACTTTCCCCGTTCCGCGCCTTTCAGCATGTTCCCGGTCTTCCCAACTGCACACACCTTGCAACTGGCGTCCATGCGCGATTTGCGAGAATTGCCGTTTGTTGGCTGGCTGGCCTATGCGACGAAAAGACGAACCGAAGACAATCTTCCAGGCAACTGTATTCTAAACTCACGTTGTTCCACTAGCCCGGACGGTGGGTGAGGTGAGTGGGGAGCGTGGCATGATTGTTCGTTCATGGTCATTTTTAGTGATATATTCTGCTTTTCTTGACATATTGTTCATCATCATGACAAGCATCGTGTGTCCCCTCACAAGGCACCCGCCCGGGACACTGGATCGATACGCAGCTACTGTAGTACAAGCGAGAATCCTTGTGACAGCGGGAACGTGGCCAACGTGCACACAGATAAATTAGCAAATCTATTCCAAACCGTCGGTTTGGACGTTATGCCAACCAACCAACCAACCAACCATACTTACCATACGTCGATACATGTACCTAATCACTCCACGAGTACTGTATCGTCGTCAAATGTGTTACCGCTGCCGGACCACGTTCTGTGCCCGTGACACACAGATATAAAAAAAAAAACTTCACTTCCCATCTATACGAGCCTTGTGTCATCACGGGTGCAATTGTTTCCTACCGCAGCTGGCAGGGCATATAATAAGAGAGTTGCGGGAAGAGCCTCCTGCAGAGGAATTTCATCCATGCGTTCCCCGCGATATGATTGGTTCCTTGTAGATCAGTAAACGAGAGGCCCTGCAGGGTTCAACAGAGAAAAAAAGGAGCCGAGAGAACACTACCTCACTACCGTTTTTTTATGCCTTCAACAGCCGTTCGATCACAGTGAACCAGCCGTGTTTGCTATCCCATCGTCTGGCAGGGGGCGGGCTTTTGTTTGTTTGGAGTCTTATGATCTTCGGACACTAGTTCATGACCGACTGCACTAGGAGGTAGGAGGTAGGGAACAATTTTTCTTTGGTTGTTGTTTCACGATTGTGACAGGGTCTTTTGGAGGTCAGTCCGAGTGAATCCGAAAGCTCGTTTATTGTTGTCGCATTGAATATGTACTGCACTGTGATGGGATACTGCATGTTGCTGGTATATCGGATCGCTGGTGAATATAGGTTTGAAGAGGTTGTTCATCTCTTACGCGTTGTGTCGCTATAGCTGCACAGACAAGAGAGAGTAGATGTCTTAGGAGAGAACGATAGATTGTAGGTCGGGTACCTGACTGGCATCGGCGCTTTTGACGGCACGTAGTAGCGTGGTTGGAAGAGCTTGTCTTGCTTGTGATTATTGTCTCAGAGATAAGTCCCTACTATCTCGTCTCAGTAGTGCGCAATACTACTATATGCCTTTTGGATGCTGCAAATTGGTTGTACCTTTTTCCCCACCAGGCAAGAAGCTATCCACGGACGACGCGCCTGAACTATGCGGCCGAGCCGGCGACATGGTCGCTTCTACAGCGCTACAGAGTCAGGGCTTTGCTGTTACTATTGACGACAGCTGTCTACTCTAATAACGACACGATCGACAGTGTTCACGAAAGGATGTAGCGACCGAAAACTATAACGACATCAGCCTTATAGACCGATCCATCGAACAAGTGGACGGGGCCTTTTTATTAAGGCCAATTGCCAAACCGGCTTGCACGTCAAGCAGAACCCCAGTGCACCCTGCAGACCGACCATGTCAAGCTTTCGGGGTGCTCGCACCGGAACCTCATCGCCGTAGGCGCTCTTCCGGCGCGGGCGGCGGGCGCGAGTATGCCCAAGCACCTGTCGTAATCGATCTCCTGCCAGGGACAACACTGTGTAGTGCCAGACTGCCAGTACAGTAGTTTGTCCTTCGACATCGAGGAACCTCACGGCTCACGCGATAAGCACCAGTCTTCGATGTCGTTTCTGGCTCAATCAGCCTAGCCTTCACAAGGTCTCGTCTCCCAAAATATCGCTATATTCTTCCCTGTCCTGCCAGGAACATTGGATGTACTCTTTTGTTGTCTTGAAGACTTTGAATAGCGCTTGAAGAGCCTAGAACGTTACTTTGCCCAGGGAGGGGACGCGTGCTGGGTCCTCATATTTGCCCAATCTTGGGCGCCTACTCACATCACAGCAGTCCCGTGGTCGTTGATGCCAGGCAGTGTATATAGGTCAGCTCGTTTGCATACCTCACGAAAGTGTGTAAGCGAGCTCCAACGAGCTATCGGGGTTCTATACTGCGCGTCCAGGCCAGCAACCTGTCATCTCAGCACCATACTATTTCCAAGTCCTGGGGATTTGGAGACAAATATGGATGGCTGGAGTGTTCCAGCTTCACGGCCATATCTACATCCCTCCGTCGGTACACAGCTCGAAATTCTGTGTCCATACTAGTCTGATCTCCGATGGCCTTTATCGCTTCTGAGGTTGTCCGCGCAATGGAATTCTTGACGTCTCAGCCTCACGTGCGATGTCATCTTCGCAGAAGTTTCAGGCCTCCAGGATAGGTATCGATGGTATTCGTTTGGCCAGACCTTGATCACTGAATTTCTGGTCGTACTGTAATCGTGTATATTGCAAGTAAGTACGAATGATCGAAGCATTGCGAGGTACAACGTTGTACACTCATGCGTGTGCCAAGTGAATGCATGACGCAGCACATCATGTGACTTGTGGAGCAATACCACTGTGCCACCAAACTATCACAGTCACAGTCTTTTAGAACGCACTTCACAACACGAAAACTTACAACACTAATCGGCATCGAAACTGTCTCCTCCAGTTCCGCATCAGTTTCTGCAGTCCGGCTGACCCTTGGAGACCTACTCCTGCAACCCTGACTCCTTGATATTCGTGGGGTACTCGTCAGAAGACCCATTATTTATCTCTGTCCTCTCTCTGACGAAAGCGTGGCAAAACGTGGGATGGCGCTGCAGGCTGTAGGATCTACTGTAGGTATACTCACATCGGCGTGAATTCGGGTACTACTGTGACAGCAGCTCCCAACCGAAGACATCCACGCAATCACAACTGCACGCCGGACGAAGAGGCGATTCACAAGCGAAGAAGCTGTTATCACAGACCGCAGGCATCAAAAATGCAGCATTTGCCATTTTGTACTGCTTGACTACTCTCAGATTGAGCTGACACGACCAGACGGGTCACGGAGCTGCCTCTTGCGATCGTGGATTGCTCGACGGAATGAGATCTGCGCCCGTAGACACCAACTACCGGTGCTCACCCGGCCCGGGCACAGGGCTGCCCAAACAGGCCCGTCAAGGGAGCTGACCTATCTGCCTATCACGATTGGCATGGGACGCAATGGACGCATTGGAACATGTCGCGTTGCATTGGATTATATTAGCATTCACATACAGAAAAGCCTGACAATCGAAGGTGACTTGTAATGGCTATAAGCATAGCTCACTACTGCAGGCAGTAAGAAAGACATTTTCTGCTCTCGCAGCCCCATTGTCAGTCTAATCCTCGTATGGGCTACTCCTTCAAAGAAGACCTGGAGACGAGACCAGAAGCGCAAATGGAAGGCTCGCATGGTAATAAGAGTGACAAGATGGGCATCGACATCGAGGCTCTCCCAGCTCTGCCCGTCGAACTGGACGGGTCGGACGAGAAAGCAAACAGCATGCATGGTCACTTTGAAGAAGTGATCCATGTCAAACAAGGACTTCATCAGAGACACATACAAATGATCGCCCTGGCGGGGACAATTGGCACTGGACTATTCTTGAGTTCGGGTCGAGCGGTGGTGCGCAGTGACGCTTTTCCCCCAGCAATGGTGTTTGACCCTCCAAACCGACTGACGAAGACTAGGCACATGCCGGTCCTCTAGGAGCATGGCTGGGCTACAGCATCATCGGTATAGCCGTGTGCAGCGTGGTATTAGCAGTTGCCGAGATGGGAGCTCTGGTGCCCTTGTCCGGAAGTGTAGTACGCTTCAGCGAGTTCTTCGTTGATCCTGCTTTAGCTTTTGCCAATGGCTGGAATATGATCTATAGCTACGCGGTCTCAATCCCGTCTGAGATTGTAGCTGCTGCGGTACTGGTTGAATTCTGGACCGGAGACGAGGTCAACAGTGCTGTCTGGATCACCGTCTTTGGAGCGCTGATTATCATTTCGTCTCTGCTCTTTGTGAGAGTGTTTGGCGAGCTAGAGTTCGGTGCGTATTACGACGTATACTCTCCTGCATGAGTCGAGTTGCAGAATGATTAATCCGACATCTCCCAGGCTTCTCGATGATCAAGATTTTCCTGGTCATCTTCCTCAACATCCTATCGCTAGTCATCACATGTGGCGGAGGTCCTAGCGGGAAATCCATCGGCTTCCAGTACTGGAGGAATCCTGGGCCATTTGTGCAATATCTCGGGGTTTCCGGCTCACTAGGCCAATTCATGGGCTTCTGGTCTACTTTCAACAATGCGGTGTACGCATATGGAGGCATACATGCGATTGTCATCGCAGCAGCGGAGACGAAGAATCCTCGACAAGCGATTCCGATGGCAGCCAAGCGCATCTTCTGGAGAGTACTCATCTTTTATGTCATCACCATCTTCATGGTGGGATTGGTGGTCCCGTCGAACGATCGAAACCTTCTGGAATGGACTGGAACGGCCACTCAGAGTCCTTTTGTGATTGCCGCCAAACGAGCCGGCATCAAGGGTGTTCCGTCCTTCATTAACGCTAGTAAGTGAACAGATTGCCTGGAGGAGACATTCCTAGTTTTGACGACTCATCGAGTTGAAGCCTACGCGAGAGAAAGCTGTGCTAATAATCTTCGGCTTATTCTAGTGGTACTTACATCTGCCTGGTCTGCCGCCAACAGCAACATGTTAGCAGGCTCTCGTGTGCTCTTCGGCATGGCAAATGCAGGACAAGCACCCAAGATCTTCGCTCGACTGAACCGCTTCAGCATTCCCTGGATTGCAGTGGGTCTACTTTCCATCTTCATGGCACTCGGCTACATGACTCTGGAAGATACCGCTTCGACCGCATTCACATGGCTTCAAGATCTCGTCGCTGTCAGCACTTTGACGGACTGGATTATTGTGTTGATCACCTATCTTCGCTTCTACTATGGCTGCAAAGCTCAAGGGATCGATCGCAGAAGAGAATTACCGTGGGCGGCACCTTTCCAGCCTTGGTTCTCGTGGGCTTCACTGATCTTGTTCTTGGTGCTGTTGTTGACCTCTGGATATACTGTGTTCATCCATGGCCATTGGGATACTGAGACCTTCATCTCGAGTTATTTCAACATTCCATTTACGTTGATCCTGTACGTCGGATATAAGTTCTGGTTCAAAACTGAAACCATTGCGGTGAAAGATCTGCCTATTCGGGGCTTTATCAATGTGGCGAGGGACAACCCCGAAGAGAAAATCCCGGAGAAAAAGGGCTGGAGGAAACTCAATGTGTTGTGGTAAAAAAAATGGGCACACCCCATACCACTGTGCCTTGTGTCCTTGATAGATCTCGTAAGAATGTGCGACCAAGGGTGCTGCTTGATTTTTTTTTTTTTCACTTCGCTGCCTGCACGATCTTCTCCGCCATCTCCTTGAGCCCTTCAGCCATAACCTCCATTTCCCCACCAAAGATTTCCAAACAATCCTCTTTCTCATAAGCACTACAATAAGCCCCTTTAAACCCCACCAACCTCGCAGCAGACACATCCCACATATGTGCCGCCGCAAACCACTTCTGGTCCTCTGCCGCAAACCTCTCATACACAGGTAAATACGCCTTAAGCGCCGGTTTCGCCACACCCTGCTCATCACACGAGACAAATCTCCCCTCGGGCATCTCCACCCCTCCACGCCGAAAATAGCCTTGCACGCGCGGTATATCCGCTGTCGTGAGACACCAGACCTCAAACCCGCCTTCTCGCAACGTTTCAATACATTCTTTCGCGCCAGCCCGTAGGCCCAGAAGAGCATAACCTTCTTGACAACGATCGCGTTCTTCGTCGGTGGCGAAGCTGCGGGGATCGGGAATCCCTGCCATCCAGAGAGTACGATAGAAGAGGGCTTTCATGAGGTGCGAGTAGGTTGTGTGTCTGCCGGAAATGCTTAGAAATGTGAATTCGAGCTCGGAATGGGTCATCCAGGTGTAGCCGAAGAGTTTGGCGGAAATTCCTTTTTGCTGGAGTTTGGAGCCGAGAACTTCGTTGATGCGAGTGTAGAAGGCGTCGAAGGAGACTAGTGTGCCTACGATGTCGAAGACGACGTGTTTAGATGGCATTTTTCTTTCTTTCTTCTTTTATTCTTTTGTTCAGTCTTTCTGGTTATTGCTGGAGAGATGCTAGTTGGCTTGGTGCTGGATTTGTATAGTGAAGTCGTGTCTTTGATTTGTATTGATCTTCGTGCCGTGTTCCTCTAGCTCAGCAGTTCACTTCTCCCAATATCTCAGTTTTGCTAGAACCTGAGAGTAGAGCACTATGGTATGGACCATGTCTATCCAGCATGATGGCCGATTCCATGGCGGAACCCTGGACACCGGTCCGGGCTCCACGTGTCGGTCGTATCACCTTCGGGCAAGGTGCTAACGTACGGCCAAGAGCCGATAGGCGAAACGAATGTGAGGATGGACGAAAAAAGATGTGATGAGCTGACTGGAGACTGGAGAGCTACGGTAGCTCTAGGGGAGGTAAGAGGTAGTTGGGAGTAAAAGGTTGGGGGACGCGACGAAATTAGACTCGACTCCCACATCCCTTCCGATCCAGAGAGCCATCATTGACAAGAACCTACAGGCTACAGAGACATGTACTGATAAACTCGGCATACGCAGCCGAGTCGAAAAGACCTTATATCGGTAGCAGATGTGTCAGGTCGCTACATTCTCGCTGTCGTCTCCAAGAAGAGCTTCCATCCGTCCCTAGCAATTATGTTACGAATACGAATATAACCGCACGACCCAAGGAAGCCTTTTCAAGACCTGCTATTGTAACGAAAAATAACCACCAAAAAAAAAAGACTGCAATGAGGTCCACTATGTTAGTCAAGAGAAGATCTGTATCCCTTTGAGAAGGGATTCAGAGCTCGAAACTCAGCCAAGGGCCCAAGACGACGATACACGCAACGACATTTCCCAAGTAAGCTGATTCGTAAGTTGTGATAGATTAATTAGATTAATCATTATTGATTGATGATGGCATCGAAGAGGCACTATACGATATTCGTCAAATAACAACGCGTCATCTCCTTTACAACATAGGGGCGTTTTGCTTTTCGGATACTTTGTTCTTACAATTTGGCGTATATGAAAAGCTACGATCATAAGGTAGGAGGCAGAGTGAATCGAGAGTCTGATAAGCTTGTATATGTTCGTGGAGGTGACTGTCCAAAGGCAGCCATAGAGTAATGATAGTATCGATGTTAGATGAACGACTCGTCGACGAGGGCCTGTTTGTTGTTGGTGTGTTGCCCTACACCGGCGGTAGGGCTGCGCGAGAACACTACTAGAACAGCTAGAATAGCCTCGTATGCAGGCGAGAGCCCCTGGTATACGGAAGTGCGGAAGGTAGAACTTTCACTTGTTTGGTAAGCCTTGGCGAATGGAACTATGTCCTTCTGCCGGCACCTGCTTCTGACATGTACTGGCCATGGCTGTCCTTGGCGACTCGTGCACGATGGACAATGTATCTACAGGAAATATCACTGTTGATACTGAGAATCCATTCTTCATAATTTGTGTTGGCCCAGGGCGACCAGGACCTTGTGACGGAAGGACGTGCCATGCCCACCCAACTTATGCCCCAGAGCTTTTGTCGCATTTGACTGGCTACCCCGCGTCTCCTAGGCTGCTATAGAGTTTGGAGCTTCTCAATAGGCTGTCTTTTCACGAAGCAACCCATGTCCTCCCACCGAACGACAGGGAAACTTTGCCGTGCCCTGCACCAGGAACCAAAAAACCTTGAGCCCAACACATAATTGCAATCGTCGAGTGACCAAATTGGTTGGTATATTGGAGTTCCCCTGGCGAGGGTGGGGAGGATGTTCGGCCTCTTCACTACCACGTGCGATGACTGCTTGTTATCATCGCTGTGGTGTTGTGAAGGACAGCTGGGCGACGACCAGGTGGATCTTCAAGACTGAACTCAACAAGCGTATACAAAGTCGGTTTTCAGCACTGTAAACGAATATCCTCGAGTTGCTACGGCGATAGCAGCGGCAAAATTTTCATCTTGCACGGCACCGATATCGATCGCAACGACATCATTGTTACGACCGGAGATAGCATAACGTGTCTCTCACGTTCCATCGCCGACCAGATATCGATAGCCAAAGCAGTGGCGCAAGAGACCGGTGGTACGATCGCGGGCATATAGCATCATTGCCTGCACAACACTGCGCATGTCGAAAGAGTTCCGTGGACGCGCTTCATACCACCACCGTATCGCGGCTGGCAAAAGATGCGTCTGGTGGCACTGTGCCTGAGCTGGATCATCGCAGTCACTGCGTTCGAGCTTCTGGGCGAGGCGCCCCGAACAGATCGGCTGTCATTCGTCAAGCCAAGCAAGAATGATGCGACACACTTCGGGGTCGGGTCCAAAGTGGACGTAGTGTGGATTACACCTTATTCAAATACCAATTTGGAGATATGGCAAGGACCTCGAGCGGATGGCTCATTCGCCATGGAGTCGCTATTGAGTACGTGTGACGTCTATGGGTGCCTGCTTCCGTTCGGATGCTGACGAGAGGAACAGAAAATGCGAGCAACTCTACAACCACCTTTACTTGGAAAGCGAAACCACTCGACAATCTTCACTTTGCAGAAGCTTTCCATTTCCGGCTGCAAAAAAGCGATGGCGACGTCTTTTGTGACGGCTGCATTGCGAGCAGTGTTGAGATTCGTGTTTCGAACATTGTCAACACGGAGACTTCGGTCGTGGCAGATGGCAAGTCTGGCAACGATGGGCTCGGTTCTCAGGACAAACTCATGATTGGATTGTCAATTGGCATTGCTTCGGCGGTGATAGCTGGATTCATCACGCTAATGTGCTGCACACAGAAGTATGTCCATCCTTTCTTTCCATGTCCGAAGTCGTTTCATTCACTCTTTCGAGGACTAACGTTTTCGGGGTAGGCGAAAGTCATCTAACCAGCGAGGACAAAAGAGACCTCCTACTCCACAGTCGATGCAACACTTTCTCCAGCGCGCGTTTGGAGACAACAAACGAGAGCGGCGCGGAAAGCAGTTACCTTAGGGCGTGGACTTCTCATATTGTGCGGTGGAGCTGGTGTTGGTGCTTCCGTATGTTCAGAGCGACCGTGAGCTGCAGAGCGAGAGATATCGATGATGGCAGTTTTCTCGATATGGTGGCTTCCCGCCCCTTTCCCCAGTAATGTCTTTCTTCTTCGAAAGTGCCGAGCAGTCCCGCTTCCTTCGTTTCACGTGGATCATCGTGTCCAGTATGCCGGCCAGCTGATCAGTGCGAGGAATGACGATCATATCCCCGGCCTCATGTACTCTCTCACGTCCCACACTAGCACTCGTTCGTCCCATGCACAGGTGGTGCACCAGCCTTCGGCACCAAACAGACACCAGTCGACGCCCATGGCAAACTCGGTGTGACGGTCCATGCGACCCAATTCTCGTCCAATGCCCGCCCCATGAGCAGCCTGGTCAACATTGCTCCCGTCGGTCCAGACTCTGCACGTCATGTCGTAGCTGGCACTCAGCAGCACATCACTGAGATGTGGACTCCAGCTCAACTTGCGCACCGCATAATCGTGGCCCGTCAGCATATTGACGGGGCCCGAGGGCGTTCTTAAATCAAATGTCCTGATCACGCCATCCACACCGGCAGCAGCCAGCACCGAGTCTCGGTATTTGTTCCAGTCGTGTGTCAACGACTCGGTTGGCCCGGGACTCCTCTGCATGTAGCCGGGAGGAGGCAGTTTGGGCGGAGCGTGAATGGGTATGGCCAGGGTCAAATGATTCTGGGCCGAAGGCTTCTGCCTCAGATCGTAGACGCGCAAGTGGCTATCCCGACTCACACACGTAACGATTTGGGGGTGGTGCGGGCTGTACTGGGCCGAGTAGACACAGCTGTGCACGGGGAGGGTGGTGATGCTCTCCTTCCGCTCGGGTGTCCATATCTTGACGGTGCCGTCCCAGCTCGAGCTCAGGAAAGTCGACTTCTCGATCAGGTTCCAGTGCACCGCAAACACTTCCCGCCCATGCTCTTGCCATGCTGCCACGGGGAACTCGCCCACGCCGATATCAAAGAGCTTGATGCTGCCATCGCCGCCGGCGGTGAGCACCTGGTTCTCATGCTGCTCCGACCACGCGAGGTCAAAGAGACAGTCCTGCGTCTCGAAGTACTTCTCGCACGCAATGCCCGCGGCGCCCAGCTGTAGAATGTAGAGGCGTCCGTTGCCCACGAGGCCGAAGTTGGCACCGGCGGACACGGCGAGGCGCGAGTCGAAGAAAGGCGAGTATTTGACGCTGTACGGGTTGAAGCCCGCCGTTCGGAATTCCAGCATCGTCACGCTCTATATGACCTGTGTACCATCATGCACTGTATCGTGTACATGTATGGACGAACATTACCAGGCCCGAGAAAGCAGAGATCGATACATCCGTGTGAGTGGAGGTAAGGTAGAACTAGCCTCCGAACGGTCAAGTGCGAGGTGAGGCTGGTGGGCGGGCTACTTGAGTGTGCCGCGGTCCACTTCGTCATCAGAACTCTGAGAGAAGTCAGAACCGACTATGACTGCCAAGACTCGCGTAGAGCGGATCCACCCGAGCATACATCGTTCATCTGCTCCAGGCCCATCCCGTTGATATTTCACCTCCTGACCACCAACATGCACAACGCAACATGTCCACCGATGCCGTCTCATCCTCCGCCCGCGGCGCTGGCTTCCTCATTCTCCTGCAAGTTTCCTCCCGTGCCCTCACCTTCGCTCTTAATCAGCTCCTGCTACGCTTCCTCTCTCCAACATTGCTAGGCGCGTCAGTCCAGCTGGAGCTTTTTGTCATTTCTGCACATCACTTCGCGAGGGAGAGCCTCCGAGTAGCATGTCAGCGACAGCCCGAAGGCGGCATCCAAGCGGCCATCAACCTATCCTACCTGGCTATTGCGGGAGGCATTCCCATTGTGCTTGCACTCGCCCAGTGGTATCTCACTACATCCCTCCCTGATGTGCCGTACTTTGTCGAGTCGTTGCGCATCTACCAGCTAGCAGCAGTCATTGAACTCCTCAGTGAGCCGGCGTTTGTAGCTGTCCAACAGAACATGCTCTACAAGTCACGAGCAGCTGCAGAAGCCTCTGCAGTTGTCCTCAAGACGTTGGCCACGGCCGGCACCGTCTTCTGGAGTCAGCATGAACAACTAGAACTCGGCGTGCTTCCTTTCGCTGCAGGAGAGCTGGCCTACTGCTCGACTCTGACCCTGGTGTATCTCTGGCAGACCATCCCTGTTGCCACGAATCAACACTTCTCCCTTCTGCCCAAATCTATCAAGTCGAGGTGTGTCACACCACCTTCAGAAGCGTAAGCCATCATCTCTGATCTCATCTACAGCACTGCCAATGCCAATGCCTTCCTTCTCTCCCTCTTCCCCACATCACTCGTCAATCTGAGCCTCTCACTTTACCTCCAGCAGGGTATCAAATACCTCCTTACAGAAGGCGATGTCATCGTCAGTACCACGCTTGCCTCACTCGAAGATCAGGGCATGTACGCCCTATCAGCCAACTACGGTGGTCTCATAGCACGTATGGTCTTTCGACCCATCGAGGACGCCAGCCGAAACCTTTTCGCCAAACTATGTGGAGACGCCAAAGTGGACAAAATGAACAGCGCCAGCACCACCAACAACAATAAGAACACTGACAACATGAAGCAAGCGCACCAATCCCTCCGACTCATCCTACGCGCGTACTCTATCCTCTCCGTCATCTGCTTCGCCATCGGCCCTGCCGCAGCACCTCTACTCCTCCGCCTAGTAGCTGGTGCCCGATGGTCTTCTTCCGGCGCGGGAGAAGTGCTCGGAATCTACAGTATTTGCATTCCCTTGTTAGCCATCAACGGCGTCAGTGAAGCCTTCGTCTCTGCCACTGCCTCCACCCAAGAACTCCGCAACCAAAGTATCTGGATGGGATTCTTCTCTCTGGGATTCGCCGGAAGTGCCTATTTGTTCTTACGAGTGCTGAATCTCGGGGCGAAAGGACTAGTCTTGGCAAATTGCGTCAACATGGGAATGAGGATTTTGTTCAATTTGAGCTTTATTGCATCCTTTTTCGCTAAGCAGGGCGTGCGATTTGGGATGGTAGATTTACTGCCCAACTCTTTTGTGGTAGCTGCTGCAGTGGTCATGCCGAGCTTGATCGGCAGAATGCAGGGTCTTTTCGAGGCGTATGGTTTGCTCGGAGATCTGCTCCGAGTTGGTGGAATCGGCGGAGCTTTTGCATTAGTTGTGTAAGTTCATTTGCACGATCTTTGTTGTCACTGAGCTCACACTCTATCTGGCAGGCTTGTCTCGGAGAAAGATTTCTTGAGAGATTGTTGGCGAAGAGTCCGGTCTTAAGTGTACAATCTCATAAAGGTCTTGAACTCGTCCCACGCGTCTTCCGCTCTCGAGAGGTGTATCTCTTCTCAAGCGACCTTGGTAGTATTTCACCAAAGCTTCCTAGACTGACCTACGTGAACGTACATATAGCCTAATACTATGCCTACCGGCAAAGGTGGCGTGCTACTTTGCAAAGTTATTGCTAGTCTCTATATACCCAGTCTGCTGCGATCTATACTACCCTGGGCGAAATCAAATTAGCGAACCGTCAGCATAGTAAAGCGGGGAGTTGGCTCAAATCATAACTACCTATACTCGATTTCAGTGCACTCCATACCGCTCGGTTAGAGACAAGGTAAAGCCGCTATAACCATTTTCCCTAGAGTCTTCGACATCGAGTCTTTGACTCTATCTTTTGCTCGTTAACGCACTCGGTAATTCTGAACATTACTATATACCTGGCCGATCGTGAGAGAACAAGGTATCGGTGCCTCCTAGTAGATGTAGATAAAGTAGAATAGAACCACATGGATGGGTTCTACAGGTGACGTCGTAGTTCCCCAGGCTTGGCGCTATACTTGAGGACTGCGGCTCGATCAAACTTTACACATCGACATCTACCTACCTACCACGACACGGCGCACAATCAGCTGCGCACATTCCCGCAAACGCCCGTCGGTAAGTAGATCATAATCTCATTCGTACCAGTTTGACTATGGCGAAAAAGAAGAATGGCAGCCGTGGTGGTCGCCTGAGCATGTGGGACAGAATGGAGCAAATGCGCGCGAGCAATCTGGCGCAGGATACGGGCAACACACAAGACAACAAGAATGCACATGCCAACTACCACACCGCAGAACCAAGCGTCCCTCCGATCCAAGTCGACACCAGCTACAACCTTCCATACGGCCAAATCTCCGCGAACGTACATCAGGGAGCTCACGCCATGGCGTACAATCCATACGCCAACCAGGGCTACAATGCGCAGAATGCACAGTACGCCGCTCCACCAGGCTATGCTGGTCAGTATGCCGCTCCACCTGGATATGGCGGCCAGTACACTCAGCAAGCACAGCAATTCGAGACGCCACCTCAGATCCGAAATCCTTTCATGCCTCCACCCCCAGCTGCATCCACATACGCTGCGCACAACTCCAACTTCGACCCGGATCACGATGCGCAAATAGCACAGTGGCACGCCCAGTATGCGCCAGCTGAACAGCAATTTCGAGGAAAGAAGATGGGCAAAGACGAGCCTGTCGGCAATGCTAACCTGGCGCCCCTGGGTCAGCGAGGGTCAGGCGCTGCACCAACCGTGGCAGAGGCGGAAGAAAAAGATGACGGAAAGTTCACTGTCATACGGAAAGGCGGCGGCGAGCAATGGGAGGATAGGTCCCTGCTGGAGTGGGATCCAACAAAGTTCCGCATCATGGTTGGCAATCTGGCTGGTGAAGTCACCGATGACTCACTCGCGAAAGCATTTGCCAACTACGGAGTCTCCAAAGCCCGAGTGGTGCGCGACAAGAGAACAACCAAGTCGAAAGGGTTTGGCTTCGTGGAGTTTCAAGAAGGTGAGTTGGGCTTCAAGGCGGCTCGAGAGATGGTGGGCAAGTACATTGGCAGTCACCCCGTCACCATTCAGCGCAGCAAGACAGACGTGCGGCCTGCAGTTAGAAAGGACAAGCACAAGGGCAAAAATAACCGCAACAATGACAAGAAGAAGGACGAGAAGAAAAAGAAGAATGAGTACGACCCACTCAAGGCCCATACTGGGGGTGGGATTGAGAAGAAGCCAGCAAAGACTGCAACTGGTCTGAAGCTGCTCGGATGAGACGTCGACGATCTGTATGAATCGGGACACTGCGAAATTAGCGAGGCGTTTTTGGGGGGATGTCTGGGTGGTGTGTACATGTTCCCCCATAGAACTAAGGTGTGGGGGACAAGCGCGCTTCGATTCGCGCGCTGGGATGCATAGTCTGACCTACAGACCTACAGTGCTCATTGTATAGGTTCGCGGATTGCGATGATACCAGTTGCAGTAGCCAGGAGAGAAAATCAGATGAGTATGTTAGGCTGTTTTCACAAGTATGAGACCACACCGCTGACATGTCGTGACTGCGAAGCATGCGTTCTTTTTTGGTAAGTAAACGCGGTATCATTTGCGACTGATGTTATTGTAGGCACGACTCCCACCTTGACCTGTTTGTGCGCCGCAACTATGGTGTCGTGAATCGACGTGTTCTTCAGCGTGACTACATGTAGTCTGCACAAAACGCGTCCATCGAGGCCAGTGTGGTTGAGCCTCCAGGAAGTTATTGATATCGTATCGTTTCTAGCACATCCTCCTCATGATCTTACATTATGTACGCATACACATGATGGGGTATCTTCCGTTCGCCTAACAATGCTCTCGCCGCCAAAACTCCCTCTGTTATGCGCTGTCAAGCCTTTGCCAGAAACTTCTATCACGCTCTCACGTGCATATAGGTCTAGGCCTCTACGGCTAAGTCATCACTGCCATTGGTATCCATGTCATCTGACTCCAGCCTCAGCCAAGGATGCTCAAGTGCCTCTGCAGCTGTCATACGCTTAGCAGGATCCAGCTCCAGACAACCCACCATGAAATCAATGGCATCATGCTCATCATCTGTCAGCTGTGCAGCAGTCTCCTTTTTGCGTCGTCCGGTGCACCACATAATGATTTTCTCCCAGCTATGGCCATTCTCACTGATTGTGGGGATGTTGGTATGCAGGATTTGGCCGTGCAATAGCGCGTTCTCCTTCATCTTCTTTCGGCCGAAGATGGAGCACAGCTCGATGAATGCGTCTATGTCGTCTGCTGAGTGGAAGAAGGGAAAGCGCTTGGTCAGAAAAGTGAGGAGCACAATGCCCGCACTCCACACATCGATCACGCAAGTCTGCGCAGTGCATTTGAGGAGGACCTCCGGAGCACGAAAACCACGCGTTCCTGCTCGGTTTGCTCGTCTCGAGTGACGGTTGTCGTCTTTGGGGTATGAAAGCTTCGCTGCCGGTTGCCCGGCAGCTCGTGCTTGTGCGCGTGAGGTAGCATACACGGAATGCTCGACTTTGTGCTGGTGCTTGACAGCGTCCCACTCGCACGCGCATGGGAGATGGTCCGTTCCCTCCCGTTCTGCTAGCCCAAAGTCCACAAGCACACCGCGCTGCAGTGTTGGTGAGTACAGAAAGTTCGTCGGCTTGATATCCCGATGAATGATGGCGCACTCATGCACTGACTTGAGGGCGGTGAAGAGGCTGTGGAAGTAGATTCGCATGTCAGCAAAGCTCATGTCCCGATAGTAGTCCCGAAAATCCTTGTGTTGAAAGTACGGGAGGACAGCAATGACCTGATCTGTGTCTCGAAAGGCAGTGATCAGAGGGCAGACATTTTCCGAGTCTCTCAGGTCGTGCAACAGTTCCAGCTCGTTCAGGATGCGCTGTGGGGATGAGGTCACGTAGATCTTCTTGATAGCAACATATCGCGGCTTTTGTCGAGGAACAGAGGTTGATTTCGCCACTGTATGTCCCTGCCGATTCTCCTTGTCGGCGTCGTGGTCCCAGTCGTTCCGATATTCATCGTATAGTAAGTCCTCGGCCTTGTATACTGTGGAGAAGGTGCCTTCGCCAATGCGGTTGATGAGACGGTAGCGCTTGGTGATGTTCTTAAAGCTGGCCTCGAATCTCTCAATGTCATCTTGAACCACATCTTCCACGGGCTGTTGTTCCTCCTCGTCGTCGTCACTGATAGTAGCGCCGCTCTCTTCTAATGGACCTCTGCTCTCCTCCATGTTGTCTGTGGCGTCCTCGGTGGCCTCGTTGTCGTAGGTTTCCGCTTCCTGGTGGTGGTCTTGGTCTTGGTCTTGGTCTTGGTGGTGGAGGTGCCCGTGGTCTTGTCCAGAGTCATCATCATCATCATCATAAGGATCTTCGTGGACAGCGATAGGCTCCTGTGACCGCCTATGGGAGGTGGTCATGACTTCCTCGTCGCTTCGTCGCCTTTTCTCCTCCTGCTTCCCTAGGTACAGGTAGGGAGTTCTGACTGATCCGAGCAGCGTGATATATCAGGAGCGTTCGTGAGCAAGAATGGGCTTGCTCTCTTTCTCTCTCTGTCTCTCTGGCGTGGGCTCTTTCCGGGATGTGCAATAGTGCGCCCAAGTTCGTGAGCGAGTGAGGAAACGCGACCAGGTCAAAAATGCGGGGAGACGCGACGAGCCTGCCCGTGTTTTGATCCGACGTAAACAATGCAAAACATCACAGCAACCAACACCGACTCGCTCCCGGCACCTTTCTCACCACCTCATTCTCCCATTGAATTGGACACTCCATGACAGTCACTGTCCCGCCATGGCCGATTTTGTCATCAGCGACGCGCTGACGGCCTATTTGGACGATCCACACGCCATCCCCACGCCCGAGGCAGTATCAGACCTGGCCGAGTGCGAAAATGATCCCGATGCCTTCTCTCCCGCCCTCATCAACAGCGTGTTGAACGAGATCAGTGCGGCGGTGGGCGAGCACCCCGAGGCTATCCTCCAGCCAGCCCACCTGGACAGCCTGCAGTTCTTGCTCAAGTGCGCGCCCACCCTTTCTTCTCTCCAGCGTGCTCAGCTACAGTCAAACAAGAATCACGGCACTGACAGTGAGCTATTCGCTCTTTCCAGGCAGACATCCTATATACCGCCGCAATCGCTTGGCCGAGTCTTCGATCTGGTAATCAGTGGATTGGGCGCAGAGGCCGAAATTGTGCATCAGGAGGACCAGGAAGATCAGGAGGAAGGCGCGGAACCAGCACAGCACAAGCAGATTCTCGAGATCTTTGCCTTTCTGCTGCAATGGTGCGTGGCGGCAGTGGAAGCCAAGAGCGCAGAGAGGCCGGCCGGCCCAGTAAGAGGCAAGGCCGTTAAAGGCGCGAAGAGCAAAGCCGCGCAGAAAGATGGCAACTGGGATCCCTCGAACCAGCTGCAGACCGCGCTGGATACCATGGCAAAAGTCATGAAGTTGAAGCTGGCCAAGATCTTTGTGACGACGAGCGACCGCGACAATTTTATCGGCCTGTTCACGAGACCGACCTACCAGATTCTGGAGAGTGAGACGAGGGTGAAGAGTACGGCCATTCGTATGCACGCATTCAAAGTGCTTTGTGTGGCCATCAAACAGCATGGGCACGCATATGCTGCTCAGACTAGCATCATCCAGAACTTGACATACTTCGAGCACCTTTCAGAGCCCATGGCCGAGTTCTTAAACATCCTGGCCGAGCAATACGATTACCCGCAACTCGCAGAAGAGGTGCTGAAAGAGCTGTCGAGCAGAGAATTCAGCGAGAGTGACACCAAGGGGCCAAAGTCCGTCTCGACTTTTGTGGCGAGGCTTTCAGAGCTGGCTCCGCGAGTGGTGCAACGGCAGGTCACGTACGTGGCGAAACTGCTCGAGAGTAACAACTATACTCTTCGCTGTGCCATCATTGAAGTCTGTGGTAACCTGATCACTTCCCTCTCACGAATGGATGATAGTGAGCGGAAGGAGGAGCACAAGGGACAAATCAATGCTTTCTTCGAGGTCCTCGAGGAGCGCTTCCTTGATGTCAATCCATACTGCCGGTGCCGTGCAATTCAGGTCTACGTCAAACTGTGCGATCTGGAAACGAAATATCCAAAGCGTAGACAGAGAGTCGCCGAGCTGGCCACACAGAGCCTAGAGGACAAGTCATCGAATGTGAGAAAGAACGCGATCAAGCTGCTCGCCAAGCTACTTGGAACCCATCCTTTTGCAGTGCTTCATGGCGGTCAACTGAGCTATACCGAGTGGAGTGAGAGGCTGGAGACGGTGGATGCCGAGCTCGCAAGCCTCAAGTTGCCTGCAGAAACAGGACTTGGAGAGCGCGACCCGAACGAACAGACTGTAGACCAAAGCCTGCTCGACGATGTTACTAAGATTGATCAGACCGAGAAACCGCAAAGCGAGGAAGAGCTGGAGGCTGCGTTCCGCAAAGCTCAGGAAGAAGCTGCCACTGCCGAGGCCATGAACAAATTGCAGCTCACGAGACGGTACTATATCGAGGCGCTCAGGTTTATCGAGACACTGCATGAGGCTTCTCCGCATGTAGTGCACCTGCTGTCCTCCAAGAACAAGAGCGAAGTGGTGGAGGCCATGGACTTCTTCGTCACGGCAGATGCGTACAGACTAGAAACAGCCAAGCCTGGCATCCGACGGATGCTCAAGCTGATATGGACCAAGGGCAATAGCGATGAAGGCAAAGGTGTGCAGACTCATCTCATCGAGTGCTACAAGGGCCTCTTCTTCGCCGCGCCTGGTAACTTTAGTGCCAACGAAGCAGCAAACTATGTCGCGCGAAACATGCTGAGTCTAACATTTGGCTCAACACCGGCCGAGCTGACTAGTCTTGAGCAACTACTGGCCACTATGATGAAGGAAAAGGCGATCAATGAACTCGTTATTCAGAAGCTGTGGCAGGTGTACGGCGTACAGAAACGAGACATTTCGAAATCACAACGTCGCGGCGCAATCATCGTGCTGGGAATGCTAGCACTGGCTGATCCCGATATCGTTGTCCGTGAGATGGAGACTTGTCTGCGCATAGGACTTGGTGCCATTGGTCGTCGGGATCTTGTGCTCGCGCGCTATACTTGTGTCGCACTCATGCGCATGACCAACAACAAACCCACCAAAGGAACAGAAGGGAAGCCAAGTGTTCGTTTGCCAAATGACCACGCTGTGCTGATTCGTCTTGCCGATTTGCTTGCTATTGAAAGTGATAGCAAGGACTGGTACGGTCTGGCTGAGCAAGCCATTGGCGCCATTTATGCCCTTTCGAAACACCCAGATGTGCTCTGCTCAGAAGTCCTCCGAAGGAAGACGAAAGCTGTGTTTGCACCACGAAGGGTTGCGACGCCTCCAATCAAGCAGGAACCTGAGACCAAAGGGGATAACAGCCAAGTCGACGACGATGGCGACGTCGATATGAGCGAAGCACCGGAGGAGCAGCCCGAGCAGGACATGGAAGCGCAAGCGCAAGCAGAAACGCCTGCCCAAGAAAGCGAAAACAACCAGGCGTTGGCACTCTCGCAGCTGCTGTTCGCTGTTGGTCATATTGCGCTAAAGCAGATAGTTCATCTTGAGCTTTGCGAGCAGGACTTCAAGCGACGCAAAGCTGAAAAGGAGAAGATGAATCCCTCACCAGCAAAGAAGACACCAGGCAGCCGTGCGTCAGCCAGCAAGAAAGGTGAAGGGAAGACTAAAGAAGAGCAGGAAGCCGAGGACGAGCTTGATCTCATGGCCGGCACGAACGAAGATGACTTTGCGGACGCCATCGCTCACATTCGCGAGAAGGAACTGCTCTTCGGCGAGCAATCTTTACTCTCACGCTTCGGCCCCCTCGTGAAAGAGATATGCAGCAACAACACCTCATACCCCAATGCCGGGCTGCAATCGCATGCTGCGCTATGCATGGCAAAACTGATGTGCGTCAGCTCCGAGTACTGCGAAGCGAATCTGGGGCTGCTCATCACGATCTTGGAACGGTCTCCATCGTCAATCACAAGGAGCAATCTTGTCGTAGCTCTGGGAGATATGGCAGTCTGCTTCAATCACCTGATCGACGAGAACACCGACTTTTTGTACAGAAGGCTCTCGGATCCCGCTCTACAGGTCAAGCGGACGTGTCTCATGACTCTCACCTTTTTGATCTTGGCCGGACAGGTCAAGGTCAAGGGTCAGCTCGGGGAGATGGCGAAATGTGTCGAAGATGCGGATCAAGGCATTCGCGAACTCTCCAGAATGTTCTTCTCGGAACTCGCTGGCAAGGACAATGCCATATACAATCACTTCGTCGACATGTTCAGCCTACTATCTGCCGACCAAGAACTCGACGAAGACCGGTTCCGCAGAGTCATCAAGTTCTTAGCGGGCTTCATCGAAAAGGACAAGCATGCGAAGCAGCTCGCGAGCAAACTTGCGCCACGACTGCAACGCGCAGAAAATGAGAGGCAGTGGAACGATGTGGCCTTCGCGCTTGGGTTACTACCTCACAAGAACGAGGATATCACCAAGGTTGTGCAAGAAGGATGCAAGGTTGTCGAAGGTCAGGCATAGAATGCAGGTCCTCAAATGATCACGACTGAAATGGATCCGATGGATATCACGAGGCGTTTGCGGAGTATGACTATTGCTCAATGAAATCGGGCGGGCCTACGAGCTCTGGTGGGAGATATAGATGTTGATCATGATGCAGTCTCGCAATTTCGTAACAGAGTACCAACGTCGAGCCTGTCGGCTCGCACGCCCTTCTCTTTTCCTCTCTCGCACCAGGAACACGTTCAAGCACCATCATTCGTCGTCGTCGTCGCCGACTTCTCCGCCGCCGCTCTCCGCCGCTCAAACTCGATCAAGCTATCTACATTCAGAGCAAGCTGCTGCCCCATCCACGTCGCCCTCTGCGTATGATCCCGCACTGCATCATCTGTATTCGGATGCAACAGCGCCGACAACGGACCCCGATGAATCACCAACCACGGCACAAACGCTCCAAACTGCTGCGGCGAAAACAAATTCACCTCAAACATGGCTTTGGGATGCGGTCCCACAGGTCGATCAAACATGGGATAAATTCTCAATTCGGGAAATTCTCGTCGAATGCGTTCGTGTAGTGATCGCGCAAAAGAAGTTTCAAACGTCGACGTCGCGGTGTAGTAGATGTGGATGTCGAAGGCTCCTCTGCTGTCTTGAGCTAGGGGGTCGATGAAGGTTGTGTAGGATTGACTCAGAATGGGAGTTTGGGTGTTTTTGAGGGATTTTCCGTCGGGGTTGCGCTCGCTGGATGCCCTTCTCCTACCCCGTTTTTGGAGAGGGTTTGTTGGTTAGCTACTAGTTTGACTACTACTATATAGGGTATGTATGTGATTTGAGAGAGATCAATTGTTGTTGAGGTGGATGATGTGTGTGAGACTTGCGTTGATAGTGGTTCTTGATCTTTCCAGCCCTCGAGGGGGTCTGGGTAGTCGTATAGCATGGGGTCTGCCATGGGGTGATTTTTTTTTTCTTTTTTTGCTCTGGTGGTGTTTGTTTGTTCCGTCCGGTGCAGAGGAAAAGGAATTCTTGTGTCTCTGGATTATAGGCTGATGGATGTCCGACAGTTGGTCACCTTTTAGTACAAAGGTATATGTTCTGCTTAGATCTATATGCCGGTGGTCTCGGAAAGCTGGAAGTGCCTCGTCGCCACGGATGATTCCGGATTGCGCAAGGGACGGACTCGAGGAACTAATGTAACGCTTTATTGACTATGTCGATCGATGGGTTATGTGCATTGTCTCTTATATCAACTGGCCTCCATTGTCAACCGGATCAGCCTGATCGTGATCGTGATCGTGATCTCGTCCTGAATAAGTCATGGTTCATCAAGAGATGAAGCAATCAGTAGGGACATATACACGGCTACCCGAGGCTGTGGGTCTGGGGTGGGTGGGGCAGTCCTAGATGAATGTTTTCAAGAGCCCCGGGACAGCGAGGTTGTTCGTGCTACTTGAGCTTCTGGAGTACAGTCCTCAGCACGCTTTGGACACGGCTGCAGTGTTCCAACTCGGCGGGAGTTAGAAAAAGTACCTTACTGCTCTCGCTAGCCCGTAGAGCGTGGTCTCCAAGTGATTTGATGAAACTATAACCAGGTTTGATGTGATTTCGATGCTGGTCCCTAGATTCCAAAGCAATTATTAATCAAATCCTATCATATTCCCAGCTGCTCTCTAGGAACCACGCCTCGGCAGTCTGCAAAGTTGTCTGTTGAGCGGGCGGTCAAGTGTCTGCACAATACGACACAGACTTCCCTCCTCCGTGAGTTTTTGGTTGCTTCATCCAGGAGCAGGTCTTGGTCCCCATCAGAGGGTTCCTCATATCGCGGACCACGAGCAGGCGCCTGGCCAACCGCGCGGTCGATGTGATGGCTGATGAGGTGAGGTGGCTCGTCTGCAGCTCTCGAGCAACACTGCGGCAGAATTGGTTCACTACGGTGCATGTGGCATGAGAGACATTGTTGGTAACATAAATTGTGCGAGTCTTTCAACATATTGACTTGGGCTTGGCACACGTGCAAATGAGCCACTCAGCCATGTACAACGAGGAAACAGAAGGAACAAGACGCTGGCGGTCCTGTTGTAACCAGTTATCACCACCGAATCTCGCTCACCAACTCATTCTTCGCCTACCTCGCCTCACTGCCGATGCCCTGGGCTATACCACGTGCATTCGGGCACGCTTTGAAGCCGCACTCTCTGCCTGGCTGAGCAGGTGAGACTGCGAGAGACTCCTGGAGGTATGGATTGATGCCACCTCCCTGGTTGGGCAAGAGCTATAGACACATCGGCACAGATATCGAATGCGCAGTCCGGTCCATCTGAGACCGAGGCGGGGTCTTGTGCGAGTATACAAGACAGTCTCCTTGCTCGTGAGGTTGAAGAGCCAGGTTACGATTGGCAACCCGTACGGCCAGCATTCGGGGTACCTCCATCAAGCATCCATCGACCAGCCTGTGCTCGCTCGAAATTGCCAAATGCAGCTTCTCGACTCCTGGGAGGCGCATTCAAAGCTGCTGGGCCTGACCCAGAACGACAACGAGACATTATACGTTATATGCACGGCGATGAAGACAAAATGCTTGACAGGACGCATGCTTTGTTACCCAAGACTCGAGCAAATCACAGGTTGCCGCCGCATACTACCACGATACCTGCATGCTTAGTATTCTCAACCGCCGCATAGTGCTATAAGATCTCGGGAAATGCTGCAAGCAGCCTCTCTGGCATTGGAACGCTTGATATGGATTGTAAAATGTCACCAGGAGTGCTGTGGTGAGTAATTCTCATCAATGGAAGCGCCGGCAACGACTGTTTCCTTCAGCCCTGGACCTTGGTGTCATACCGAAGTGCGGATTCCACTCCGAGGCCACCGGGCTCAAGGTCTGCTCTGCTTTCTCAAGTCTAGTGAGAGACAGGACTTGAGGGTGGGAAAGTCAATGAGAGCAGAGCGTCTACAAGCAGTGAAATTATCCGGTTAGGCGCTATGGCGTTTACTACAGGTGGGTATACTCGTGAACTGCTGACCGTTGACGCACCTTTCACTGCAATGTCCCAAATAAGTTGCAAGACAACACGTGCTATATGCTGCCCCTGTCAACGCGGAGCATGGTTGACCTAGCCTGGATGTTGGCAGTTCGCAGTGTTCCTCCTTGTGGGGAACCTGGACTTGACGCAATTCATGCCAAGATCAGGAGAGCTACACGCTGTAAGCATACAGCAAGCTGAGCCATCGATTCAGTACATGTGTTGCACGATTGACAGCATCATGCACTTCGGCAAGTGTACAGTACATGTAGTAATGGGGTCCAACTGACAAGCGATTTGTACCTTTCGGACCCAGCAAGACTCATCCCACTCTTCCGTCTGTTCATCAACGTGAGCAACACTTTGGTCATCATCGAAAACAGCTACCGTGGCAGGGAATGTGGTACGAAAGGCGGAGTCCATCCATGGACACCCCGCATCGCAGCGTCTTCACAATTGGCATGTGCCAAACAAGTCGTGAAGGCCTAGCATCCTGTACAGCGAGTGACTATCTGGGTTCCCCGCAGATCGTACTCCGCTAACCCGCGATGGTTTCATATGAAAGAGCTGTCAAGGAAGTGTTGATGATCAGGTCGTTCACCTTTCACCACACCCTATCTGGACTACACCACTGACTACAGCATCATGGGCTACTACACCAAGCTACCAGACGACATCCGGGAGGTCGACGTGATCGTTGCTGGCGGCGGAACTGCAGGATGTGTGATTGCATCGAGACTCGCGGAGGCCGCGCCAGATCTCTCCATTCTCGTCATCGAGCAGGGCATTAACAATCTGAATGTCCCCGAAGTAATCTATCCAGCGCTCTTCCCTCGCAACATCAAGGAGGGCAGCAAGACCGCACTCTTCTGGCAGGTATGTGGGTCATTGACAGGTCACATATGGACTCGACACTCACAGCGTTACGTAGGGCAATGAGTCTCCACAACTTGCCAATCGATCGCCTGTCGTGCCGTCAGGAGGTACACTAGGTGGCGGGTGAGGGGATCACGTAGCATCGATTTGCAGTCTACATGTTGCTGACCATATCTCAGCTCGAGCATCAACTGGATGGTGTACACTCGAGCTCAGCGATCGGATTTCGACAGCTGGAATACGCCAGGCTGGACTGCCGATGATCTCTTCCCGTTTTTGAAGAAGTTTGAGACCTATCATGGCAAGGGGGAAGCGGTACACCACGGATTCGATGGCCCTATCAACATCTCCAAAGGCACCTTCACAGCGAAACGAGCTGAGAATGACTTCATCGATGCTGCCGCAAAGCTTGGCTATCGCGAGCTGAAGGATCTGCAGAATCTGGATGCCAACGACGGCGTGGAACGCTGGCTAAGATACGTTGGGCCCGATGGACTTCGCCAGGATGCTGCACACCGATACCTGCATCCCAAAGTCCAGAGTGGTGGTTACCCAAACCTTCATGTACTCACAGAGACACGAGTAAGGTGCTTCAATGCCACTCCCTAGTCTGCGTGACTGACAAGTTGGCAGGTGGTCAAGGTGCTAATCGAAGGCGGTCGAGCTGTCGGAGTCGAATACCAGCCGAATCCCAAATTCAGTAGCGATGACACGAAGCGCAAGATCCGCGCATTGAAGCTTGTCTGTCTCTCTGCTGGCGCCAATGCAACGCCTCTCATTCTTGAGCGCTCCGGTGTGGGAGACCCCGACGTTCTGAGAAAGGCCGGGGTTCAGCTCGTACAACCGTTACGCGGCGTTGGCAACGAGTACCAGGACCACCATCTTTCGCTGTGGGCGTACCGCACCGACTTGGGCCCACGCGAGGCTATCAACGGGTAGGTTTGACCTCGGGGATAGGTACTCGAGCCACACTGACTCCATCTCAGCTTCAATGACGGGCGATTCGACCTTCACCAAGCGATCCGTAACAAAGATGAGCTCCTGGGCTGGAACAGCATGGATGCATCTGGGAAGTTCAGGCCCACAGATGCTGATCTTCAGAAGCTTACTCCAGCTTTCCAAAGGGCATGGGACAAGGATTTCCGGAATGCGCCTGACCGGCCGCTCATGATCATCGCTTTGTACAACAGTTTCTTTGGAGAGTACTCAACTCTGCCAGATAGTGCCGAGTATGTCTCCATGGCTTGCTGGACTGCATACCCATACTCGAGAGGGTCAATCCATATCACCGGACCTGAACTCTCGGACCCAATCGACTTTGACGTAGGCTACTTGAAGGACGCCGACGACATTGACGTGCAAAAGCACATCTGGTCGTACAAGTTGCAGCGTGAGATGTTCCGACGCATGAGGTAAGTCGCGAAGTGACATCCAGATGTTTCGATGCTGACATCTATTCCACAAAGTCTCTATCGAGGTGAAGAGGCTGGCAGTCACCCGCCTTTCCCCAAGAGCTCAAAGGCTGCTATCGTGGAGTTTGCAGACGGTCCAATACCAGACAACACGCCCCCGATCGAGTACACGAAAGAGGATGACAAGGTCATTGAGCAGTATGTGGAGTCTGTTTGTGTACCTGAGAAGCTTGGTGCTGACAATGTGTTTAAAGGAAAGTGAGAGAGACCGTTTCCACAACCTGGCACAGTCTGGGCACTTGTAAGATGGTATGTTATGGAATGCTTTGATGGGCTATGCGTGTGCCACTACTAATTTCAGACACAGGCACCGAAGGAGCAAGGCGGTGTCGTGGACAGCACACTTTCAGTATACGGTATCAAGGGCCTGAAGCTTGCCGACCTGTCAGTGCCGCCAGAGAATGTTGGCGCCAACACCAACAATACGGCGCTCATGATTGGAGAAAAAGCTGCCGACATCTTCATTCACGAGCTCGGCTTGAAGGCAAGACTATAAATGGCAATGGCAAATATGACTGTGGACTCTTATGAACTATATCACGGCTGGGCTCTGTAAGTGATGCAGCTTCTTTTAGAAGTCTAAATGCGCTCATTCTCAATCTTGTTGTACCCCATTACCACCTGGTGTCCGTCTGCTCTGCGATCCAAGGCCTCAATCAGACTTTCAGATAACCATTCGCTGAAACACTTGATGTAACAACCATCACATACTCACAGACACTTTTCACGACATCATCCTTGCGATCTCCCCATCTTTAGAGTTAAGTTCTTGGCTTAAGCAACCTTCAACTTCATCTCTCGAAATAACAAGAGTGGGATGGTGCACCCAAATCATTGCCAGAAGTTAGAAGAAGAAGAAATAAGCCAAAATCAAATGAAAAAGCCTCAATGGACAAAGTGCTTGCAACGTGCATAGGGCAGTGTGACACGGCAGCCCCATCGATACACATTTAATTCCACTCCGCTCCCATTTCCTCCTCTAATTCAACGCAATTTTACCCATTTATCGATTTCCCTCCTCCATCATTCCCTCTCCTCATCGAGCTTCATCACTACCATCAATCAAGCAAACAATCCACTACGATCGTCCTCCTGCGACCAACTCCTCCAAACCGCATTTGTGTGCGTCATCATCATCATACACACATAGACACACAGACACAGTAGTTCACCAACAAACCAACCAACCAACCAAAGAACAAACAACCGCAACAATGCGCTTCTCCATCCTCAGCACCACCCTCCTCTTCACCACAATGGCCTCTTGCTGCCCCAACGTCGATGCCCAAAGGAAAAATTCCACGTACCCGATTGCTCCGGGAGCGAACCTCAATGGCACTAGCAGTAATGCCACACACAGCAATGGAAATGGAAATGGAAATGGAAATGGAAATGGAAATGGGGCAGAGATTACTCCTGCGACTTCTGGTGCTTCTTTGGCGATGGAGAAGAATCTTTTGGGCATGTTGACGACGACGACGGGGGCGATGGGGATGGTTGTTTGGGCTGTGTTGTAAGATTTTACCTTGCTCTCTCTCTCTTTCTCTCTCTCTCTGCGCCAGGAGGGTGAGGAGGTGTTGGAGCATGTGGAGTGGGGGGGGGGGGGGATGAGTTTCATTCGTGGAGGTGATGAGGCAAAATGATATGTCTGTCTATCTGGGTATAGACAAATGGGGGGTTGTCGAAGGTGGATGGAATTTCCTTGGTTATGGTTCATATTGAAGGTGGAAAATTTCTTCTTTTCGTCTTTTTTTCTTTTGTATGTATGTATGATTGATAATTCTATTTTTTCCCCTAAGGATTGGAGGTACTGTTGATCACAGACGGATGGTATTCACCATCAAAGAGTGAGAGATCAATCGATTTTGGAAGACACGACGGCGAAGAACTCCCCCTGTTGCTGACATGTTGCTGACATGTTCCCCAGCTGCATGAACCGGTGGAGAGCCGACAATGATTATGTTGATGAGCAGTCAATCCTTGGAAACGCGGTGGACGAAACATCAACAGCAAACTCAAGCAAACTCAATGCCTGCAAATGACGGTGCCAAGCTGGGGGGGACATCCTGGGGTTCCGTTGGTATACATCTGACATGTACCTCGATTCCAACAACATCACCCGGATACACTTCTTGCTGCATCGGACTTCTATCGGCGTGCTGTGGAGGGTTTGGAACGGGTATGAACTCTTTTTTTTTTCACCTCTCATTGCAGCGAAAGTAGCATGGTAATAACACCCAACCCTAGTCTTAATATCATGGCTGGTATTGTTGCACGACTCTTGGCATTCTCCCAAGCTCCGTTGGTTGCTCAGGTAAAGAAGGCTACTGGACATATTCGGGCGGTCGGGACTTGATCCAGCTGATACGGAAGTGTAGAACGCTTCTAATACTCACGATCTTGCTCCAGCTAGGACAACTGCCACAAGTTCCAGTGGTTCCGAAGCTTCCGCAGCTTCACAGAGCCCTCAAGAATGCAATTCGGATCGGTATGATCCATATGTCTGTGAGTGCCTAGGTCATAATGGCTGTTGGTTTCCCTCAGAGGTGCACGAAGGCCCGCCGTACTCACATGATGAGCCGTGGCCGGAGAGGTCCATCACCTGTAATATTCCTGCAGGCAATGATCCCAAGGGCAATGATGCTCCCGCCATCATCAAGGCATTTCACGACTGTCGAGAGAACGGCCACATTATCTTCGAGAATGCGACTTACTACATTGGTACCAAAATGAACACGACGGGACTCAAGGACGTTACCGTAGAGCTCCGAGGCACCATGCTCTGGAACACAGACATTCCATATTGGCTCGCAAACTCCATGCCCATCGGCTTCCAAAACCAAACCGCAGCCTGGCATCTCGGCGGCGAGAACCTCCACTTCTACGGCAACGGACATGGAACTCTCCACGGCAACGGCCAAGTCTGGTACGACTATAACAAAGGCGAAAGCAACCTCCACGGCCGACCGCATTCCATCCTCATCACCAACACCAAAAACGCCGTCATCGAAGGCCTCAACTTCCTCCAACCCCAAATGTGGGCCATGACAGTCGCCCGCTCCGAAAAAGTTCTCCTCCAAGACATTTACGTCAACGCCACCAGCGCCGACGGCAATCGCAATTTCCGCTCCAACGTCAACACCGACGGCGTCGATACCGTGTACACCAACAACATCACATTTCTCCGCTGGACAATCGACAACGGCGACGATAGCATCAGCATGAAACAAAATTCCACAAATATTTATATTTCCAATTGCACGTTTTACAACGGTCAAGCTCTCGCCATGGGTAGCATCGGACAATATCCGGGCCAGATTGAAGTCATTGAAAATGTCACGGCGACGGATATTCGATGTGTGAATACCGGGTATGCGGGAAGAGTCAAGTCGTGGACGGGGAAGAATAAGGGTTTCCCTCCGAATGGAGGCGGGGCCGGGAAGGGTTGGGCGAGGAATATTACGTTTATGAATTTTACGCTCGAGGATGTTAATCTTGCGTGGGCGATTTCGCAATGTACTTCTTATAATCGTGCGAGAGGGGATTGTAATTCTTCTGATTTTCAGGTATGTTTTTTTCCTCTCTTTTTTACCCTCGTCAGCTCAAGCCGCCGCTAGCATCCTTTCCCCTTTTCTTATATTTCCCCCAAAACAAACCAAAAAAAAAAGAAAAACAAAAGACAAAATCACTAACATCTCCCCACCGATCTCCTCCCTACACTGGGGCCGCACCCATGGAACCCTCAAAGGCGACCGCATCGCCACGCTCCAATGTTCCGCCTCAGCACCCTGCAGCAACATCCATCTCTTCGACAACGACCTCTACGCTCTCGATCAACATCTCAAACCCGCAGACTCGTACTTGTGCGAACAAGTCGTGAATCCTACGGGATTCAATTGTACCGGTCCGTGTGCGGGGCAATGTCCTCATTGAATTACCTATTCTTCTATCATTTTGTGGAGGTTTCTGACGTTTGGAGTTTGGTTTTTTTTTATGGAGGAACAGCGATGCGGCAGAGAAATGGTGCGTTGGGGGGGATGGTTTCGATGGGGTTTTTGGTGGCGGGGTTTGGTGGGTGTTCTGGTTTGGGAGTGGTGCTGCTTCTTAGTGTGGTGGTACAAATGTTGGTGTAAAAAAGAAAGAAATCTCCTGTCTCCACTGACGAAGAAGGGACTCGAGGGGAATTTAAGCGGGTGAAAAAGCATGCCGAGAGCAAAGAAGTTGGCGTGGATACGTCTTCTTTTTTCTTTGCTATCAGGCTGTGTGGGTTGGGGGTGGGGAGTAGGTGGAACAAAAGTTAAAAGAAGAAGAAAAAGAAAAAGAAAAAGAAAAAGAATATCATGAAACTTGAAAATATGCGCTGCGTTGCATCCGTCCAAAAAAAAGTCCAGTTTCTATCCTGCACCTAAGACACATGTATCAATCCCCCACCTTGAACCAGTAAACTCCGCTGAAAATCCTCTCCGCAATCAATTCGCAACAGCAACCGGCTTCGTCGCCGCCGCCGCCGTCGACTTGGGCTGGGTAAAAGTTTCCGGCCAAAGAAACGCTCGCTCTTCCACACTGGGGGTCATAGCCTTGAACGTCGGCACAGCATGTTTGGAAGACATTTTCCTCCACAAATTGGCTCGTGGGTTGAATTTGACGGGCAGACCTTCACCTTTTGTCTTGGCTTGGTCGAGTTTGGCAATTTTGGTCACTTCGCGCTGGATGTCGGCGAAGCTGTCGTAGGGAATGTGTTCGATGTTATTCTTGATGCAGTGCTCCTCGAGTGCGAGGCCTCGGCGGGCGAAGAGGACGTCGGATTGGCCGGCTGCGGCGAGATCGGATATGCCGTCTCCGATGAAGACAATCTGTACGAGGGTATGTCAATTTTTTTGTGTGGAAGCTGCTATGAGGGTCCGATCATATATGCATACCATGGGGATTGTGCCATCGTCACTTTCAAGCTTGGCTCGTGTCTTGTATTCATCAATGGACAAAGCCTTGTCGTGGCCCAAGGTCGTCTCATGTCTCCAGATGGGCTTCCATTGATGACCTTCAGCATCGATCTCTGCCTCATTGGCCACAATATCGATACCGCTGCTCTGCTCCTCTCCGAGGAAGTGGTCGAGTACTCTCCGCAGCACAGGTTTGAGTCCAGCAGAAATGACATTGAAGGGGATGTTGTTGTTATTGCAGAACTGGTGGAATGACTTGAAGCCGGGATCTACGACCAGATCCTTTTCGAGAGCCTTGAAGCCGTCGTCGAAGGGAACATCAAGCGATCCCCACATCTCCTCCGAGACGTCTCTGAAGCTGCGTTCGCCACTCTTGATTTGCTCTTCGAGTTCAGCTCGCCTTTCCGTGCCACAGCCATACGCATGGAAGAGAATATGTCCCGTGTCTTGCATGAAAATCGTCCCGTCGAAATCTGCGTGTGTCAGAGTAGGATACTGGTGGACGAGCTGCACAGACTACGCACCAGAGAAACATATAATCTTTCTCGCTGTGCCCATGTTGGACACATCCAGCGACTGCTCACCCGTGAGCTCCTCAGCCCGCTCATTCGGCGGCGTCAATGCTGCGGGTGCCATATTAGTGTGAAAATCAGCGGGAAAATGAGGCCGAAATGGGGAGGGAAAAGGTGGATGTAGTAGGAGGTAAGAGAATGGGTGTGGAAAGAGGATGTGAGTCTATACTAGGAGGTAAGGCGAGGTCCGGCAGAAGGGGCCTCGTGGAGCTGGACTGGGACAGGCCAAAAGCGTGTGGACGATCCAGCACTTGCACTCCGCTAGAAGCCACGGTGGCCCAGAGCGGGAATTATGTGACTTGCCACCGGCGGGAGTCCGCCAGCAGCAGCAACAACAGCAGCAGTGGTCGGAGTGAGGTGGCGTGGTTGAGATGTTGCTGTCTTCTGTGCATGAAGCTAGCCTGGGAGCGGTGTAGCGGAGCGGGAGGGTCTCCTGTCCGCGCAGTCGAGAGCCATCCGCGTTGCCTCTCAACGCTTTCACATGCACACATGCACACACACATGCTGCACAGAACAGCTCAAATCTCGCAACTACCGAGATCTCGATGGCCCCGGACATTGACTTTGTAGCTGCCAAGTGGATCGCTCTGAAACTACACGAGAGACGCCAGCCTCGTGGGCTTATCTGTGGTCCTCGTGGGTATAGGAGAAAGGGCTACACCGCCGCCTTTCGGGGTTTCCGAGCGGAGCTTCTTCTGTCAGGTACTGTAGCCTTCACCGGTGGCAGCGCTGCATCCTCGGGTAGTCGGTCTTGTGGCAGCAAAGAGGAGAGCTGCTTTGGCAGCGGTGGTGGACAGTGACGACAATATGCTTGCTCGTGGATGCTCCATGACAAAAGTGCTGAGCACGTGGTGGGAGGGCGGAAGCTGAAGCTCGAGTCTAGACTCTAGAATTGTCGACGTAGATGCAGATCTCTTCTGCCTCTTGCCAAGCCACGGAAGCTGCCCAAAGCGGTAAAGCGTGAGAACATAACCTGGGGTTGGGGGGTTGGGCTTTGATTCTCAACGTGAGCATAGATGATCGTTTTTTTGTTTGAAGATGTAGCGAGTGAATACTCCAGTAGCATACTAAGAGCCGCAGACTCCAGTTGCGAAATTTCGTCCGCGAATTTTGTGGAGTCCGTATTCGGAACATACTCCGAATACATGATAGACGAACCCCTTCATAAGGTAACACGCGGCAGCGCTTCTTACATTCTATGAATATCCATTACTTTGCCGTGTGGGCGTGAAAGTTGACTCAGAAATTGCGCGAGATATCCAGAAGAGAACAAGCAACCGGTTGATACATTGACATCTCAGAACATATGTGGACTCAAATCATTCCTCTCTCCTTTTTGACAAAATCCTCTGTGAGAGCTTCATAACTCGGGGCGCCTTTCAGCCTAGTTTGCTGCTCAATCTTAGTGTGCACCACTATATGACCGCCATTCATCTTCTGCTCTGCACAGTGCGCTGGTTCGATACCTCGCGAAACCAGCTCGATGGAATCCCCGTTTTCCAGCGATCTATCCGGATAGTGGCCAGTGCGCGATCGTTGAAGTCGAGGCACCTTGTGGGCAACAGTAGGACTCGAGACATGGGTGCTGAAGCGTCCCTTGAAATCGCTCTTGGCGCCCACGGTCCATTTGCCACTCTGAGGTGGCCCATCAGGTTTGCTGAGACTGTGAGTGTTGGAAGCCGAGCTCGCTTGGTAGCTGGTGGCGGCCCTGAGCAGCCTCGGGAAAAGACATCGGAGTGTGGGCAGACATGAGCAGATGATCGCCACGTTGATTTCGATCGTGCTCCATATGACTGCCATAGGGTTTTCCCACGTGGTGTCCTTCGACTCCATAAGGTGATAAAGGGAGGGGAGCCTCAGAATGGATACAATGACTACGGCGCCAGCTAGCGCAAACACCGCCACGAGAGCGTACCTCTGGCGCCGGGGAAGCTGAAGGTTGTTGATGTAGGGCAGTGGTAACAACGCAATCATAAGGTCCGTAGTCATGTTGAGTATGGTGCTGGCCAGTGACAGTGCCAGACGGTCCTGACACTTCTTCTGCTTGATCGAATGGTCCCAGAAGGCGGCCGGGGGGTTGCAGGTGAATATGGCAGAGAAGAGCCTCCAGATGCCGTAGCACGAGACGATTCCAATGACGACGTACGTTGCCGTCCGAACGGACTTTTGAGGAAAGATGCGGAGGTATTGGCATAAAATCGACAGCTTCGTGCAAAGCAGTGAGAGATTATAGACAATGATCATTGCCCAAAACTAGGTAAGATCATCCCGTTAGCAGGCACTTCCTTGGGCTTGGATGGTATACTGACTGCTCTCAAAGTGAGCTTCGCCGTATGAGGGCTCAGCGTCCATTGATGCAATCCCATCCCTTCCTCGGCTTGTGCAATCATCGTTATGGTAGTTGCCCAAGAGAACAGCTGCGATATATTAGTCCACATCGTGCGGTGCCATCATTCCAGCGTACCACAGCTGCTATGATGAACGCATCATCTCGACCAGCGTTCTTGCTCACTCCGAGCCTCGCATACAGTCGCAGACTCGTCATCAAACTCGCGATCGTGGGCATCACCAACGTGGTGGCGAATATAGCCCCCTTGGAGGCATTACCATACAACATGATCGGGTAAAGTCTTGAGTGGCCAGCTCCAGCTTACGCAAACCGGTCGCGCTTCGATGCTCAAATGAAAAAAAAAAGCTGTAAGGAGTCCACTCACAATCGAGGTGGTGTTGGAGAATAATGCGACGAGAGATGTGTACACTCGCACCTTATGCTGGATCCTTGTGCGAACATGCCAATAACCATGTCGGCACCCATGAACAGCTTATACCAAATCTGGTGTCTTGAGCTCGAAACTGCGTTTACGATACAGCATGTCCTACACCATGTCAACGCGACATATCAATATCAGCTCGGAAAAGCGGCGCATCAATAGACTTGAGCCGAGACAGTGCCCAGAGCCGATTTCCATCAGTAGCTGAGATGGCTCATGGTCTTTCCAGCCTTCCGGGCACCTACAGTCGTGCGCTTGGGCGTACGCGCTGGGCGTACCACCTACAAGGGCAGCTGAGCTCGATCTTCCTGGTCCCTGACGGCAATGTGGTTGCGCGCACATCGTGCAGGAGGCAGGAGATTATTATATACCAGCTGGTCACTTGTGAGAGCATCGCAGTACCAGTCTTGCACCGCCCCGTCGCCCATCGGATGAACATGAGTAGCAGTAGTGTGCCTCTCAGTACGTGGACTTGAGAGAGATAGCTATGAATGGATTCGCTGGAACCAACACAGCTATACCAATGTGGAACTCCGCCGCAGATTCGCAGCATCCCAGGGAGACAGGGAGAGAAGGGGGAAAAGGGGAGGGAGGGACCGAGAGACTCGAGAGAGAAAGAGAGTTCGGGGCAGTCCTACTGTACGCCGCACGGTCTGTACCTGTAAGGCTGTAAGCCTGTACCCGCGATTGTGCCGATCGCCAATAGACAACAAGTGTGGGGATTCCAGGTTGCAACTTGCGGCCTGAATTGCGCCAAGACCCATGTATATCGACAACCTTACCATTTACCACTTGGGATTCAAGCTTCGACATGCCCTCACCGGTTGCATTGGCCCCGTCCGTTTTCGACTTTGCGTAGTGCCACTTCAAATCTCATCCTGATTCCTCGGCGGGGATCGTGCCCATGTTGGGGCTTGAGCAGAGTCCTGACATTATCTTTACAACTGTACACTCATCCTACTCGTACACTCTCCTTTTGTCACTGCGAATCCATCCCACGGAGTCTCTTGACTTCTGCGCGATACTCCTCAACAGTGACCTCACTCTTCTTGTGTCGCGCAGCGACTTCGCTCAGCCCAATTCCACTCATGCTGCTCATCTCCGTCTCAGTGAAGCCCATTTCCCTCTTCGGCGGCCTTTTGCCCTCCGCAATGCACCTGTCCACAATCTCGTTATAGCTTACATCGTGTTTCTCAGCAAGCTGAAGTAAATTGTTGATGTTCTTCCAAGTCTCGTAGCGCAGATCGCCAAGGGTGATGTTCGTAGCGCTACGCACAACCCTTCCAAAGGTCCTATCATCTACATCCGCATCTGTGGTGGAGTCATGTACTACTGCAGCACGCGTACCAGGGTCTGCGGTCATCTCATCGTACACTTGGCGCATGACTGCTTCAGATGCTTTCAACGCCCCCTCCGGCGGCAGAAGCGTCAGGCACAGGTGCTTGTCACTAAAGTCCTGGACAGCAGGTCGATCCCGCGTCTCGAGCTCAAGCACGGCAAGGTCGGCGTTCAGCTTTTCTATGCCCTCATAAAGCTCGGCGAAGCTCACTTGCTCGTGGCCAGAAGCAACATCGGTATCGGGCTCGTACGCTTGGGTGATGGCATAGTCGATCGAGCTGTGGTGACTTTGTGGAATGAACATTTTCAAGGTATCGAATTGCTCCCGTGCAAAGGATACTTTACCTGTGGCGCGAACGGATTTGCTGAGAACAAAGAAGTCAGTCGGATCTGGCCATTGATCCTTCGCTCTTCTGGCCTCGATGATCTTGCTCCACGACTCCTCGATCATCGCTTGGTCTCCCCACATGCCAGCAATGGCAAGGACGGTGCGTCGAGTCACCTCATTCTGCGTCATTTTCAGAGCTTCGAAATCTTTCAGCACAATGCCGAGCGTCTCTTTGGACCTACCATAGCCGGCAACGTTTATCAATATGGAATTTAAGGCTGCCGGACTGGGCAGGACACCAAATCGGGCAAATGTCTCGAACATCTGACGCACGAAGAGCAGAATTGCGTCTACAAGCCTTTTACGCTGCTTGCCTTCCAGCTTGTCGACTCCAGGACGGCGGAATATGGTGGTCGTCGTGATGATCAGCTCGGCAACGTTGTTCGGGACGACCTTGCCAGTAGCTCCCAGCTGAAGATGCGTTGCTGTTAACATTGCTCGAAGTGAGGCAATGTGGTGCTGAGCAGAGCGAGACTCAGCCGCCGCTCGCAGCTTGGGAAGGAGAGTCCTGAAAACAACAGATGGCAGAACCAGCCCTGCACGACAGGCTAGTGCAAAGACCGCGTAGGCTTCAGACACTGGTCGTTCCTCCAAGAAGAGCTTGATGAAGCGAGATTCGACTGCGGCAGGAAAGAGTCTGAAAACAGTATCTAGCGCAAGGTATGCTCGACGTGAATCACCACGCATGAGGCGCGCTGTGGTAATGGCCTGAAGCAAGCTGACAGGAAGCCCCTTCACGGCCGTACTTGCTTCTCGATCAGGAAGCATGGCGTTCGGGGACATGTGGTATGCGCTAAAGTTGCCTGGGAAGCGAGCCAAAGCCCTAGAGTAGAGTGACTCGAGGTCTTCAAGGGGAGTGCCATGAATGGCGAGCAATTCGATGGCCGCGCCATACGTTTCATGTCCCACGTGCTGATCATCTTGAGGCTCCAGCCAATTCCAGAACATGATGCCAGAATCGAGGTATCCTGACTCTTTGAAAATGCCCAGCAAGTGTGTGTGAGCCCTCTTAGAAGGCACGAGGTTGCCATGGCGAATATCTTTGACCAGAAGCTCTGCAAAGCCCACAATGGCTTGCTTGCGCTCTGATTGCTGGAGTTGTTGCGGCTGCTGATTCTCGGTTCTCAAGGCTTGATGTGTGCATTGTGCAATCGCTCGAAAGTCCTCGGCGACCAGTGGTTTCTTCTCGGGCAGATCGCGATACAAACGGAAGACCGCAGCAGTGTTGTTCTCCTTGACGGCCGTCAGGAGATCCTCGCGAAGCCCAAATGCCTTGAACTGATATGTCTGTGGTCCTGCTCGTCGCGCCTCCCAACGTTCACGTTTTCGCCGCTGTGCATCCGACAGTCTCCTGCTTCCCGCTGTTGCTTCGCTCCCCTCCGCCGCTTGCTCTCCGTCCTTGTTCCTCCACTGCTCCGCATCAGCCTTGTAGCGCGCTCGGGCTATGGCATTCCACTTCTTCCTCGTCTGTTCCTGCTTCCGTTCCTGTTTCTGTTCGTCTTCATATTCCTGATCCTGTCCATCTCCATGTCGATGGCTGGAGGTGAAGAGTCTCACCGAGCCATTCTTATTGAATGCCGTCTCGCCATGGCGCGACCGTACCACAAATGTTCTCAGCCAGTTTCGATGGGACTGCAGCTCAATCTGGGCTCGTCGGAGCGGGAACGAGAGCATGCTAACTCTACTCTCCAGATTCCGCAGCCAGAAGCATCGCCGACATGAGATTTCGCGTTCCACGCAAATTCTTCACGGAGAGGATGGAGGATCGAAGCTACCGTGAGCTAGAACAAAAATTAGGTAGAACCACGCTCCCTGCATATTTCCTGCCTGAGGTGTCACTTGTCCCATCTCTGTAAACCACACCGTAGTTCGATTAGCTGTTCACTCCGCGACCTGCATACCTTACCATACCACCAACACCTGTCAGCAATTTGACGCAGAACCTGGGACAAGATGTCGCCCAACATGTCGCTCTTCAGCGTCAACGCGATCCTCGTCCTCTCTACCGACGACTCATCCCGCATCCTCGCCAAATACTACAGTCCGCCTCACATTCCCGCCAATGCCGTGGGTAATAACTATCCAGGCGCACAGCCCTACCCGACACTCAAGGATCAAAAAGCATTCGAGAAGGGTCTTCTAGAAAAGACGAGCAAACAGACGAGCGATGTCATCCTCTACGACAACCGCGTCGTAGTCTTCAAGAACGAGGCCGACGTGATGTTGTATGTTGTGGGAGGCAGCGAGGAAAATGAGATTATGCTGTACAATGTTGTTCTCGCACTCAGAGACAGCTTGCAGGTCCTGTTGAAGTATGCTTCCCCGTGTTGCCGAAGTACCCAAGATGGGTTGTGCTAACATGGTGGACCAGAGGCTCCGTGGACAAGCGGACATTGATCGAGAACTACGATCTTGCATCGCTTGCGATTGACGAGATCGTCGACGATGGCATCATTTTGGAGACTGACCCAGTCATCATCGCCAGCCGAGTCAGCAGGCCTCCAGTGCAGGACATTCCAAACATGCAGGGGCTGGATCTGTCGGAAGAAGGGTTGTTGAAGATATATCAGTTTGGAAAACAAAAGCTGGGCGAGAGATTACGGCAGGGACTCTAAAATGGTGGTCTGTGGGACATGTGTGGTTCTGAAGGGCATAGCGATGGAGTCTGGAGTTATGGGCGAGGATACAGTGAAGAGTTGGAAGGAGAACAGGAACCACACCCAAAGGCGTGAGAAAGTCGTGGGCCTGGTGTGTATCGATCTGGGGGGTGAAATGATGGCTGCACTTGACTTAGCTGCTGCTCTCACTCGACAGCGTGTGCTACCGCAGAATTGGCTCACGACGAGTCCGAAAGGAAGATATGGCGCACGGCACGCCACGGGAGTCCACTCGCCTGCAACATCACGTCAGATAGTTGTGCGAGAGTCCATCTGTTCCTCTGCTCCTGCGCCTCCATTCGGCTTACTGATCACGACACAAGGCAAGTTGGCTGTAACCCAAGACTATCTGTCTGATCATACAGGTACTTGGATCGCACTCGTAGAGTTGATATGTATAGTTTCGAACTCGCGATGAAGTCTGATCTTCAATCTCTCCTTTCAGCCTTCTGCACTCCTATGGTTCACAAAAGCTGCTCGCGTACGCGTACGCTCCCTGAGCCAACACATCTTGTTTATAGAGGCTGAAAGATTTGAGTCCTTGAGCCTTTGTGGAGGCAGGTTCCTGTACGCAATGCGTTCGAGCGTTCATACCCGGGCACAAATATCCTCTCTCTTGAGCATGTGGACTCTACCTTATAGTCCCATCTACGCTGCAGTCAAAGACTACCTCACTTGGCATTTTTGTTTTTCCTCATATTTACTTCTCCAATCACTTCGCCCAATTGCAATCCCTGAGCATCACAAGTGAAGTAGCCGAGTTTGGCTCTGGAGGGAGTGTGGACGTAAATATTTGGCGGGAAACGATCTTCACTTCAAAAGTGCTTACAACAAGCTATCGACCCATCCATTCGCAATTTCGATGGATATCGACATGCCGAAGGTCCCCCGAGGCGTCAATGCGTTTCGCGAGCGTCATGCTCGAAGCACAAACGTCGAGCGAATGCTGCACTGTGATCCAAGATCCACCATGGATCTGACGGTCTGCATAAGAAAGATATCGCCAAGGCCAGGGAAATCGGTACTTGCCGCCGTGCGCGCTGTATTTCTCCTTGGACTCTGGAGCGGCACACATTATAGCGCAGCGCTTGACCAGGATCAACGAAGGCATGCTAGTGGTTGCGATGCAGAGCTTTGTCAATCATAGCAAATTGATTGGCCGATGAAGTCAATTGGGAGGTGGGTGGACGTTTGTGCGCATTTGAACTTCATGGACAGGTAGGTAGCCGCAAGCACAGAAGACTCGAGACAAGTGATGTTTTCTGTTTGTTCTACTTGCAATCTGCACGTCGAGGAGATCAATCGAGGCGGCGAGGTGCATTTGGCGTGGGCGAAGTGCGAGAACAAGGGAAGAAAGAAGGCAATAAGGAGGCATAGGCGAGGTGATCCGATGGGTGCTCGTGGTGGTGGAGGTGGAACAGTATATGCTGGCGGGTCTTTTAGGGGTCAAAGCAATGTACCAGATAGCTTGCGATCAGAGCGTCTGCTCAAACCAAGGAACTGTCCTTCCGGGTTCCGTGTCTCCACCAGTCTCTCCTAAAAACCGATGTCTCGAGGTCGGAGGGGGTGTTGCCGAATGCTCGTGAATATGCTTGTCGCCGGTCCTTTCGTCTACAGACCACGGCAATCAAGGTCGGCTTCAGAACCAGAGAAAAGAGTCCCAAGGTCCAACAACAGAGACACTAGTATCAGTATCCCTTGCAACGTTGTAGTTCCCTGCGACAATTGAGAACACTAAGCGTTCACAGACCTAGAGCCAACGTGCGGCGGGAATCTTCATATTCCTCGACGAGCAATCTGTGCTGTGCGTGGAATGGAGTCTATGGCAGAGCGGCAGTGCTGTCCAAGAACGTTGTCACTAAAACCAACTATTGGCGTCCGAAGCAGGACGGTTGCGCGGTCCTCTATCAAAAGTGCATCACGAAGGAGACAATGTGGAAATTCTCGCTGCTTCCTAAGTGGTTTCACCGTTACCTTACTACTTTCATTATTCTGCTTCGCAGCCATATACGTACTCGGCCTCGACTCGATAGCACAAGCCTGCCAGCCTTTATCACTGACGTGGCCGTTGTCATCCTCACACTTTGTCTTGACACGCTGTACTCAGTGTACTGTATGCTGCGCGTACTTCGCCATCCCACGAAAATAGTCCCACCGCCCTAACAGCCATAAATATTCCGATGATGGGCTTTGGAGGGTACAGTACCTCCTACTAGCATGGTCAGCCACACGTTCTGTGTCGATCTGTGCCTGTGCGCGGAAGCCGGCGGTGACCGGTCCGGCTCGCTACCACAGGCACAAGCATCATTGGCAGTCATGTGTATGCGTCTGTGTGTGTGTGTGTGAGAGAGAGAGGGACTCGTGAGCAGGAGACGAGTCGCGACAAGTCTCTCTCAAGCTTTTAGTCAGACGACGCCGTAAGCCGTGGCCAAGATGAGAGACCCCCCAATATCCACGTGATAGTTCATCCTGTAGTTCTTGGGGACTGCGCCGCCGTCTCTGACGCCATGCCGTCTCGCTCGCCTACATGTCAATCATCACCTCACCGCGGTTCCCCAGGTAGGAGTAGTGGCTGCGGGAAAGCCCGCGTTGGCCCAGAGTCGTGTCGGGCGTGACCTGGACGTGAAGTGAAGCGAAGCGGTGAAAGGGGCTCGTCTGTGTCGAGTCTCTAGGTTTGGTGATAATGCACTGGAGGCCCAAGTGATGGTTGTACATAGTGTTGTCTGGTGAGTGGAGTCTCTGGGCTTGTCTCGGGTTGAGGGCACGAAGACGTCTGCCCGGGACGCTGTGGAGCCCTCGCGCACGGGAGAGCCCTGAGAAGACACAAGGAGCCAAGAGCATGCACATGACGTAGCGTCAGAAGGAGCTCCGTCTCGCTGCACGATTTTGTCCACCTCGACGACGACGACCGCTAGAACACTGGCCTGAACTCTATGCGTCTACATGTCCGATGATCCACCTACCACCATCACTCTCGCAAGGTCCTCATTGTGCGCGCTGGACGCTTGGGTCGCGCACCGCCCGAGAAGAGGCAGCGACGTGCCAGAGCGATGAACTCGTCTCGGCCACCGAAGGAGACCATCCAGGATGACTCTGACCACGACGACAGCGAGCCGACGCCTACGCCTACGAGTGTGCCTCCACGACCCAGCGCCCGTGAATACCTGACCGATGCGCGTCCGCTCCTGGTGCGCTCGCCTCCAGGGCGACTGTCGGAGCTTGGTCGGGATGCCGACGACGAAGGGGTCAGCCAGGCTGACTGGACTGATGGCAGCTCAGATGATGCTGGCGCGGCGCGAGATGCGGTGGGAGACAAGGCGGCAGCGAGAAGAGCAGCACCCGGAAATCCGCCCGGCAAACAGATGTATGGCATATCGCCACAGCCGCAGGCCACTCTCGCAGACTTGAAGGACGCACTCAAACGTGCTGAGGCCCGTCCGCGCAGAAGCTATGGCGCGCCGGGCACACCAGGAGGAGTCAGCAAGCGTGTGTCGCCTATCAAAGAAGAGGCAAGCAGCAACAACTCGCCTGTCTCGATCAATGCCATGCTGGAATCGAATTCGCCCGTGCGAACCACTTCAGCCGAGTCTACGGAGTCTGCTCGAACCATTAGAGGCAGTGCTATGCCTAGCCCTTCTACTAACATTCCGCTGAGAACACCGTCCTACCCGTTCCCATATGTACCTGGTACGCCACGCTGGCGGCAGAATCTGCATCAGCCATTCACGGCATTGTCACCGACAGTCCCCGGCCCAGAGCAGAATGAAAATGAAGCTGAAAGTCCGGAGAGGCCCGGATACTCCGCATTTTCTGGCAGCAGCAGTCCAGCCGCTAACAGTGCTTTCATGCCCCCAGGTGTGGATTTTGAAGGAATGGAAGATCCACGGTATCCTACCCCTAATCTCTACGATCTTGTTCTGCAGCTCAATACAGAGCCTGGACTGGAGCAATGGTGGGCGACGGTGACGAACATTCTTCACGACCACTTCCTAGCGGAGCGGGCATCCCTCGTGCAACCACTCGACCCTAATGACATCGAAAATGTTCCCTGGGGTCAGAAGGCTACTTTCAGTATGAATGGTCGAGACGATTTCATGCCACCCAGTGCATTGGAACAATTGCACAGTCTGGATCTACACAGACCGGATATTCAAGTTCGAGAGCCCAGCAGCGAAACTCTTGGCAATGTGCAGCCTCAGAAGCTGCATCCAGAAAGGCTGCGGCCCCGTCTGGAGACACGACACTCTTATGCTGGCCATGGTCGCGAAGTGCGTGACGTATTAGGTGCTCTGAATACTCCTCCAACACGTGCGAGCTCCAGGCCACAGGGACCCCAGAGGACCGTCACTCACGCAGCAGGCACAACACCATCCAATTCTCGGGGCGACATACCGCCAAAAAGGTTTCCTTCAGTAAACAACATGCGTCAAGGACCACTCAACGACTCCAACTTTAGCAGTCTTGCCGATACGTCTGACAGCACTGGTCCATACGCCGAGATCTTTGCCTCGATACGTCCCCTTAACCAAGAGGGTTATCCTCTTGTTGAATCAGCGGGTATCTGCCGGGTCCTAGATCGTGGCAGCATTGTTGCTATCACTAGGGACTACTCTGGCGATGAGAACCAGCCTAGATTATCGCGTTCCGCTCCAACCGCGTTCTTTTCTGCTGGAAATACTGGTCATGGGCGCGGCGCGTTTGCTGGCGGTATCGACCCACAGCTTGACTGGGGCTATAACGAGTACGAACAACATCCGCCTTCGCCTTGGTCGCAATCGCCGGCTCCATCGCCCGCCATTCAGGCAGACGAGGAGATCAACCCCTTCTTTGCGTCTGACGATCAATTGCTAGACGAGTCTTTCAACCCTGCCACGAGTCCAAAGGACTATTCGCATTACGACCAGGTCGAGGCTATTGGCATCGACTATGCGAGTACTGTGATACACATTCCTCTGATCCACCCCACCCTGTCTCAGCCGATGCAAGCGCTGCGCATGACACCAGGCGCAAAAGACCCTGCGGCTCCTCGGACGAAACGTGGTACTACGGACGTCAACAGGAAATCCCCTATCGCAATATTGTCGCTGTTGACTGCGACTGTACCGTACCCATGTAATCTCGTGAAAGCGCTCAAGCTTCTCGGACCTCATCTCGCTACATCATTGCAGAACGCGACGCATTTTTCATCTACCCATGCTAAGGTTGTCAACATTCGCCAACGGCGAACGACTAGTGGTAGTCACACCAAGTCTGCACCTATGACGGTCGAGCCGGCCTCATTAGAGGACATAGTCAAAGCAGAATTGGAAGAGCGTCCAGGCTCAGAAAGCATGACCAGCCCCTCAGACTACTCTGGTCGATCCCGAATCAGCCCTTCGGGGTCCATTGTAGGAACGCCAGGCTGGGACCCTGCTGCGCATGGTTGGACGGCGAGTAGATCTCGTGGTGGCACACCAGCGCTCACGGGCTCCGAGATGGTCGACAATTACTTTGATGCCAAGATCCGTTCAACGCACCGGAGCGGAAACAGCAACATGGCTACAACTCCGGCCAAATCAAAGTCAAAAACTCCCAGTAGTGAATCGCAAGCTGAGGGCGACGTTGTCCTATCGCGAGGCGAGCGGAAAGCCAGGGCCGCTAGCACCAGCACCAACAAGTCAAACAAGTCGCCTGTGCTGCCTCATCCTGGTGAGCTTGGCTTTTCACCCACGACAGACTCGTCCTCGCCGCTGAAGTCGACCTTGTCGCAACTTCCAGACTCGGATCTGCAAGGCAAGAGGCATTCCCTGTTGCACTCTTATGGCGCTGACTTCGAGACAACATTTGGTGGCCTGCAGGCGTCTACGCCGGCCAATGCACGTCATTCTGGACACGCGCGCGCGGGCTCCTATTCGGAGGATATGCCGCCGCCTTCGGAACGACTTTTGCGAACCATCATTGACTCTGTGCCTGTCCAAATATTCACAGCGCAGCCCGAAACGGGAAAACTCAGCTGGGTGAACTCAAAGTTCCTCATATATCGCGGACAAGATCCCGCTCAAGTACTCACGGACCCGTGGGCAGCGATTCATCCCCATGATCACCGGGAATTTCTGCCAGCCTGGCAACGATCGCTCAGGACAGATCAGCAATTGCAACAAAAGGTCCGCTTGAGGCGTTTTGATGGTGCATATCGCTGGTTTTATGTTCGAGCGGCGCCGCTCAAAGACAAGAAGCAGAAAGTGGTACACTGGATCGGCACTCTCATGGATTTCCACGAGCAGCAGATTGCAGAAATCAATGCTGCGCGCCAGCAGGAGACTGCCGCGTCCGAAGCAAAGTATCGTGCGCTTGCGAATTCGAGCCCACAAATAGTGTTTGCGGTCAACAAGACTCGAGGTGTCACATTCTGCAATACTCAATGGCTTCAGTACTCTGGACAGGCTGAAGCTCAGGCACTTGGCGTTGGCTTCATGGAGCATGTGCACCCTGATGACCTGGTGAAGTGTAGACTGCCCTCCTTTGATCCGGAGACGAGCAAGTTCAACGTACCGACCACATTGCCTACCGAACCAGCGCGGACTTTCAGCAACTCCGAGGCGTCCATGACCGACTCAAATGAGACCGAGAAGCCTTCATCAGGACCAGCTTCAGTATCTGCCTCGGCGTCTCCGTCTCCGATACGACAATTGCCGCAGCGAGAGCTTTCGCAATTGGCATCTGCTGGCATTCTGAAGGTCACACGCGAGACGGATGGGCGCCCATCGTACTCCACAGAAGTCCGGCTCAAGAGCAGTGCTGGCGATTACAGGTGGCATCTCGTCCGTGTCCTGATCGCTGAGCCCCTGCTGCAGCACGATGACGAAGAGGAGACCTGGTACGGCACATGCACCGATATCAATGACCACAAGGATCTGGAGCGAGATCTGAAAAATACCATGGATGCCAAGTCTCGCTTCCTCAGCAACATGTCGCACGAAATCAGAACGCCGTTGAATGGCATTACTGGCATGGTGAACTTCCTCATCGATAGCAGTCTCACAGCTGAGCAGATGGAACACGTCAATATCATCAGGGCCAGCACCGAGGGCTTGCGCGGCCTCATCAACGACATCCTCGACTTGTCCAAGGCAGAAGCAGGGATGATTCAACTCAATATGGACTGGGTCTACGTTCGAGCACTCATCGAAGAAGTTAACGATTTGACATCTGCCATGGCTATTGACAAGGGCTTGGAGCTCAACTATATTGTCGACGAGAACGTGCCTCCTCAGATCAAAGGTGATCGCTTCCGCATTCGGCAAATTCTGCTCAACGTAGTTGGGAATGCGATCAAGTTCACGCAAAAGGGCGAGGTGTTCATCAGATGCAGCATACGAAACGCGGACGTGCTTATGGAAGATGACGAGATGCTGATCGAATTCAGTGTGATCGACACCGGCCAAGGCTTCACGGATGAAGAGGCGGATTCATTGTTCAAGCGCTTCAGCCAGATCGATGGCAGTAGCACCCGGCAACATGGCGGTACAGGGCTCGGTATGTTTGCTGTATTCATTTTGTGGTAATCTTTGCTAACGATCGTAGGTCTGGTGATCTCGAAGCAGCTCGCGCAACTGCACGGGGGTGATATGAGCGCCAAAGGAGTGCCCGAAAAAGGCTCAACTTTCTCCTTTTACATCAAGTCCACTCTGCCATCTGACGATGACAAGCCGCCGATGCCGATGCCAACTCCTGGGGCCAGCCCGGCCAACCTTCCCCAGCTACCGGCATCTGTTTCGGCTTCACTAGATGCCCAGCCGAGATTTACGACAGAAGTGACCCAGACACCTCCGCAGTACTTGACGGCCTCGGATGCAGATACGGAGTCACCTTCAGTCTCGTCGGCCAGCTCTGATCCGTCTCTACGCTCCATTACCCGTACCGAAAGCTTGCGATCAGAACGATCTTCGGCGTCTTCCTTCACCCACGAGATGCTTTCGGGAGGAGCAGCACAGATCAAGCTTGCATTGCCATCGCATGAATTGACGCTCACTCGATCTGAAAGCCTAGCATCCAGGTCCATTGATGCAATAGCTACCAACGGAAGGAACACTTTGCTCAAGCCGCACGGTAGCAGTCCTCCACCAATGTTCTCGATCCTGGTGATTGCACCTCTCAAGTACACTCGGGAAGCAACGGTGCATCACATTGACAAAACGTTGCCTGGCAATGTTCCGCACCAGATCACAGCGCGCGAAAGTCTGCGTGACTGCCAGCGACTACTTGCCGGGCCTGAGCCTGTGACCTTCACTCATATCGTTGCAGTACTGCAAGATGTCAACGAGATCACCGCGCTCATGGACCAGGTGCTCACTACGGCTGCTTCCACAACATCACTGGTGCTCATCACTGACCTCGCCCAACGACGAAGTATCATGGCACAGGCACCACACCATGACTATGAGCAGCTTGTAGATGATCGCAAGCTCCGATTTGTGTTCAAGCCTCTGAAGCCATCGCGATTCGGGCTGATCTTCGATCCACAAAAGGAACGGGAGATGAGCCTGGACCGGAATCAAGATAGCGCGCAGCAGGTGGCGGTCAACCAGAAACAGGTATTTGAAGAACTGGCGCGACGTCTGGGCAACAAGGGAAAGCGCGTGCTTCTGGTCGAGGACAACCGGGTGAATCAGATGGTGATCTTGAAGTTCCTCTCCAAAGTCTCGATCAAGGTCGATACGGTCATGGACGGAGTGCAATGCACGGACAAGGTCTTCGCGCAACCTCCCGACTTCTACTCCATCATCCTGTGCGATCTGCACATGCCGAACAAGGATGGCTACCAGACGTGCAAGGAGATTCGGCAGTGGGAGAAGACGAATGACTATGCGCACTTGCCCATCATTGCGCTGTCAGCAAACGTGCTCGGCGATGTCTACCAGAAGTGCGTAGACGCAGGATTCAACAGCTACATGACCAAGCCCGTCGATTTCAAAGAACTCAGTCAAGTTTTGATGACGTTCATGGATCCCACGGATCCCAGCAAGCCCCATGCTTTCATGAAGCTCAAGCATGGTCAGCAATCACACAAGAGCAAAGACAAAGCAGGTCAAGATCACACGAAGGACAAGAGTAGGAAAGTGAAGCAGTAATGATACTACCACACGTCACCACGAGCATGCAACCTAACATACATACACACACACAGAACACGATAGCGCAACGGGCTGTCCTAGGCCGTGAGAACATCCTAAGGAAACACAAGGGCAACAGAGGCGTGGAAGAGCGCATACTCGGTGGGGGATAGGAGGTAGTAGGCAGGACGGCGGGAGGGAGCAAAGGGCGATGAAAAAACAAGGTTACTCTGCAGTACTTCTAGCGAAGGCGCTCTCTAACGAACCGGCACAGCATTTTGTAGATAGGGGGGAAATCGGGTAATGAATGGGCGACTCCCAGCATTTTAAGTGGCGCAGGGCGGGTTTATCAGCAACAGTCGGGTAGTGGCGATTGCCGGGTGGCAGGCATCGCACAGGAATCGGCTAGCGGGGTGTTTTTTTTTCTAAGGTGGTCGGGAGGCAAGGTAATTCCTCGAGGTATGGATTCTCTCCATGTATACTAGTAAAGCAGGAAGGCCGTCCTCTTTTTTTGTTTTTTTCTGGTTTTTGCCTAGGCGCGATACCTATGTACTCTGTAGTCTTTCTACTGGCCTTTTCTTGCCTGATCTGCCTCTCTCTCTCTCTCTCTTTCTTCTCTCTCCTTTTATACTAGTTGGGCGCAAGAGAAGAAAAGAGGACAATGACAACGATGATGATGCTAGGTTTTGCAGGGTGTATATGTAAGGCACCAGATCGGGGTTGTATGTAATAATTGATGGTGTGATCTGATGATCATGGCGTGAGATACATGTACTAAGAGAGATACATGTACCATCAGGTACCGAAAGATAAAGGGAGAGGGAGAGAGAGTGAGAGTGAGATCGATCTCGGGTCTAGTCATCTTTTGGTTCTCCCGTCTCTTTATCGCACAAACTAGTACATGTAAGGTATGGACTGATTCTACCTCTAGGGCTGAATGACACCGACCTATCACCTATGGATGTATGCAAGCGCTAGGAGGTCGGAGGTCATCGCTATACTTGTAGCGTGGTGTATAAGGTACTGTATCCTGTAGAAGTACCTACCCGTAAGTGTAGATCTCATGATGATGACAGGGCCTATAATCCTCCAGGTATGTATTGACATGTACTGGACATACTACATACATGTGGGTAGTAATACCAACCAGCCCCATCCAAGCGATATGTACATGTCATGTACATGTACCTTAGTTCCACAAATCTTTCTCGTTCGTCAAAAGTTCTCGTGGCGTTTTTCGTGTAATCATGATGATAATGGATGGATGGGAGTGGAGACAAGTTTGGACAACGTGCCAATATGTAGGCTGCGCGCTGGAGGTTGTACAACATATATGTATGTGTATGTATATGTACCTATATGTATTGTGTGTGTAACTATGTTGTGAGAGAACTCTACCATCTTGTTCTCGCGCTTCGCCCTGTAGACAGGAGAGAGGGAGGGATAGGGAGGGAGATCATGCGTGATGGTGTGATCTATGGCTAATGTAGCTACCATTGTAGATGTAGATGTAGATGTCAGGTATGTACCTGGAGGCTAGGAGGTTGGGAAGATATACGTACATTCACTACATTGTACCGAATGACTGGGAAAAAGTAGAGAACTGGAGAACAGGAGAACTGGCTATTGTGTCAGTCTCATCACAAGTGCTCGTAGTCGTATAGCCGTACGTACACCTTTAGGCTACATACGGTAGTTGGAGATTCTCTCTATACCTACCATTCATAAAGACGACGGCAGTATGTATAGAGAGGAGAGGAGAGGATAAGATAAACTCCTCGTACCCAAAGAGCAAAAAGTCAAAAGGCAAGTCGTTCATGAGCAGCGATTGGTCGCATCGCGTAAGTGGAATCCCAGCCCCAGCAGCCTCAAGAGCCGAGTAGCGACCGACAACCCCTTCACATGCATCGAAGCGGGGAGATTTCTTGGAGAGTCGGAGATGGCTAGAGTAGATAGAGTACCTGTACCATACATACTGTGCATTACCTAGGTACATACATAATACAGGAAAATCCGTGGTGATGGATTACGACTACTACTACTACTACTACTAGGACGAGGAGGAGGTACATGTACTGTCTCATCGGGAACAGTTTTCCATCATTTGTCTGACTCTCTTCGTCTGTTACCTACTATCCACTACTACTTGTACTGCTGGTCAGAGTGGGTAATTTGTAGTTGTAGTAGTAGTATTCTCTCTCTCTACTCTCCTCTCCAACACCCTTCCCACCCACCAGAAGCAGAAGCAGAAGCAGAAGCAGCAGAAGAAGAAGAAGAAGAAGAAGAAGAAGAAGAAGAAGAAAAAGAACAATGCTCCTCCTCTACCTCTACGACCGCCTCTTCTGGCTCACAATCGCCCACGCCCTCCTCGCCCACCTCACCTACAACCTTCTCCCCCTCGCAGGCGCCTCTCCACTCCTCTCCCACATCCTCACCTTCGCCGTCTTGGGGACCTACCTCGTCAAAACTCTCGACCACCTCGATCGCGAACGCCGCATTCGCCAACTCGGAAAACGTGCTACCTCACTACGCACCCACACGCCATTTAATATTGGAGTGTTATTGCAGGTGCTGTGGTATTTGAGTAAACATCGGACTCATGAGTATTGGTGGAAGATGTTTGGACAGAGACCTGGTGGTGGTGGTGCTGGGAATATTGGTGGGGAGAATGGGAGAAAGTTTCCGTATACGGTCGAGACGATTACGATTGGAGGGAGACTTGTGTTGACGGCGGATGAGGAGAATGTGAAAGCGATTTTGGCGACGCAGTTTGCGGATTATGGAAAAGGACCGCAGTTTCGGAAGGAGTGGAAGGACTTTTTGGGATTGAGTAGGTTTTTTCTTTTCTTTTTCCTTTTCTACCTCATTTGAGATCTACTAAGGTGCATGCACACTGGTTGTTGTGCTTCCTCTACTGATGAGGCGTGACGGGATCTGCAAGCCATGGCGACACCAAGGATCGTTCGTGGCCAGACCAGACTACGCCTTGTAGACAGACGGCGAATCTGGTCGTGGCGTGGTCGTGCCTCAGAGCTCTCTGTCTGCGAGCTTTGATTGAGGACAAGATTTAGTACATATAACAACAACAACAACAACAACAACAACAACAACAACAACAACAACAACATGCTTCAGTAACATCGACCGAAGGAAGCACAAAGCTGACTACAATGCGCAGGCATCTTCACCACCGACGGTGACGCATGGCATACCTCGCGGCAACTACTCCGCCCGCAGTTTATCAAAGATCGCGTATCGGACTTGCAAAAGTTCGAGCATCATGTCCAGAAACTCTTACCCATGTTAGCAGGCGTGAGCAACGGGGAGACGGTGCGTCTGGACGACTTGGTCTACCGATACACACTCGATGCAGCAACCGACTTTCTCTTCGGCACCGGAGTGGGCAGTCTCGAGAATGGCGAGACGGGCTTCGCCAAAGCCTTTGCAGACGTGCAAAACGTGCAAGGGCTGATTGCGCGGGCAGGTCCCATTCGTGCTTTGATCCCGAAGAAGAAGTTCTACCAAGGCTTGGAAGTGCTGAACAAATTCACGGATCGCTACATTGACCAGGCACTCGCATTGGGTCCTGATGAGCTCGAAAAGAAGAGCAAGAGCGACGAAGGCTACACCTTTTTGCACGCCATTGCCGCATACACTCGCGATCGACAGGTATTGCGCGATCAGCTCGTCGCAGTTCTCCTCGCCGGCCGCGACACCACCGCCGTCACCCTCTCCTGGCTCTTCTACGAACTGTCTCAACATCCCGAAATTGTAGCCAAGCTACGCAAAGAAATCATTGGGCTGGTCGGCCGAACGCGTGAGCCCACTTATGATGACCTCAAATCGATGCGATACTTGAACCACGTCGTCAATGAGACACTGCGTTTGTATCCCGTGGTTCCCTACAACGTGCGAGTGGCTCTGCAGGATTGCACTTTACCTCATGGTGGCGGACCAGATGGATCCGAACCTATTGGAATCACCAAAGATACGCCCGTTGGCTACTCGACGTTTGTGATGCAGCGTCGCGCGGATATCTATCCCCCAGCATCGAGCGGCTTCCCGGATCATCTTGCATTCGTTCCGGAGAGATGGTACGGATTTCTTTTTTGTTCTTGCCCTTTCCGCGCCCGTTTTCTTTCAGCGACCTCTTCAATATTTTTGGTTTGATGATCGACTGACCTGGTTTTTTTTTTCTGTGTGTTGTAGGGACAACTGGACACCCAAATCCTGGACATATATTCCCTTCAACGGCGGACCTCGAATCTGTATCGGTACGTACCTATCCAGCTATCATCTAATCACATGATGGAAGCTCTCTTGAGACTTCAGAAAGAGAGATGGAAAGAGAGTTACTTTTGATGATGATATACTGACGCAGCAGAAATAGGGCAACAATTCGCCTTGACAGAAATCGCATACACGGTCGTCAGAATTCTACAAACATTCGCCAAAGTCGAGAGTCGAATGAGTGGGCATCCGGGGTTCAAGTCGGATATTGTTTTGCAGCCTGCAGCAGGTGTTTATGTTGCTTTTCTTAAAGAGTAGTTACAACTTACAGGTACATGTACCTACCTAGGTAGTGGGTAGTAAATACTATTCCTCGCTTCTCAGGACGTAAACTGTGTATGTACGCACGATTAGAATGTGTGTGTACCTACGTGTGTGAGAGAGGAAAAATCAGAGACTCTCACAACGTCTACTTTGGCTCTCTCTTTCCCTTTTTTTCCTTTTCCTCCCTTCGTCTTCCACTCTCGAGGCGGCGTTTGTCCATCAATCATCTGACACACCAAGGCAGAAGAGAAAAGAAAACGTTGTTTATCGCAACTCGACCGGAGTTGAGCTGTGAAGCATGGTGTTGTTTGTTTTTGTTGTTTGTCAAAATCAAATCAAAACAAAAACAAAAACATGAATCAAAACATGAAAAGTCAAGATAAGATATAGAAACATGAGAACAAGAAAACGAGAAAACGAGAAAACATGAAACCAAGAAACCAACTCTGTAGAAGATCTAGACCCTTGTTTCTTCTTCTTCTTCTTCTTCTTCTTCTTCTTCTTCTTCTTCTACAAAAGTTGTTTGTTTGTTTGTTTGGTTTGTTGTTGATAAGAAAAACATCTCTTTTATTTTCCTGTTTTCCTCACATTCACATTTGCATATACCCAGTCCTCGCAAGTATCTCTCTACCTCCTACAGTAAACAAGCATCCAACACCCAACCACTACAGGGTATATACTTGTCCACAACCAAAAAAGGCGTTCATCAGCCCAAGTCTAGGTCAGGTCAGGTCAGGTTAGGTAGGTCTGCAGTAAAGTCTACCTCCTAGTCAGCTAGAGATTAAAAATGCAATGTGATGCGACGTGATGCGATGTTCTCCGCCGGGTATGTATGTTGTATGCACAGTACATGGGAGGTCCTGCAGGTACACGCAACACATCACAATCACATTCGTATTTTATTTTATGATTTTTTTATTGTTGAGTTGAGTTGAGTTGAGTTGACCCACCACTTGAGCTACCTGGTATGGGAAGGTAAGGTATTGCGGGAACTGCTGTGCTGTGCCCCGTGCAAGGAATTTGAATTTCAATAGAAACTACGGTACCTAGATATGCAGATAACAGATGTGTTTTTGTTTTCGTCGTCGGGAGAAACGAGAGGACTAACGGGCGTTGGTGGCAAAGCGGGCGGACGGATGGGCGAGGCGAGGGAGAGGAGAGGCAGCTGAGGTAAGGTAGAGTGGAGTGGACAGGTGGAGTGAGGTGGGGTGAGTGGGAAATGTTGGAGGAGTTGGGAGGAGGAAGGAAGGGAAGGAACTGGAAGGGACGGGAAATGTCTCGATCAGTCTACCTTCTACCTCCTAGGCTCCTACTACCTTTCTCCTCCCAGTCGCTACAGGACAGGACTACAGGTAACGGGCAGGCAGTTTCAATAATTACCTCAATTGTACCGGTCCTGTACCTGTACCTTCCAACTTCTAGTATCTTCTGAAGTCGGGTGTCACCCTATTTACTTTATTGCTACTACTACATACACTGCCTCTATCACGATAGTATATTATACTCCAGCTACACGGATAGACACTACAGCGGCATGTGTTCCGCATAGACGGGTTTACCCTAACAGGAAGTCTGCGAGTCAGCTTCACTATCGACCGTTCCCAGCCGGAAGTGCCGCGGGGCCGTCCGCCCTGTCACATCGTGTTGTACCCTTGTCCTGTCACCCACACGGCACACACGCCTTTGTGCGGCCCTGTTGTTTACTGTATCTCCATACCTAAACAATACCAGGTATCTCTCCACCTAAGCTCTCTCTTGTATACCAAAGAAGTACCTGTACCTCTTCTCCCTGTAAACACTTCGGTTGCAAGTTCCTGCTCGAGGACAAACGGTAGATGATGTGGAAGGTAAGGTACGTTGAACAACAAAAAAAGAACACCAAAAACAAAAAAACAAAAACATCCCGAGGGCCGCTGCAGCTGCGACCACGGCTCTGAAGTGGTTTAGTGCAACGCCGGTAGTCTGGGCTCGGGCCTGAGCTTGCATATTCCGATTGTGAATGGGTACGAACAGGGATAGCTGTTGTTCTCGAAGTCACCTCGCTAAAAGGTTGTGATTTGTGAATGTGGGCTGTAATAAGGGAATTCTATAGGGACGGACCTGTCTACAGTAGATAGGCTTGCTAGGGCCGTGGGAGAGATATATACGCCAAAAAGCAGTCGTGGGAAGGACGGGAAGGGAAGAAGAAAAGTGGTGGGGTGGGAGAAGGGGGAGGAGAAGGGGGAGGGGAGTCGAAGGAGTCCAGGAGGGTGGCGTTGTGGGCGGTTGATTGCAAGACGATCAATGTCTTGTCTGGCCCTCTCGTTTTGCCGTGCCTTCAGGGCTTCCCTTCCCTTGCCCTAGGAGAGGTAGGCTCCCATTCAGCCAATTCACATCTATTTCTACCCAGTTCCATGTTAAATACCTGAGATATTGCCACTCTCAGGTACCGTCCAGCGTCCGCTCCCGTATTCGAGAGCTGAGCTCCACTGGCTATTGCTGGTACCTTGCAGGGTCATCCTGGCTACTGAGCTGTGCCGCGCTGTTGGGGTGGAGCCCCGAGAAGAAATCTAGCGCATTGGAATTTCGCTATTGGCTAGACGCGACCCCGGTGCTGTGCAGTCGGATAGAGTCCGGAGCAATGAGAGGGCGGGAGAGAGGCAGAAAGCGAGAAAAGAGGGACGCGGCACGCAAACAAAACATCAACACACAGACTCCCGCTACATCCAGCCTTTTTTTACTCACCCGCTACTACCACTACCACTACTACTACTACAGTACTACTACTACTCCTACTATCAGGTAGTACTATCACACCTCCACGGACCACCACTGCGCCCTCCTCCTAGGCAACTCAACAGCATCACACCACCACCCGCTATATCTCACCATACCACACGCGGTCCCACGCGTCAAGACGTCCCTCTCGGGTCCTGCTGTTTGTCCTTGCTGCTCTTCTCCCTCCTCCCTCATCTCGCCCGCCCGCCTGCAGTGCAGCAGACGCCATACTGCAAAAACCGCCCGGACTGCCACCTGCTGCATCCTGTCCACTGTTCACACCTTCTTTATCTCGACTCCCTTCCACTCCCTTGCAGCACCCATCCGCACCAGCTCTCCTGCTGCTCTGGCCATCCATATGCAGAACAAGTGAAGCCGTTGCTCCACCCAGCCATCCACCCATCATGTCCGCCGTAACATCCCACCATCGCTCTACACCCTCGTCGGTCTCCTGCAATGGCTCGCCATATCAGCTCATCCTCGATCACATCCTCTCATATCCCGGCAGCTATGAGATTCCGCTTCGAACCATGTACGGATTGAACTGCGTGCCGAGAACTGCAACCTCTGCAGCCACTCCGTCTCCCACTGGGCCGCCGCCCGCCGTGCCGCATGCATCCACCTCCTCCGCCTCCACCGCCTCCTCCTCCGACTGCCCATCGACGCAATCCTTGACCGACAGCCTGATCTCGCACTTGTCCCAGCTGTCGACGCAATCGCAATCACGTTTGCCTCCCAACTTCATCACTGCATTCTTGCAAAAATGCTTCCCCTCTCACCTTCCCCGAGTGGACTTTCCCCAAGCCCTTACGGGTCTCGACTATTTGAAAGATTTGGAGACACGCAGAAGACGGGAATGTGCATCTGCAATGAGTCGACTGGGCATCGATCGAGACGCACTGGAGCGGGACGGTACAGCACTCTCACCCCGCTGCCTGCGATGGGTCAAGGCGGCCGAAGAGAAGGAGAGAAAGGTGGACCAGCTGTACACGCAAATCTACGTGGGTCTGAGACGTTGGATTTTGATCAACGAATTGTCCTTGCAGCCATTCCACAAGCACAACTGTGTGGCCATGCTCAACACCCTCTACCCACCTGCTGCCATTGCCGAACAGACTCCGCCCACCACCCTTCTGACCCCTACTGTGCTCCAAACCCAACGTGATGGCTTCTTCAAGTACATTCAGGCAGTGGAGACCAATGGTCCTCGGATGCTCACCAACCTTTTGCAACAAGGGAAAGGGCCCTTGGACGTCAATGGCTGGGAAGCGGTGGTTCGGAACCTCAGCATGTACCTCCAGGTGGCCAACAGCATGATCAATGAATGTATGCAAGTTGCCAACGATGCGTATGCTGCCGACTCACCACGCAACTCCCAACATACGCGCAAGGCAGACTCCGGTGCCAGCTTTGGTAACATTGTGGAAGCGGAGCAACTCAACCGCAAAAAGGTCGACTCGGGAATCAGCTTCGGAAGCGCTCCGAGCACAGAGAATCTCTGCCGCCGACGAGGAGACTCGACCACCAGCTTTAACAGTGCTTCCGGCATCGAGCAGAGGCCCGCGACCCGCGACTCCAACCATGCTGCTCCCACCACCTCATCTTTTGATCTCATTCCACCCAAGACTCCTTCGGGCGGTCGGCGGGGAACAGGTATGGAGCGACTGGCACGAGGTCTCCGATCGATGGGACGCAGCCGGACCGACGTCACGGAGATGATTCACGATCACGGAGACGCTCTCGCCTCACCCCCGTCCGAGAAGTCCCGACCGCTCCTCAAAAAGATGCGAAGCTTGGGGGCACTCAGCGAACGCAAGTCATCCGGCCTCGGCAGTCGACCCAACTACATCACTCCCGTGTTTGACGTCGAGGCCATGCGAAAAGAGCGCGCTGCAGTCGAATGCCGTATGGCACTCGACACATCGAGCTAGCGACTCCGGAATGAGGCGTAGTCCATTCTGTGGACCTGCGCTCGAAGTGTTTTGACGATGAATGGAGACGATACATCGATATGAGCATAGGCGGGAAGGGTACCGCTCCGGCGCCCTCTTTACGCACAGCATATGGCGAACCAGTGATAAGGGGCCCCCGGCCATGGTTTTCATAATTACGCGCGCTAATACATCAGTAACGAGAAGGTAGTCCCCGCGGACAGAGAAGAAAGCAAAGGAATGACGGGAAAGGAATCAAAAAAGGGCAGGCAGGCAGGAAAAAGCCAGATGTGACGCTGGGTGTGATCACGACCATGTCTACAGTACGGAAAGCGGACAGGAGTTTTTGATTGAAATTGGGATTTTGTGACTATTGAGCGAAGGTGTTGTGGCTACTGGGTAACTTTGGACGGGACTCGAAAGAGATTGGCATGACGGTGATGTGTTGGATGAGAGTCCGGTATTGGACGCTTGAAGCTCAGAACGAGACCAACGTGTCGCTGCACATAGTGTGTGAGGCTAGCGAATGCCAATGAAGCATCAGCTGCTATACCTGACATTTCTTGTTCTTTTCCCGCCTCTAATCCCGTTTTGATGTTCCTCTTTTGGTAAATCCTTGCTACTACAATCCCGATGCGGTTACTCAGACCCACAGCCGCTTCATGTGTCACTTGTGTCGGGCACATTGTCAATACCGCACTTCACGTTACACCACCGCTCAGAGGTCGGTCCATCGCCACAAGATCGTTAGAGCCTTAAGAGGCAACCGCCGACTGGAGGGAGACTACAGGTACCTGTAGCATTTCGCAATACCTACCTTACCTATATCTACCTACCTATCCATAGAAGGGATGTTCGGTATCTGTCGTCGACTCCGTTGGAAAACAGCGCCTCAAATCTCCCACCGCCAGTTTTCATCCTTCAAGTACCTGTATGCTTCGAAAATGGACTTCACTCCTCGCCCTTTGTTGTTGGAAGAGGAGACTCTGGACTGCTACTCTCCCGATCAGTTCTATCCCGTCGCTGTCGGCGAAGTGCTCAATTCTAGTTATCGAGTTGTGGGAAAATTGGGGTATGGTGCGCAAGCTACTGTGTGGTTGTGTCGGGATGTTAGGTGGGTGAGATATGATTGATTGATAGATTGGAAACATTTCCCGCTCGGCCTCAACGACTGACGCTGCAAGGAAAGGGATCGCAGTTTTGTCGCCGTCAAGGTCTGTTGTACTCGGAATGGTTATCAATCGGCTCGCGTTCATCAGGAATTGCAATTCTACGAGCGCGTCAGTTCGCTCCAGACTACCACAAATCATCCTGGCCAATCTTTCATTCGTGGTCTCCTCGAAACGTTTGAAATCGTAGGCCCGACGGGCCAACATCTCTGTCTGGTGCATACCCCGATGCATATGACTATTCGAGAGTTTCAATGCTTGAATTCGTCCTGTCGATTGAACGAGACGCTGTTGCGGTGGACTTTGAGTAATGTTTTGCAAGCGCTTGCATTTTTACATGAAGAAGCGGAAGTTGTACATACTGGTCAGGAGAAGCTAGTTTCGTCTTCTTCTTTCTTTTTTAGCTGACGGGGAAACACAGATATCAATCCATCCAACATCATGATGACTGTCGCCGACGAATCTCTTCTCGAGCGCGTGGAGACGGCCGAAGCGGAAAACGCGTTGCCCAAAAAGGTTGTAGACAATCTTCGAACTATATACACCTCTCACAAACTTGGTCTTCCCAAGGACGGGCTCTGGGGCCAACCAGCTCTGTGTGATTTCGGAGAAGCTCGCATCGGAAAATTTCACAAAGGTCTCATTCAGCCGGATTTGTACCGCGCCCCTGAAGTGTTGTTCGGGATGGAATGGGGTCCCAGTGTCGACATTTGGAGTGTCGCAGTTATGGTGAGTGTGTGCTAAAAACCCTCCCATTGGCGCCTTTTTTTTTACTATCCACTCATTCTCGATCATCTAGGTGTGGGATCTTCTTGAGAACAGACACTTGTTTGACGCTATTCATCCCGAGAATGGGGAAATGTCCGCAACTCACTACGTTGCGGAGATGGTTGCGTATCTCGGATTGCCTCCACGGGAGTATATCCATCGAAGCGAAACCACGGCCAAGGTTTTTGACAAACATGGTGAGTTCTTCTACTTCCTTAACCTACTCCAAAAAAAACCCCCCTCATCTCTTTCTGGCGAAGATTTGCTGCTGAAATCAATCATATCAGGTCAATGGAAAAACGCAGGAGGAGTCGCTATCCCTTCGCTCTCGCTGGAAAGTTCCATTACTACTGCTTTTGACGGCGAGAGGAAGCGTTTGTTTCTGGAATTCATCAAGTCTATGCTACAGTGGTTACCTGAAAAGAGAAAAACGGCTTCGGAACTCCTCCGGGACCCTTGGCTGAATGCGAAATGTATTGTTGAGTGAGTGAGTGAGTGAGTGAGTGAGTGCGCAAGGTAGGAGGTAGCTCGGCTAGATGAGGTACTGTATACTATATGGAGGGAAGGAAAGCCCGCCAAGCTTTCAAAATTGCCGACGTAGGTACTTACTAGTACCACCTCAGCTGACGTTCTAGACTGGCTTCCATGTATTCTACCCACTTACATGTACTTACCGTTCTTGCACCTGATTTTTTTACATAGCTAATAATCGCATCTCCTCAGTGCAAAGACTTCAAGACTTTCAAGACTTCAAGAACTTGGATCTGCGACGTCTTGACGACGAAAAAACATGGCCTACGCAGAAGAATGGTTCGATCGATGGGGAGTTGCAAACTATACGAGTCAGACGCGTGCATGAAAGGTCGAGAGTCGCAAGAAAAAGCCATTGCGTAGGGCGTAGGAAACAGGTCTCGGCTGTGATTTGGATTTGGGGATTTGGGGTTGTATACAACTACGTTTGCATCTGCTCTTTACCTTCACTGTTCTTTTTTGCTTGTACTTTTTTTCTGTATAGGTGAAAACGACTTTTTATTTTTCGCACGACGATAAATCTTTGTAACGCAGGATACGAAAGTACCTACCTTACAGTAGGAGGAGGCAAGCAGACACGCAAGCATAACCATCAATCATCATCAATCATGGGGGATATCGGATCCGAAGCAGCAACACCAGTACCAGCGAGTCCAACGACACTGGATATGACGACTGTCCCCGTAGACGAACTCTGCATGACATTTTCACTCGCCACTGCCGCGAGCAATTCCTCTTCGACGTTTATCTCGCAGACCAAGCAAGGCCGCCGCATAATATCCGATTCTCTTTTCTCCTCCTCCTCCTCCTCCTCGCACGAATTCTCGCCATTACCAGTCGGTCTCACAGTTGCGGGAACTCTCGTCGATGATCCGAGTACTATCACCGCGCCGTTTCTTCCGGGAGATACGATTCTCGCGTGTTTGACGCCGGAAACCGCGTCGGGGTGTATTCTATCGCCTCCTCCTCCTTCGACAACGATTCGGAAGCATCATGACGAGTCTTTGTCGGCATCATTGCAGCAACAATCACTGCATGATGATAACGATGAAAAACAACAACCTCCCCTCCGACTCCGCATCCCCACGATATCCGCTCTCGAACTCCCACCCACCATGTCCCCCTCTATAGGCTGTGCACACCTCACGGCACTCCTCACGGGAGCGGCAATTCTCAAGCAAGAATTACACATCCCCATCACACGCACACCCAGCGCGTCGCCCAATTTGGCCGAGGAGAGTGGAGTGCGGAGTTATAACGATAAACGCATTCTGGTGATTGGAGGGGAGACGGTGTTGGGAGCGGCGATGGTGCAGTTGCTTCATCGGGCGTTGCCGGAGGCGAAGGTGTATGTTTTATGTGGTGTTGGAGGGAGGAAGGAGAAGGAGGAGAGTAAGAAGAATAAGGAGCTTGAGGAGGAAGGGAAGGAGGAGCGGCTACAACTACTGAAGCAAAGAACAAAACATCTCCTAGGTCTCGGGGCGATATCTGCGACAGATGGGGACGCGAAGGATCTGATGGATCATCTGTCGCCGAGTTTTGACATTCTGGTGCATGCGGTCAAGGGGCGAGAGGTGCGAAAGGATGTCATGGGTGCTTTGGATGGAATGGCAAAGCTGGTGGATTGTGGATCTCTGGATGTGGAAGCGGCAGTGGGGAAGTTTGTGGAAGAGGAGCAGGATTGTGTGACTTCTCTGCATGAGATGTTGCTGAAGGCGGCGGATGTGTTTGATGGAGTGGAAGAAGAAGAAGAGGTGAGGACAGGCGGATCTGTTGGTGGTGGTGGTGATCACGTGCGCAACAAGATGAAGCTGGCATATCGGTTTGATCGGGAAGATTCTGGCGCAGTGGTCGTCGACCCTGTGGCATAAGAAGTTCTTTTCCTTGATTAGGTGATGATGGTTCATGATTTGACGATGGATACATATCTAAGTAGTGCGAGTTCGATACCCCATAATGAATGTAAAATTGTTCCTTTGCTTGAATGGGAATAATGTCGCTTATGTATAGCTGGTCTCATTTTCACAGTTCTACCTCCTAGGAGGTACATGTAGTGGGCGGCAGAGGCAGTTTCGCAGCTGATCTTTCTGGAGAAGCGCACAGAGGGCACCGAAAAAGGTCTTATGATGGACAGTTATTACATTAGCGGAGGCAACGTGAACTAGTGCGCCGATGGAGGTGCATGTCGTGACTGGTGGCACATGAATCTAGCTGCGGATCTCACCTCATCGGAGAGGGGCATGGCATTATCATGATGTCTGCTATCGTCATTCTCTGCCCATTGGGCCATCTCTCAATTCCAAGTTTTCAACTCCTCCTAAGACTCTCTCTTCTTGGCTGACGGAGTGAATTATGGAGGTAATGTTGCTGACACGTTGCTGACATGACAGAAAGAGTGGGGTCAAGGTTTTGGCACGTGGCAGGCAAGGCAAAGGAAGGGTCGGTGCATGGACAAGACCAGGATGGGCGCCCAGCATCTGCCTGCCTTCTTCTATGAATACCTACCTTACCTGGTACTCTGCATCCTCATCAATCTTGGCACCTGACCTGCGAACCTGAACTCATTCATCCCTTCTACCTCCCTCTCGTCCCCGACACTCATAACCGCTTGCTCTGCTTCTTCCTGGACCTCACATTCGTAGTGGGACATGCGCCAACAACACGCCCGGTAAAGACATATCACTCCCCACAGCGCGACTATGCGCCGCAAAGTCCTCCTCGGCGTCATCGCCCTCGCCTTCTCCTCTCCCGCCTTCGCTGGCACCAAGTACCCTTCGGGACTGATCGTCCAACATCTCTCCGGCCCCGACCACTGCGATCGCCCCACGCGCCCGCAAGATACCATCTCGGTGCACTACAAAGGCACCCTACAATCCGATGGCTCACTCTTCGACGAGAGCTACAAGCGCGGCAAGCCTTTTGAATTCACCATCGGAGCCGGTCAGGTCATCAAAGGATGGGACGAGGGACTGCTAGGGATGTGCGCGGGCGAGAAGAGGAAGCTGACTATCCCGCCTGAGATGGGTTATGGAAGTCATGGCGCAGGAGGCGGCAAGATACCAGGAGGCGCAACCCTCATATTCGAGACGGAGCTGCTGAAGATTGTCCACGAGAGTACTCTGCCGCCTACCACATCTCTGCCTACAGGAGAGCCCTTCCCTGATGATGCTGATACCAAGCCCGCCTCGCCCGCCAGCATGGACGAGGCAGACACACTGCCCGATCCTCTGATGGCGGTTCATGATAAGGAAAAGGGCAAGGGCAAGGGTAATGGAGGTGGAGGAGCCCCGACTGATGGCCCTCCCGAGGAAGCGCATTGCAATCTTCTGGGCAAATTCGCCCTTTTCGTACAGGGCGCTCTCGGTGCCCTGGCCGTACTCACCCTGGTCTTCAAGCGGTGGCGAGAAACGCACAAACGACCCTGGAAAATCTTCTTGTTCGATGTGAGCAAGCAGTTGCTGGGTTCCATGCTCACCCACGGCCTCAACTTGCTCATGAGCACCATGGGCGCCGTGGATGTGGCTAATGCAGCTGCTACTGTGGCCACTACCATAGATTCTGCCGACGATGATGGCAAAAGGCCCAACCCGTGCTCATTCTACCTGCTGAACCTTGGCATTGATGTGAGTATTTTCTTCCCAAAAGCCCTCCTCGAACGCCTGACATGTGCTGATGATCGCCCAGACCACCCTTGGTGTGCCTGTGCTCTATTTCCTCCTCAAAATCCTCCACGCCGCCTTCCTTCGCACCCCCTTGGCGAATCCTCCCGAGTCCATCAAGTCAGGAAACTATGATAGCCCCCCACGCATTACCTGGTACCTCAAGCAGCTCCTCATCTACTGCATCGGCCTCAGTCTGATGAAACTCTGCGTCTTCTTCCTCTTCCTCGCCATGCCCTTTTTGCCTTGGATAGGCGATTGGGCTCTGCGCTGGACAGAAGGTAACGAAGCTCTGCAGATTGTGTTTACCATGTTCTTGTTCCCACTCGCCATGAATGCTTTACAGTACTGGATCATTGACAGTTTCATCATGGACAAGAAGAATGCCGCGGACACGGAGCAGAAATACAGCCGTGTTGACGACGACGAAGAAGACGGAGGCGTTGACGAGAGGAGTCGCTTGACTCATGTCGATGATGAAGATGATGAGCAGGTGACGGGGAAGGACAGCGGAGTGGTCCAGACTGAGATCGCGTATGACGCGCCATTGAAGGAGATGAATCCTACGCCCATACCCATCGAGGAGGATGACGATGAGGGAAAAGCTGGGTCTAGTCGACGCAGTTCGCCCCGATGACATGGTCCGCCAGGTGTCGTGACTAGAGTCTCTTGTGCAAGGCGTTGGGGAATTGGGACATTTTTGGATTACATGTGCGCCGGATATGACTGAACGACAGCACCATTATTTTTTCGGGCATCTCGCGAAGAAGACATGAAATACAGATTATTCTGAGATGCAGCTTTCGCTATAGAAGTTCGCTCCAAGTCTCGCGTATTGGAGCTCATGCCTGCCTAGGTTAAGAAGTGAAAAGAAAGAGAAAAACAATCCATCATTTCACTTGAGATCGGAGCTCGACTTGTGCAAATCATTCATCGTCATTCATCATTTCATCAACTCTGAGCCAGTCTTGCATACCTGATCTTTCTATCATGAACAGAACAGGACAAAACAGGAACGAACGCTGTCAAATGAATCTACTTCTTCTCCGCCCTTGTATCGTTCTTGGCCTGGTCTCAGATGTGGACAAATATTCAGCTTGTTGTCTGTGTGAAATGTTGTTGTTACGATTATTATCAACGACTGTGTATGATCAGTCGTGGTAGAGTATGAACCTCGTTGAGGCTAACAATTGGCTGAGAGGCACCCATCACTATAGCCATCGTCGGCGTGCATGCTCATGATCATTCTCATGTTGGTGCGTGCTGAGGAGGACATGGGTCACATGGTCGATATAGACAGTACAATCACTGACGGATATCTCCGATCAGAATTCAAGCGAAGGCTCGTCGTTTGTATTACTCAGTATAGGTAAGGTACTGTAGATACCATATCATCGGCAAAAAAGAGACGACAAAGGGGTGGCGTTTGGTGCAAGATCACTGCCAAGAAGACTGAACAGGGATTCGTCGGCGGTTCGAGGGACTGGGCAATAAAATTCTCTCTCTCTCTCTCACTTTCTCACTCACTCTCACTCTTTCACTCTCGTGCCTCCGTAACATCGACGGGAAGTTAGGGGTATATGTATGCGGTGAAGTGAACGGTGCCTTGGGGAAGAAACATCAACATCCCTCCCCCCTTTATCTCCCTCCACTATACTGTCATTCGACGTTATCAAAAATATTCCTCTCCCGGAACCCCGTGTGCCAAGACGATGCTATATCTCGCATCTGGTGGTGAGCCAGTCCAGCCAAGCACACGCCCAGCCCCCAGGGATCGGAGTAGCCCATCCCATGCATGCCTTTGCCATGCCTCCAGCGAGTCCAGCCCACCGTAAGACCGCAGTCATGGACTCTTCCTATCTCGCCAAGCTAAGGCGCGGCGCACGCGAGAGTGCTTGAACACGGCCCTCCTACCTCATCTGGCAAGTCTGGCAAGTGATGGTAACTCAGAGGTAACACCTGCGCCTACCAAGTACCTTGGACACGGTAAGCAACATGGCCATTCAAGAACCTGTCGAGTCCGCTCTCCAGAGCCTCCGTTCTTCTCAGGTCAGACTTCGCAGCAGACACTTAAGCAAAAAATGGTCCCCACTTGGCCTCGCGCTCTGGCGCTGACTACCCTGGTCTCATCATGTCTGAGCGTGTCCGCAGAAGACGTGTTATATTCCAAGCGACATCAGAAGCGGTATATTGATGCAGAAGGCCACTGGAACCAGTCGTTCTTCCACATCAATGACGTTCACGCGCACTTGGACGAGTTCCGCTCTTCTGGAACCGACTGCACCGATCCCACTCGAGGTTGTTATGGAGGTTACGCCCGCGTCAGCGAAGTCGTCAATGAGCGCCGACCGGTCCTGAACAGCAGCTTGTTCCTCAATGCTGGAGACGAGTTTCAAGGAACCTTGTTCTACACCTACTATGGCGGCGAAAAGATCGCCGAAACCATCAATCAGCTCGGCTTCGACGGCATGACTCTCGGTAAGTGTATCTGTCGTTCAAGCAACTCTCGGCAGTGAAGAAGCCGCAGTCACTCATCGAGAGTAACAGGAAACCATGAATTCGATGGCGGTGACGATATGCTTGGGGACTTCCTGGAGAACCTCACTTTCCCCATCATTTCTGCCAATATCCAATCCGGCCATCCCGTTCTCAATCGTACCATCAAGCCTTTCCACATCTATGAGCAGTTTGAGCTTGCCGTCATTGGCGTCACGACTGAGACCACACCTGACATTTCGAGTCCTGGTGAGACGACCACTTTCTCCAATCCCATCGAAGCCGTGCAAAACACAATCAACTTCATCAAAGAGACGACCAACATCACCAGGATTGCAGCTCTCACGCACATCGGTTATGAGAACGACCAGGAGCTCGCTCAGAGCACGACCGGTCTGCATCTGATCATGGGCGGTCATTCGCATACTCCGCTCGGCACGGGAGAGGGGGAAGAGGGGTCCTACCCAACGATTGTCGAAAACCTGGATGGCGAAGAAGTTTTTGTGGTGACTGCATACCGTAAGTACCTTTTCCACTCCCGTCGGCGTGCCTGAAAAGGTAGACGCATACTGACACCGTCAGGTTGGGGCGAGTACCTGGGCTACATTGATGTCACGTACGATGCCGAAGGCAAGATCCTGGCATATCATGGCGCCCCCATTCACCTTACCAACACCACTGAGCAGAATGCGACTTTGCAGACTCAGATTGAGGCATGGAGAGGGCCCTTTGAAGAGTTCGCAGCACAAGTGATTGGCGTGTCCAACGTCGTGCTCGAGCAGTCGACATGCCAAGAAGAGGAGTGTTTGCTGGGCGACTTCATGGCGGATGCCATGTTCACTTACCGACAGAACGAAAGCGATTCGGTCGATTTTGCTATCATCAACGCAGGTGGAATCCGCGCTACAATCGACGCGGGCAACATTACTCGCGGCGAGGTCCTTACCAGCTTTCCGTTTGGAAATTCCCTGGTCGAGGTCACCATGTCTGGAGATGACCTGTGGAAGGTGCTCGAGGGCGTTTTCAGCGGTGTCAATCAATTCAACGGAGAAGAAGTCACGAGCTTCCCACAAGTCAGCCGAGGCATCAAGATTGAGTACAATCCAGAAAACGAGAGTGGAAGCAAACTCGTCTCTGTCATGATTGGCGATTCTAGCCTCGACCGCGAGGAAATGTACAACATCGTCACCTTGGACTTCCTCGCCGGCGGAGGCGACCAAATCTTCACCGGCTTAACCCTGGGCAATACCATCACCCTCGAAACTCAAGATGAGATTCTAGTCCGCCACATCGAATCTCAATCCCCCGTCGACATTTCGCTTGACGGCAGGATTTCCGCTGTGAGCGGCACTGCGCCCACCTCTGGCGACGATGACAGCGTTGAAGGCGGCTCATCAGATTCCACAAACGGTACCGTGCCGACGACGGGAGATGCGAGCGGAGCCCTCCGCGTGCATGCTCACGCTGGTATTGCGCTTGCGGGTCTTCTAGCGTGTATTATGGTAGCTTGATAGAAGAAAGAGAATATGAAACGATACGCATTATGTGGACATATGATTGATTTTCTTTCGCACACACGTAATTGCGCAATCATGATAATAATAACAGCTGCTCAGGAAACCATGTCACGATAGGAGTTTAACTATATTCACTATGAGATATGCTGATGCTTCGCGGGTCTTTTCATTTTTACGCCAGTTAGTAGTGGCAAGTGTCATCATTCTTCCCTCTGACGTTGTCTTTTTTTTTTCTTCACTCATTTTTTCGGCCTCGGAGCCTGCCTGGTTTTTTTTTTGGCTGGAATACCAAGGGTTGATGGGTGCATGTGAGGAAGACGATGAGGATGAGACGGGAGGAGCAGAAGGAGTTTGGGGGGGGGGGGGGGTTGGTGTAGTGGACTTTTTTATCTTTTTCTCTCTCTCTTCGATCTATCTTTTTTTTATATGCCGGAATATCAACATGACATGTCAGATGTGAGAAAAACAGAGTGTCGATATCCAATCAATAAACATGGGAAAGTCTGATAGTTCCTTCCTTTACTCTGTGTATATATCTTTCATACCCTTCTGCATCTTCCATTGCTTCTCACTCACACACACACACACCCATCCCCTTCGTCCCACCACCACCCCCGCATCAGAGCCTACGGTAGTGCCAACAACATTCTCTCCAGCCTCAAAATCCCCTCGACAAAGCTCTGCGCAAATCGCCGTACAGACTCCACATCATATAACCCACAATCACATCGAATCCCCAAGGAAACCCCCTCACCAGATCGATCAATCACCACATCCACAAAGATTCGCAAAGGAGCAATATGTGCAGTGTTCAGACCTTGTAGATGGGGCAATGTCTCCTCCCCCATTTCTGTGGGCTGCGATTCGGTAAAGTAGGTGTTGCGTGAAGGTTTGAATTTTTCGAGGACGGTCAGGGGTGCTGTTACTGTTGCTTTTTCTTCTTCTTCGCTGCTGCTGCTGCTGCTGTCGCGATAGAGGAGGTTGATGTAAGAGTTGAACAGGGGCCCTTCCTCATCAGGTCTGTTGATATGTTTCAGAATGTCATGCATGGATGCTTGACCATGTTGGCTTAATTGGCTGAGGTAGTTTTGCACGCCTTGTATAGCATCCATCACAGCTGTAGCAGCAGCAGCAGAGTCGTTATTGGAATCTTCCATAGAACCGACTTGGACAGAGAGAGGCGTCAGGGTCAGCGTGGGCATGACCACTTGTGTCAGATCGAGCGATCCGAGGGAGCGCGAAGCATGGTAGAATCCAAACGTGGGTGATGAACATGGCGCGTCCAGATTTTCCGCGACAGCCTGGGCGAATGCGAACAAGATTGCGGGACTCAATGAAGAGTTGGCCTTGGTCTGGGAGAGAGTCTCGAGACTGCGAAGTGTCGCAGCGGAAACCACTGACGGGAGTCGAACGAGGTGTTGAGGGCCCAGTGGTCCAGTGTGTGCATTGTCTGCCTTTTCGGAGGGCGATAAAATGGACGTCTGAGCACTTCCGAGTGCTTGCGACCAAGACACGTGCTCGTTGTGAAGATTTCGTTGCCCGAAGATGTCTTTTACCGCACCGGCAAACTGCACAGGCTTGTGAAGAGGTCCATCACTTTGGACCAGTTGATCGAGTTCACGTAAGAGCATGCGGATACTCCAAGCGTCGTACATGGCGTGATGGAACCGCATGATGATAGCAGCCTCGCCGGAGCATGTTTGAACGAGTGTCATCTGCACTGGTGGCGATCTCAGATCGCTAGACTTGTCGTTCGTCTCCAACAGATGCTGCTCTATCATGTCATCCAGAGTAGCTGATCCGCTGTGATAAAGGACCGTAAACGTTCCATCGCGAGCCCCGTCAACATAGTGGGCAGTTCTCGTCACTTGCACGACGCTCGGTTGACTTTTCTCATGGACCTCGTGTGCAACAAAAGTGCTACGAAGGATAGCGTGGCGTCTCCTGAGCGCATCCCATGCCCTTTGCACGTCTGATACGGATACGGGCAGTCTGAGCTTATATATCCATGGCGCTTCGAAGAACCGGCGACCAGCAAACATCCAGTATTCGAGATGGTGCTCTTGGCCAGCAAGGCAAGGGAGCACACTCTCGACTTCGTCTGGTGCCCAGCCCAGCTCGGCCGTAACTGCTAATTGTTGGTCTCTACTCAAAGGCGAGGCGAAGTCCTGTGCCTGACCAATCAGTGCACTTTGCTTGTCCTTTTTGGCGGCTGTTTGGCACTTGTGAGCTACCATGGCTGCCACCGTCTTGCCCTGCATGATTTCGTTGACAGTGAGAGCCACGTCTGTACGCCGTAGTTTGGAAGATAGGCGGATCGCAAGAATCGAATCAAGTCCGACTCGGAAGAGGTTGGTGTGTGCATCCACGCCTGGGCTGCTTCCTTTGTCTTCTGCGATCCGAAGTACATCGTGGACAGCATCGAGCACGGTTTGGTATAGTGCCTGGTCTTCTGGGGTGAGACCATCATTGCTGTCGAGCCTTTCCGTTGTACCAGTCGAGCCTGCCTTTTGGAGCGCCATTCCCGAGGCAATACTGGGCATATCGACGTCTTTCATTTGTTGTATCAGTGCTTTGATGAAGCTCGCTGACAGCCGCCCTGCAGCGGCATTGTCAAATCTGTCAGATGCGGCACTGACTTGCACATGCAGGCCAGCCTGTGAAATGGACAAATTGCACACCACAGGATACTAGATGAAAGTTCGGTCAGCATGATCCACACATTACGAAGAAATCTTGACACAGCAAGGAATACTCACTTCAGCAAATCCATCTTCGTCACCCTCCCCTTTCAGCTTCGAAGGCTTCCAGAATGGTTGCTGCGACGCTGGTTGACTACCAAGGCTCGTATTTTCACCATTGAATAGGAAAAGGGACTCGAATAGATTGGAAGCGTGTCCAGCCGAGGTCGAAGAACGCCATTCGTTTTGTACTGTTCGTAGAGAGGCCACCTGATGATGTTGCGCTTCCTCGGACAGTTTCTGGATCTTTTCGAGAGCCTGGCGATTTGACAGAGCTGGGTCAAGAGCCACGCGCATTGCAACAGTGTTGAACGTTGGTCCAATGACATAGTCGCCTGTGACCTGTTGGTGGTCTGCTTCCTCGCCACCCAGTGCGAGGAATTGGCCATTGAGTACCTGGCCAAAAGCAACGTCTGACTGTCCGAGAATGTCGTGAGCCAGAACTTTGCTCCATGCGAGCACAAGTGCACTTTGCACAGTGACGCCAAGCTCCTGACAGCGGCGCTTGACGTTCTCGTACTGTTCAAGAGGTATATGAGCAAAAGAGCGGAACCTATTGATCTTGTTGCTGGCCTCTTGTTCTCTGTCGTCCACGATCCTTGGCCCCAGCGGTTCATAAGTGTAGCCATTCAGGTTCTTGACCCAGTACTTGACTGCAGATGATTGCTGCACAGCAACCTGTCTCGCCACAGAGGAGAACGAAATCTGCGGCAGCGTCGCGAAGGTCCGCCCCTCTGAGACAGCGCGATAGATGTCAATGAACGTCCTCCAAAGCAAAGGTAGCGAAGCTCCATCGTAGATTGCATGATGCATCGTGAACACCACCATGATGGGCTCGGACATCGACGGTGGCATCACCAGTGCACAATGCGCAAGACAAGTGGAGACATCGATGTCGAAAGGGGCACAGGCTGCCTCGCGGCTGGATGAGAATACTCGCACAACACCAGCCTCGTTATCTTGAAGGCGCCGCACCACACCCAGCCAGGGCTGGCTCTTGTTGTCCGTGAAGTGGAAGGTAGTGCGAAGTATCTCAGTCTCCACGACAGTGCGTTTCCATGCTTGTTGAAATGCTCCGACATCAAAGGTAGAGCGATTATCCACTTCGAAGGTATGCCGATATATGTACGGTGATACAAGATGATTAGTGGAGTCCGTACTTGAGAGCCCTGCGCTGAGCATTCCTTGTTGTATAGGTGTAGCGAAGAATGTGCTCTCGACCCCAAAGTCTCCAGCCACAGTACCCGAGAGAGTTTGGAGAGTGCGGGTATAGTCGTCCAACTCCTGCTGCTGCTTCAACGCCGAATCACTGGATTGTGCTATCTCGGCAGCACTGATGAGTTGCGCCACCGACGCGGCACAGCGTGCTCGGAGGACCGCTAGCGGGCTCAGCTTCACTCCAGTCCTTTCTCGGAGGAGCTTCACCATGCGCAGGACCAGTATTGAGTCCATACCGAGGCGGTAGAAGGACTGCTGCTTGCCAAGGCTTTCTGCTGGAATGTTCAACAGTTCGCATATCACGTCACGGACTAGCTCCTCTTCTGCGGACCAGGGGCTCGAATCATGCATTTCGTGGTCTCTGCTATCGGAAAGAGCCGCAGGCCCAACAGTCGTGGGAAGTGAAGGCAGAAGGCTGGTCAAGGGCATTTGTGGGCTCTCAACCAAGGTGGTGCAAAGCTCGTCAAAGCGCTTGGCGAGCCCAGACAGTCTATCAACATCGAATTGTGCCGCGCTTGAAGAAAGCTCGATCTCGACGTAGCTGTTACCGAGAGGGTCATCGTGAACGTTAACGTCGGCCGCAAAGGGGATGTTGGCAACACTCAGGGTGTCCATCAGGATCATGGAGCCTGGTTGAGCACCAGGACCTGTGCCTGACTCGCTATCATGTTGATTTGTGTGGAAGTTCACGCTTATGATGGCATCAAAGAGTGCTTGATCTAGCTGACACCATTTCAAGATGCGGTCGAGAGGGACGAATGCGTGCTGCATGGTCTCTGAAAGGTTTTCCCGGACAGCTTGACCCAGATGTCGCAATGGACCACCGTTCTGCGCGGCAAGCGAAAGTTGAACGCGCTGCGGCAGTGTGTTCAGCAGAGGCGCAATCAGTTGGGCGGTGCCGTGGATATCAGAAGACAGTAATGGACGGAGGGAGAGCACACAGCCGAAGACCACTTCTGACCGCAACGGATGCAGCTCAGAAAGGAGCAATGCAAATGTCGTCTGGAAAATCGCATTGAGTGATGTGTTATTGGCCTGAGCTGCTGAACGAAGCTGAGCCAAAGGCAATAAGAGACGTTTTGTTGAGCGACAAGTCGAGTCCGTTTCTTTGCTTGACGAAGCGATATCATCGTCCACAACGAGGCAAGGCTCGGCGTGGAGAAGGTTTCTCTCCCAGAAAGCCTGGGAAGCTTGCAAATCGGTGGCTTCGAATTGCGTGACAAGCTGCACCAATCCCGCCGCGCTTGTCTCCTGGCAGACCTCCCCGTTATACAGTTCCTGAATGCGCAAGCGTATCTGCTTGATCGCATCGCCATCAAAGAGCGAATGATGCATGGAAAGCAGAACTTCCCCGGACTGTCCCTCGAAGATGTGTACTCGGACAGGCGGTAGACGTGCGACATCTCTCACGAGCGCATGAGCAATGGTGTTCGGGGAGTGCGAGGCCAGCCACGACTCCCACGAGCTTTGAACCGGAATGACCAAATCGCTCACAGGGCTTTGCGAGAGGACAACCTGCGCAATCGCTCCCGTAGTGGTCTGACGGAAGCAGGTTCGTAGCATCTTTTCTTCTTGGAGAACACGCTCAACAGCTCCAATAAAGCGTTGAAGATCTGTAGAGTGTGCGAGTGAGTAACGGAAGTGCGAGACATACAACACGCCATTAGAAGCATCCTCATCATCCTCAATTTGCGCCATTGAGCGCGCTAGTAGAGCACTCTGTAGTGGCATCGTGGGAAGTACATGATCCACTGAATGGTCAGCATCGCCGACTAAGTTATGGCGGTGCGCCCGATCGAAGAGATCAAGTCGCTCTTCAGCTTGACGTATAGCAGTGGCGAGGTCGTTGTGGGCAGCGGGGGTCTTGCGATGTTGCGCAAGATTGCGGATTGTCGCATGGCTGAGCACATCGGCCGCAGTGACCTGTAGACCGAGCTGCTTGAGCCTCGCTGATAGATGTACCGCGGACAAGCTGTCGACACCGAGCTCGAAGATGCTTCGATTTGCCTCTGGTCGACCAATGGAGCTTCCCACGATCCCTTCGATCGCTTTGACTACAATTTCTTCGTCCTCGGTCAGTGCTTGGGACGCCTCCTGCTGGCCAGAGTCGTCGTGATCCTGATGTAACTTGGACAGAGGTAGACTTCTCACCAGTGCATTCAATTGCTTGGCGTCAACCTTGCCTGACGCTTTCATGAATGGAATCCGATTGATCCAGACCAAGTCGGGCACCATGAACGCCGGCAGTGACTTGGAGCAAGCGTCGGAGAGTTGTGCCAATATTTCTGGATCTGAAGCAACAGCACCCAGGTTCTGTTCAGATGCTGCAGGATCTTCCGTGCTGAGACTTGCAATGAACGCATACAGCCGTGGTCGTGGCAAGTCAGGATGCTGAATGACCGCAGCAGCAAATTCCACATCGAGATGCAGCTCTTTGGCTGTGCGACGCAAGAAGTGTTCAACCTCGCCGAGCTCCAGACGTTGTCCATTGACCTTGGCCTGCTGATCCGATCGCCCCAGGTACTCAATACAGCCGTCGGACATCATTCTGACCAAGTCTCCTGTTCTGTAGTACCGCATCGTTTGCCTAGAGCCGTCCTCGGCGGCGGCGGGAAGCAAGTCCATGGTAGCGAATGCCTTGGCCTGAGCCTCTGGCCGATCCATATAGCCTAGTGATACTAGATCGCCAGCAATGCAAAGCTCGCCGGTCTGACCTCGTTTAGCGATGATTGGCTCACCCTCTGCTCCAGAGGTCTGGGTAGCAAGAACAATCGCCGTTGCACAATCAAACACTTGGCCTATATTTCGCGCATTGGAGCTCCGGGTGACGATATTGCTAACGCAGCCAATCGTGCATTCGGTGGGACCGTAGACATTCATCATCAGAGGTCGCGGCCTCTCAGACTCGTCGCCTTCTGTCCACATAGCAAGGACATCGTTGGAGACCTTCTCCCCGCCTACGGTCACGAACACGACAGAAGGCACACGCTCCGGGCTCAATCGTGCTTGCTGCAGGACACTTGGCACTGTGCCGAAATGTGTAATGGAATTCTGAACAATCACGCTCTCCAGATTCCCCAGCATCATCATGCGTGGCCCGATGGTTGCTGCCAGACCGAGACGCCAGGCCATGAACATGTGCGTCAAATGGGGGTCAAAGGCGCGACTTGCCAGGTTCAGGTACTTTCCGACGCCACCGAGATGCTTCGTCTCTGGTGAATTGTCCAAGATTTGACGGGCAAGACATTCAATGAAGTTGCAAAGATTGGAGTTGGTGACTCGCACGCCTTTTGGCTTGCCTGTGGAGCCTGATGTGAAGAGAATATAGCCATCGTCAGTAGAATGGCTCGCTGAAGTGTATTCAGGCAGGCTTGGCGTGGCATCGACAATGTGGGAAATGTCCTCCAACATCACCAGATCGATGTTCCCACGCCAGGACATTTGCTTTTCATCCATCAGCTCGTTCAACAAATCTTGTGTTGTGATGAAAGCCCTTGCGCCAGCATCGACTGTCAGCAAGCGTGTACGTTCTGCAGGCAACTCCTCGTCAAGAGGGAGGTATATGTAACCGCCGCGAAACAGTGCAAGAATCGCGGCAAACGACTCCAATGTGCGGCCCAGGTGAATGGATACCACCGAGCCTCTGGCAATGCCACGCTTTTGAAGTGTTGCAAGTACTCGGGAAGTGGCGCTTAGCAACTGCGAGTATGTCCATCTACGAGTCTGCTCAGGCTCATCAACATCGAGAATTTCCTCAGCGGCAATCCACTCTGGATGATGACGAGCATGGTACTCGACCCAAGCCACGGGGTTGATGGTTGGCACTGCTATATTCGCCCAGTCCTCTTTTTGAACGAGCTCGTCGAGATGACGCATCGAAACCTTTGTCGCAGGCGTCACAGAAAGCAGCGACGGGGGCAGAACGTTGTTGAGCTCTTCCAGTGGAACATCAGGTTGTGCCAGCATCAGCTCCAGCTGAGACATCACTTGGGCGATCAGCATGTCTAACTGGTGTTGCGACATAGCTTGGTTATCGCCACTCAGTTCCACGCGAAGACCAGCTTCCTCTTCGAAGATGTTCAGAGCGAGGGGATGCTCTACGCAGAGGCCAACGATGTCGTCCATCTCGTCCCAGAATGCAGAACTTTGCTTTTCGTCGAACTCCTCGTCAACATGGGGGTGAAAGACAATCAGAGCGGGATAAAGTGGCTGGTCGCTGGTGATGCCTAGTGTATTGCGCAGTGTAGCAGGATGCACGTGGTGTAATGCTCCGCCCGCCACAGTTGTCGTTGAAGTGGCATTCGACAACGTCTCGGACGCCGAAAGGTCGATGCGTACTGCGGTAGGGACTGTGGCCACTAGAGGCCCCAAGACCGACTGCAGCGTAGCATGATGTAGCCTTTGACTCACGGTTTCCCCGAGCACGATATACTTGCTCTCCAGATATTCAGCAACAACGCAGCCAAAAGCTGCCGACACAATTCGTGTGGGCGCGCCCAGTGCGTACTTTGCCTTTGCAGCTTGGAGTCTTTTCCAAGTCTCACTGGCATTCGTTGGTCCTATCATGACGGTAGTGCGCAAGATTCGGCGTTCCTGCAACTGCCGCGAGCCAGTCATATCGGGCCATTTGGTTGTAGTGACGGGTCCGAACTGCTTAACCAGTCCGCTATACAACTCACTGACATGCTGCTGCGCATTTTGCGTCTGCACCGGACTCAAGTATATGCCTCGCCTGATGGCATCACTGAATTGGGTCCTGCTGGGAACCCTGCTGCTGTGCTGGTAATAATGGTTGAACACGTCGTCAAAAATGGCGTCCATAGACTGTGCATCGTGCAGTGCATGGTGGATATGCATCATCAAAGCGGCTTCACGAGTCGCGGAGTTCCTCAAGATGGAGATTGACCACGGAGAGACAAGCTTGGAGGACGCGATCGGGCTGGCCTCATTGCGCGCTCTCCGAGCCAGCTCGTCGCCTATGGTAGCCAGAGGGTACGATGAAGGGTCCCACTCTACCTCTGACCATCGAACCACGGCGGGAGAAGTGACGGCCTGTAGTACCGCGCTCTGAATGCCTTGACTTTTGAGCAAGGTCGGTGCGTTGTGGTCGATCTCAGCAGCAATCAAGAAGCCGGTACGAAGAATCTCGTTATCCTGGGCAACTTGCTCCCACGCCGCTCGCAACCGAGTAGTATCTACACCATCAGGAAGTCGGAACATTCGATGACTCCAATAGCTTCGATCATTTCTCAACGTCTCTATGATGAGACCTTCTTGCATAGTTGTTACGGGACGAATGGCGTTGATGACTTGGTCGGTCAAAGAGGCTTGAGATTGGACTTGGACAGCGAACTCATCGAATAGCTGCCGCTCGATGCTGTCGAGCCATTGAGCAGCTTGGTCTTGATTGTCGCCACCGTGGGCGTTGTCCGCTGTGCTTTCGGAAACTTTGCTCAGAAGTTGCCCGATCGTGGAGCATGTCAGGAGGGTGACCATTGCAACGTCGATGTCTGCTTCTTTCTTCAGACGCCATGCCAGACGGATAGCAGAAATGGAATGAATTCCCAGGCGAGCCAAGCTCATTCCATCGGTGATAGCAGAAGGATCCAGGCCTGACAGCTCCGATAACATGATGACTACCCTGTCCTCAATAGGTGTCCGGACTTTGGTACCTCGATCTCCAGTCTTCGGCGCTGTAGACAGCAAATAAGACGAAGTGTCGAATTGGCTCAGGTCGAGTGATTCGTACTCATTCTGTAGCACTTTCCGATCAACCTTGTTTGAGGCTGTCCGAGGCATTCGATTGAGTGGGATGAAGAACGAGGGTACCATGTAGTCAGGCAAGAGCTGGTGAGCCGCGGTCAGTATTTCTGCTCGGGCGGAAAAGGCGCGCTTATCCAACGCAACAAGAGGTGCATCGGCAGCATCATTGCGCAAGGAAGTGAAGGATACGACCGCTTTGACCGGTCTGTCGGGGTGTGTCAACAGCAGCGTCTCAATGTGCTCGATGTCCGGGTGAGTTTGTGACAACGTGGCACTGATCTCGCTGAGCTCCACGCGAATACCATTGAGCTTGACCAGGTCGTCGTTGCGTCCGAGGAACTCGATGCCATGATCCACCATTCGAACTATGTCTCCTGTCAAGTAGATGCGCTGCTGGAGATCACTCGACCACACGAACCGACTCTGGGTCTTGACTGGATCATTGAGGTACCCACGTGCAAGTTGGTGGCCACCCAAAGCAAGTTCACCGACTCCATAGAATGGTACCAGATGATGAGGAGGATCCGGATGTACGACGAAGGAAGATACAGATGAAAGTGACCAGCCGACATTCGCAGCTTTCGCGTTGTCGTCGCTGGAATTGCCGAATTGACGAAGTGTGGATACGACTGCATTTTCTGCTGGGCCGTAAGTGTTGAAGGCTTTGGTATGCCAACTCCAGTCGTTCGCGACCGACTCCGTCAATTTCTCTCCAATCATGGTGACCACTTGCAGTGACTCGCCGAGGTCTTGGCGGCGTACTGAAGCCGAAAAACTCGGCGTCAAATGAGCATGTGTGGCCTGCATCTCCACAGCCAGTTGGACAAAGTTGCCCAACATGATCTCGCGCGTGGATGAGATAAGAGTGCCACCGAGGCCCCAGGTATAGAAGAGATCCTGAACGAAGACGTCGAAGCTGTAAGCACAAAAGTTGAGAACCCTTGGAGGACAGTATTGGCCGGTGGATTCGTCGACACTGGTCGGGATGGCATCCTGAAGAGCTCGCATGGCGTGGAAGGCAGCTGTGTGCTCCACCATCACTCCTTTCGGAGCACCAGTAGTGCCACTGGTCCAGATGAGGTACGCCAGATGCTCTGCAAGCAATGGCACTGGAGCGAGGAAGTCAAGGGGCTCAGTGCCGGAAGTGACCACATCTACCAAGATCATAGTCGAGCCCGGGGGAAGACTTGCCTTGACATGGTGCTGGCTCGATCGCGATGTTACAAGCAGAGAGCTACCCGTGCGCTTGACGAGTTCAAGTTTGCGCTGGGGTGGAAAGCTCGTGTCAATAGGGCACCACGCGGCACCAGCTTTCAATATCCCCAACACTGCAATATACATTTCGGGACTTTTCTCCAAGCAGATTGGGATAACTTTATCCACCGGTGCTTTTCCACCGTAGTGATGATGGAGACGGCGAGCAAAGTGGTCCGCTTGCTCATCCATCTCGCCATACGTCAGCTCGAGAGGGGGCTCCGTCCAAGAATGCCTGAACACCAAGGCTACCTTGGCCGGATTCCTCCTGGCCTCTGATTCGAATTGAGAGTGTAGCAGCATGTTGTTCTCGTCGAGTTTGGTGGGATTGATGTTTTGTGCCGCGAGCAAAGAGGTCGGCATAGATCCGAGAGTATCACTCGCTAATTGCTCTGGCCTGGCAAGAATAGACTCCGTAATGTAAGAAAGCTGTGCAAGGATGCGAGCGGCTGCCTGGTCACTGAGCGAATTGGTATCGAAAGTCATCTTGACCATCATGGGCAGCTCAGGCTTCCACATGACTCGAGGAATATGCGAATCACAGGGCCACACCTCCAGCATTACGTTGAAATCATTTCGCATCGCGGGCCATGATATACGGTCCCAGAGAGAATCGTCTTTGTTCTTGGAAGTGCTGTCAATTTCGAAATGTTGAAGTGCCAAGATAGAGTCGAACGGCAACCTGCCCTCTGGAGTAGTGATCAGGCCCAAAGAAGGATGAGGATGAGCCAGGATGCGTGCGCTTGTCCGAGTGACTTCCGATGCCAGCTGGCCCACCGGCATCTCGAAGCCTTCTTTGTTGGTAAGGTGGACACGACAAGGTAGCATGGAGAATGTCGGACCATGGCACGCGGCAGACTCTGCGTGGAACCTGTTCGACACCACACTGCCAAACATGATATCACCATTTCGGCTCTCTGAGAAACTTGACAACAGGAGTGCCCAAGCCGTTTGCCATACCGAGAGAGCACTGGCTTGAATCTCACGACTTCGAGCCTGAAGATTGGCATACGTGAGCGTGGTCGTGTGATACGCGACGCGGGTCTCACTTTCCGAGGAGGTCGATGGTGGCTGGGATTTATTGCCAGAGAGTCTAGGCAGGTTTTCAACTTGGTAGTCTGCTGTTTCCCGAAGCCAGAAGTCATCCCCTTCTGCCGAGCGGGAGCTGAAATCCAATTCAGCAGCGAGAGATATCTCGCTGCGTGTGTCGAGCGGAAGGCCACGGTACCGCCGGTCAATGTCGACCAGCAACAACTCCAGCGATGCGCCATCGAAGATGCCGTGGAACAGACTGATGATCAACGTGTGGTTGTCGATGATCTGAAAACGATAAAGAACATTATTCTCGAGATTAATCTCAACTTCAGCTTGACGAAGCCAGTGCTCCTCCGGCTCAGAGCCGTGCCGGTGGATAACACGGCACCACTTCTTACCATCGCGTTGTGCCGCTTGCTGAGTGATGATGCATTGTGCAAACGGAGCAAGGGGGTCATCAACAGGCACGAATGTTGTTCGGTAGGCCTCTCTCATGAGCAAGACGTCCTCAATTGCAGTAGCAAGTCTCCCAACATCCAAGCTCTCCGACCTCAGGTGATAGCAAGAGTGGTTGATATAAGTCTTCTGTGCTCGATTCGACGATCGAATGAAGCTAGCCACCATACCACTCTGAGTCGACGTCGCAGGTGACACCTTCTCGACATCTTCTGTGCGAAGACCAGCGTAGTGGCACGCCGTCTCGAAGTTACGTCTCGAGAAACTTTGTAGGAGGGAGTCAACTTCGCTGCTATCATGACCATTGCTCTGATGCAGAAGCAGTCCGCGGATGCTGGAGCCACTCAGGAGGTTTTGCAGGGATATGTTATTCAGGAGATGCTCCGCACGCACGCGCGATAAGAATTGCATTGCCCTCAGACTATCCAGGCCTACATCAAGCACGAGGTTTGCCGCAGGCGACACATGCGCACCCACAATGTCGGCGAAGATATCTAGCAGCCTCTGCTCGACTTCCGCAAGGTCGAGTGGGAGGAGATGGGCAGGATTAACGTCCGCCTCCTGACCTGGGGAAGCAGCGTGGGTTTCTGCCTGGATCTTGTCGTGCAACATGAGAGACAGTGCCTTTCGATCCAATTTACCGGCAGCGGAGCGCGGTATTTGCGGAAGGTGGAAGAGACGATACGGTCTCATAAAGGGAGGTAGTGCGTTGGCCACGGTTGTTTCAATGCGGCTTTTGACGACGGTCCACTCCGTGCTATCGTTTACAAGGGATATTGCTGATACGGGTTTCTCGCTGCCACTGCTGCCGTTGCCGTGAGGTTTGTAAATTACGGTGAGCGCTTCACGAACTTCGCCTACGGTCAGGATTGCGGCATCAATCTCGCCAAGCTCCACGCGGCGGCCACTGAGCTTCACTTGATCAGTGGATATTCTTCCCAAGAATTCCACTGATGCCTCTCCAGTCTTACTGTCCCATACGATCCGCGCCCGGTCCCCAGTGCGATAAGCTCTGCCCCACGGGGTCGAAGGAAGAAAGGCTTTGGCAGTTTCTTCTGGACGATTCAGGTAGCCACGAGAGGCTACCTGCGGACCTGCGATTAGAAGCTCGCCCGGACATGCCCAAGGCACAGGCTGGAGAGGATCGTGTTCGCTCACCACGATCAGCGAGCACGACGGAAGAGGTGGGCCCAGCACACTGCCCCTATTATTGCCTGGCACGTGATTGAGTAAAGTGCAATTGATGGAGGCTTCTGTGGGACCATATGCATTGTACAGGCCGCGCGGACCGGTCGAGGGATCCCATGCACCGTGTGAAAGATTCGGATTATGAGCTTCGAAGTTCCGGATCACTCGGGCACTGAGCGCTTCGCCCATCGTCCACAGACTCTTGAGATGCCGCGGCTCAAGGAGCGAGGCCAGTGACGGGGTCGCCATCATGACATCGACGTCGAGCTGTGCCAGAACAGCGTTAATGTCATCCAACGTCAACTGCCTTTCGGCGGTGCAGAGTGTACCTCCGCTGCTCAAAGTCACAAAAATCTCCATGATGGAGGGATCGAAGGTCGGAGCTGCAAACTGAAACCAGCGGGTCGGTGCCGCCTGGGCACTGGAGCTGAGGGGCGCCACGGCGGAATGGGCAGCGATGGAGCACGCCGCCGAGAGGTGACTGATCTGCACGCCCTTGGGTCGACCGGTCGTGCCCGACGTGTACATGATGTAGGCGAGATCATCCTCTTCGGTACGTGCCGTCATCAGAAGCTCCGGAGAGACGATAGTAGGTATATATGGAGGCATCACAGCGGGTGTCTCGGTGGCGAGGAAGTTCGAAGCATTGAGAACAGGCACGTCTCCCATTGCAGTAAACAGAGGGAGGGCAGAGTCCCGATCCCTGGTGATGATGGCAGAGCAATTCAGATCTCCCAGCATCATTAGCTGCCTGTCTACAGGAGCATCTGTGGGAATCGGGCAGAAGGGACGTCCCGACTTGAGGACAGCCAGATAGGACAAATACATCTCGGGGCTCGGGCCCATCACGATGGCTATGGGATTCTTGGCATTATGGGGACATTGACTGAGCAGGGCTGCCGCAAGACACGCAGCCGCCGAGTCGACGTGTTGGTAGCTGTACTGCTGGCGGGCACCATCCAGTGCGAGGAAGTCGATGGCGACGCGCTGAGGATGCTGCTGGGCGCGTCGTTCAAAGCAGCCGTGGAGCAGTGCCGGGAACGTGTCCATGGCCGGCTCCTGTGGGAAGGGCACGGGACGCGTCCGCGGTGGATAATTGAGTATAGAGAGGCGCGCGACATGTTGTTCGCGTCCAGAAATGTCATTGCTGTCGTCGTCGTCGTCGCCCTGCTGACAGATCTGGCAGCAGAAGAGGTCGAGCAGAGCGTGTGCGGCTGCCTGAGGAACGCGACTGACATCGACATGCAGTTCGATATACAGGCCTGCGGGAGTCGCCACGGCCCGAGCCGCGAGAGGAGACTACGATGATTGGGTGAGACGAGGGAGCAGAAAGTTCCATCTATACATGTACTTACGTCAGCAACAAAAGCTTGCGCGGGACCGTCGCAGACCTCCTCCTCGTCCCCGTCCCAGTGCAATACAAAGTCGGACGGAACGTGTTGCACTCGGGTTTCATCAATCGAGTCCGTCTGCAGAATTCCATCGCGGGCGTTGCTGTAGCCGACTCGGTGAGATGGACCGGACCGCCAGAGGAAGCAGATGTCGTCCTGCGCTGCTCCCACCAACAGCCGGATGAAGCGCTGAAAGGCCGCCACTAGCTGATCATCCTCCTCTTCCTCCCTCCTCTCTTCCTTCGTCCGCACACGGGACTTGCAACATGTCGACGGAAGCACTCTGCTGGTCTGGTGATGGGTTTGCCGCTGCCTTGTGCTGCTATCGCGATTGCTATGGCTATCGATATCAACTACCCAAGATGTGTGAAGAGGCGGAAGCAATGTGGACGGCAGCATCGTAGGCATCATCTTTGCCATTGTGCGTATGGGTACGGTAATACCGAATGGTTGGCAGGTTGAGGATAGATTGGACCAACAAGAATCTGGAAAGTGGAAAAATATGCTGCAATGCAGGACCTCCCTCACGACGAGACGACCTACCTAAATCGACCTGAGCCGGGCGGCGACGCGCATACGAGCGAGCAAAAAGTCTGCACCCTCAGCTTGCATGCCTCGATCATGTCGAGACGCTTCCGCTCTGATGCTGCTCTCATCCTCACACTTGACGCCCCCGCCCCAAAAAACTGCCGGCGCCGCCAGCGATCAATCTCCGATGACTGTACGAAGTGGGCTCATCATTGTCAGGATCTAATCTGATGAGATGGCCACCACCGGTCCATGCTCGGCCGCTGAACATGATCATCCGTCGCACAAGTGCGGCCTACGTATTCCTGTAACCAGTGATAGCCCGCCAAGAAGACCATTGATTGGTGTCATTGCATGAAGCAACAAGGGTTCACGAGGTGAAAGAGGCGGAGATTCTGATAGTACGCGCTCGGTAAGACCGGCGACAATGTAGTATAGAGATGATTCTATGGGTACAGTACCAGCACACGGCGACTATACTAATTAGGCACAGGTCCACTCCCGCTTTCCTCCAGCCGCTCGCAAGGTTGGCCACCGCCGCTAATGCAATGCGACTTATTGTTACGTACCATTCGTTCGGAAAAGGAATTCAACCACGCACCACACCTGCACTGAACCTCGATGACAGGACCCCTGTGGGGTCTCGCCTTGCCAAGAGGCGGTGGATGCTTAGCGCCCTTAGGAGCTCTCCACTCGGGACCCCTGTCATTGCCGCTGTCGTGCTGCTGGCTACGCTATCTGATCATCTGATTGTTCCCGACATCACCTCCACCGCGTGCAACACACCCACCCAGCATTGGAGATTCATTTCTCCTCCTCACGCAGGCGACACTAGTCTAGCGACTCCTGTGCGACAGGTTGTTGCACGAGCACGTCTTGCTCGCATTGCGCTCGGCAACGATGTGCACTTGCTCGTAAAATCCATGCAGGCCGAATTTGCGCCATGCTTGACGGTCAGTTATTACATGAGGCGAGCGTGAAGAGCAGTCTTGAACAACAGTGTCCCGCCGCACGAATCCAAACGACTCCAACGTCCAACCTCATTGCGAATTTCCTTACTGTGACAGCCATCATGGTTTCTGCAATTGATCCTCCCGCAGTAAATGGGCTCAAGCCCTTAGAGCTCACGTTCAACCTTCCGGACGGCAGTACTGTGGTTTCCATTCGGTCTGCACACAAAGCCGCCTTCGGCGCAGGCGACTCAACATACCACATCTATGTGCGGGACGAGCACATCGGAACGTGGTTTGTGGATAAGAACTTGATCGCACGCGTCAGTCCAGCCCAGGTTCTTGATGAGAGAGCTGAAGTGGACTTTGTACGACGATTCGAAACGCCAGCTGCCATCACGAATGGCAACGAGGACAACGCCGAGCACGCCATCACTGCTACTCTGGAGAAGCTATGGATCAGCATATATGCTCTCTGGCTGTTGCTGCACGATCTGGACGTCGTTCCTATTGTGCTTCCAACTCATCATACACAAGGCCAAGAGTATCTCGTTGCCACTGGTCTCGCAGCACCTTCTCCATTTGGGACCACCGTGGGAGATGATCTTCAACCTCATCGCGTGTTGTTGCTGGCACGCGAGCCTTTCTGGCAAGGTGCAGGTGCCCCAGATCGTCTGGCTTGGCTACGGACTCGCCCTGAGGCCAGCATATCTGGTTTCAATGGCCATCTCGGTGTATTTGCCAGCCAGCAGTCCTTCACCCGCAAAGGCAACGTTTGCACGACCCATCCTTTGCGGCCCCCAAAGCCAGCCCCGGGCACAGTGCTCTACAGCCGCTACATCGTTGAACTCGGGCAGCACTTGCAGATTGTACACATCGACGCCACCAATCCATTGCACTTTGCGACCTATTGCCGCTGGCAGAACTCCGATCGCGTCAACCATGGCTGGAAAGAACGTGGCCCAGACAGCAAGCACCGGGCCTATCTCGAATCGCAACGCTTCGACCTTCATACCATGTCTTGCATCTTCCTCTGGGACGGTGAGCCAGCTGGCTACTGCGAGGTTGGCTGGGCTAAAGAGGATAATACGGCGCCGTTTGTCGCCTCCAACTGCAACATTCACATTGGAGAGTTTGATCAAAACAGCCATGTCCTGGTTGGGGAGGAGAAGTTCCGAGGGGGCAAGCGTTACCAAGCAGTCGCTACCAGCATCAAGCACTTGTGTTTCCTGCGAGATCCTCGAACACAACAGGTCATCGCGGAGCCTCGGGTTGATCTATCGAGCGTGCCAATTCAAGCTCGCTTCTTGCCACAAGAGCGCAAGAAGCGCATACAGCTACCTCACAAGCATGCGGTACTCTTTGCCCTTCAGAGGGATCGCTTCTTCCAGGAGGGACATTTTTACTAGCGTAACGCCTGGCGATGCACGGGACAAGTGATCATCGATCGAAGATAGTGGATAATTGGGAATATCACGACTGCTTTCTCCATCAAACTTGCACAGCGTCACATCGTGGTCTGCTGGAACGGCGCGACAACGCGATGCCCTGTTCACGATCGTGTCCTCCATTGACGTGTACTCGATCCACCCGTGTGGTCCTCTCGGCTATGAAGAGCCACGGCGTAGTGACGATGGACGCATCAGAAAATTCCCTCGTTTCGCTCGTACCGACTGTAATGCGACCAAAATGTCCGATCAGCTTTAGCTTCGGGAAATGGCGCTTAATGGTCAGGCCGCCCTCCCTCCCTAGCAACCCACGCGAGCATGCGGCATAGATTGTCCTTGGCACGCTAAGGGAAAAGTGGAATACCGGGGTTGACAGTCTAGGATGGCGGACTGTTGATCTCTGATTGATTAGATTGTAGCATTCGCTTCACTCGCGTCGTCCGACGATCGGCTCATTAACGACTAAACCCATTCATATTGTTTAGCCGAAGCTCAATCATGCTGGCGACATCTGTCCTACTAACTCCTGCCGTATCAATTCTCCACCTCTGCGCTGGCCAAGACCGCCGTCATCGGCCGCCCAAATCCTTTACTGCTATCGACCGCTCAGCTTTTTCTTCCACTCCCTGCCGACCGGTCTCACTCATAGCATCCTTTTGCTGAGGGTCGCCGACAATTCCGCAGCAAGTTTTGCCGCCCAGATCCAGGAGCTGCACTGCCTCCTGGTGTCTTTGCTGCCTTCTGTCAATCCACTCTCACATCCACCGGCAACGCTGGAAAACCTGAGTGGTGCCATGGCAACCAACGACCGCTTTCCGACCGAAGGTCCTTCCAAGACTCATATCTTTGATTCCACCACTCAAAAGCACTATGGCACTAACTCTTCTGATCACGAACACGACCTGACGAAGCCTCCAACTCTAGAGCAGGACCATGGCATCCACCAGCAAGCAGGTATCACCAAAGTCGAGGCATTCAACAAGACTCTATACCAGTCCGGGGCCTCTGGGAAGCTCTTGTTATATGTGCTGGTGCTCTCTCTCGGGTTGACCATGTTTGCGTATGCACTGGACCAAGGCATCACATACCAGTTCAACGCGATCGCGGCGTCGGCCTACGAGAGTCACTCCTCGCTCGGAGCGGTCAATACGGCCACCTCTATCATACGAGCCATTTCCAAGCCCTTCCTGGGGAAACTCGCAGACATCACATCCCGTCCCACGACCTATGTCGTGGTCCTGGTGGTATACGTGGTCGGCTTCGCCGTGGCGGCCTCTTCTCCATCGTTGGCTGCTTACATTATCGGAGCATCGTTCACCGCGTTTGGCAAGTCCGGGTTGGATCTCCTGAGCGACATTATTGTCGGTGACTTGACGCCTTTACAGTGGCGTGGTTTCTGGGGTGGCATGCTGAGCACTCCCTTTCTGGTCACCACATTCGTCAATGGCTTCATCTCCGATGCTTTCATACCCGATAAATGGCGTTGGGGCTTGGGCATGTTCGCCATCATCATGCCTGTCTGCCTGCTTCCAGCCATCACCACGCTGTATGCCATGCAGCACAAAGCGCAGAAGCTGGGCATGATCAGCATGGGAGACTCTGGTCTTGCTCGCAAAGAAGGTGTGAAAGTGAAGGGCGCCCGTCACTACCTGGCTTTGGCGCGATCTGCCGCCATCGAGATGGATCTCATCGGCCTGCTCCTGCTAGGCTTGTCATTCTCCTTGATTCTGTTGTGGCTCGACTTGGCCCCTGACGCAGACAATTCGTGGAGTAACCCCAGCATGATCGCCATGGCTGTGATGGGATTCGTCCTGCTGGGCGTGTTCATTGCATATGAGGCACTGGTGGCATCTGTCCCCATCACGCCGAAACGAATCTTGATCAATCGCGGATTCCTCGCGGCCTTGATGGTGGACGTATTCAACCAAATGGCATCTTCGGTCCGCAACAACTACTATTCTTCATACATCTACATCATCAAACCATGGTCCAACTACACCTGGACCGTCTTCATCGGCGCCACCACTCTGACCCTCTGCTTCATGAGTCCCGTCGGAGGCCTGATCCACCGCGCCACCCATCGCTACAAGACTCTCATGGTGATCGGCGCCATTCTCAAAGTCATCGGCTACGGAGTCACCGTCAACACCAACACCCGCAGCACCACCTCCACCGCCCGTCTCTCCGTCAGTCAAGTCCTCCTCGGCATGGGAGCTTGGACTGTCATCGGCGCCCGAGTGGGCTCGCAAGCCTCGGTGCCCCATCAAGACCTCGCCATTGTCATCAGTGTCCTCTCCCTCTGGAGCACCATGGCCTCTTCCGTCGGCTCCACGATCGCAGCAGCGATTTGGCAGAATCGTATGTTGGGGTACATGCGAGAGGAATGTCCTCCTGGAACTTCCGAAAAGGTTCTCGAGTCCATCTATGGCTCGATCCGGACTTTGAAAACCAAGTATGATTGGGAAGACCCGATTCGCAAGGGTGCGATTGTGGCTTATGAGAGAACGAATGGGATTATTTTCGTCACGGCGCTGGTTCTTGCTGCTTTGCCAGTGATTTTTAGTGCACTGATGCCGAGTATGTTCCTCCCCCCCCCTCCTCTCCTCTCCTATACATATATACCCCCCCTCTTTTTCTCTAGTGAGGAACGAAAACCTGGCTAACACTGGCTCCTCTCTTTTTACAGACTACTACCTCGGAAAACAACAAAACGCAATTACAAACACAGGACTCGATGGAGAATTGACTGAAGTTCCCGTCCGTGCGGAAGACAGAACTGCTTCTCCTGGTGGAGGAAGCATGTGGCAGAAATTGAAGAATGCGTATTATCGAGAGCATTAGATTTTCTTTCTAGGAAAAAGAACAAATGAAAAATGTTCAGATCAGCGAGCGATATTATACAGATATAGAGAGCTATTGTTATTCAATAGTAGAGGGTAGGGGTTTCCAGTCCATCCAAAAAAGTTAATGGTGGAAGTAGTTGTTTGTTGTAGATGCTGTTTTCTTGAACAGGCCTTTTTCTTTTTCTCTCTCTCTCTCTCTCTCTCTCTCTCTTTCTTTGCCTTTATTTCGCCAGATTAACCGCAGACACACACACCTCTACACCTACTGACTCTCTCGTCATCGCACTCAACAAAACGTAGCAGTTCCAACCGAGATTGGCAAAAACAAACCCCCCAGAAAAGAGAAAAAATAACCAACCCAGCAATGTCGTAGAAAGAGCGATCTCGGAGTGAAGATTCGGAAAGCAAAAACGAAAACGAAAAAAGAAAAAGCCAAGAAATAAGTCTTGATTTCTTTCCATTGCCAAATCCTTTTTTCTTCACTCCTTGAAAAAACTCTTAGCCAACTCGAACAAACAAACAAACAAACAAAATAAAATAAATGGGTCCGTCCGGGTGAATTCTACCGACCCACCCTCCCCCTGTCCCCCGTTGACTCGCCTGTTTACTGTAGCTCCCCCTGCCCCAGTTTTTCCCTAGAAGATACTTGCTTCTGCCTATAACCGCCGCTAATTCCTTCATAACCGCCGCTAATTCTTAGGGTAGTTTTAATAATATTCCGATGATAGAATGGAACTTGGAAGCAAGCTGTAGCGCGCTACACTAACGACACCACACCCCAACCACTACTTTTTCTCGTACAGTAGTTTGGTAGCCCGTTTACCGTGGCGGTTCACCCCCGACTCGGCGGCAAGCGGCTTGTTGCGGGTTTTGGTTGTTTTGCTTTTCTCTCTTGTGTCTCTGGAGGAACGGACGGGGGGAGGGGGGAATCGTCTGGTTGGTATGCAGGGAGTGCATATGTACCTACTGTACTGTATCTTGTGTATGGAGGGCGGTTATAGAGATGTGCATGTATGTGTTATATTGTATATGAGGGATGGATACTTGATGGATACTTGATGGATACATCCACCTAGGTATACATACTGTACATACATACATGAAGCGAAGCCATTGTAACCACACTATATCTATATGCACGGATATGCACGGATAACAGTACAGTACAGTACCAACTACATACCCTAAAGCGCTCGTGCACCCAAGTCTCTATAAACTCGGCAGAGTGTGGACACGATGATACGACACGACGCTAAAAAAACAAAAACACCTCTCCGCTTTTTTTTCCTTCTTCTTCTTCTCGGTTACTCTTCTGTTATAGTGGTGGTGTGTTGTACTACATACACTTAAGTACAGTACATGTACCGTACCGTACCGTACCAACCAGAAAGCTATACAGTACGTACCACAAACTGTACCTATTTTCTAGTATATAGTAGTACATAGTAGTAGTGAAAACAAAAAACAGTCCAAGCGTCCGGTCGGTGAATTGATCGGTTGAGGATAAGCGTCAAATGCATTGCATTTATCCAACCGTCCCATCCATCGATCCTTTTCATTCATCCACGTACGTAGGAGGTACCGCACGCACCATCATCGGTCTCCTCGCCGGTAATCTGATCATCTGATTGATCTGCAAAGCACTCAGAGACACAGACACCACACCACACCACATTCCTTAGCGTTACCTCCTTACATCCCTGATAGATCGTCCTTTTTTCGTTCCGTTTCGTCTCGGGAGAATATTACGTATAACGACATCTGTAGTTCCAACGATCGAATGCGTTGTTTTTTTCGCGGTGCTGGCTGCAAGGGTTAATTTCTTCCTGCGCCCTGCATACCGACTGATATGCCTCTAGGTGTATGTACTACTACTCTAGGTAGGTAGGTAGAGTAGGACTAGCGAGACAGGGCCGACTCGGGGATGTGGAGATGATGTGTGTGTGTCCACAATTAGTCTTCGTCTTCGTTTGTTCGTTTATTCTTGATAGTTGGTTTATGCCGATGATGATGTTGTTGCGCAGACTAGACCTGCAGACTTGCGGGCTAGGCTGCTACGTACGCCATCCTGATGATCGTCTACATGCAGCTCCTTTTTTTTTCTCTTTTTCTTCTAGTGGCGGGAAACTGAACTTGGCGAAACAGTTGGAATGGGGTAATGAGAAAGTGCGGAAAAAGCACGGGTCTCTCTTTCTCTCTTGTTTCTTGTTTCTTGTGCAGAAGTCCACAGGGAGAGAGATTGAGAGTTGCATGCACACTGTGTGATGCAGACGATTACTGTTGTTCTCGCATAGCGGCTTATTCCTCTCTCGCTTCCTATTCCCCAAGTCAGCACAGCACAGCACAGCACAGCAAGCGTGTGTGTGTTAGGGGTAATCCCAATATCGTCTCCTACTCATCTCCATCTCAACCTCTACCTGCAAATCCCCTCATAATGGTAGTACCCAAGTCCCAAGAAAAACATTCGCAACACCACAACCACCTCTCCTATCCACCTCGAAAATGGTATCGCAAAATCCCCTTCATCCGCGACATTTCCTCGCAAACTCTCCTCGACGAGAATGGAAACAAACGCCCAACTCCCGAAATCACGACAAATCTCTGGAATCGATTATTTTTCAACTGGCTGAATGAATTAATCGCGTTGGGTTACTCGCGACCGTATGCGAAAGAAGAAATTTATTTATTGCCGGAATCGAGCGATTCGTTGTTGTTTGGTGAGATGCTGGATCGATATTTGGCGAGATATCAACGAGAAATAAAAGAGGAGGGGGAGGAGGAGGAGGCTGCTGCTTCTCAAAATCAAAATGAGAAGAAGAGAAAGAAAAAATGGTTTCGACCAAACTTCTTAAATTCTCCTTCCTGGCGCCTAACTCGAGCCATCAATTCCACCATTTTCACATGGTTCTGGATCGGCGGCTTAATCAAACTTCTCGCAGACTCTGCAACAATTTGTTCTCCTCTCCTCTTACGAGCCATAGTCCAATTCCTGACCAAATCCGAAAAAAATCGCAAAGCAGGGAATCCCGAGCCCTCCTTAGGCGAGGGGATGGGACTCTCCATTGGTCTGGGAGCTTTACTCGCATTTGGCGTCATGGCAAATGTGCATGGTTTCTATCGAGGGTATACCAGTGGAATTCTCCTTCGAGGAGCACTCATTAATTCTCTCTTTCGTCGAACGGTCGAGTTTTCGCCACTGGAGCGGACGAAATATAATCTCGCTGCGAGCAGAATTGTCAGTCTGATTAGCACGGATGTCAGTCGGATAGATTTTGGTCTGGGATATTTCTGGTCTTTCTGGACGGGCATTGTGCAGATTCTCATCTGTCTCGGCCTCGCGGTTTCGTCGCTGGGTCCGAGTGCGTTGGTCGGGTTTGGGCTGATAGCAGTTTTGGTTCCGACGCAAAGTACGATTGGCAAACATCTCTTTGTCCTGCGGAAGAGGAGTATGCCTTTTACGGATGCTCGTCTCGCTGCGATCAATCAAGCGCTCGAGTCGATTCGGCTGGTGAAGGTGTATGCTTGGGAAGAGGCCATTCTGAGCAAAATCGCCGAGCACAGATATGATGAACTTCGACTGCTTCGTAGTCGGCTGCTTCTACGCGCCTTCAACATTGCACTTTCGTTCAGTGTTCCTACGCTCGCTGCAGTGGTCGCCTTCGTCACTTACGCAGCTCTGGGCAATGCACTCGATGCCGCTGAGATTTTTTCCACTTTGACCCTTTTCATGCTCTTGAGAACTCCTCTACAGTTGCTTCCGGTGGCTCTTGGTGCCATCACAGATGCAGCCAGTGCCATTCAACGAGTTTCTGCTGTCCTCGACACCCCAGAACCAGACAGTACCCTTCCCATCGATCATCAATTGGAAAATGCTGTCGAACTTGATTCCGCTTCCTTTTCATATCGTATTCATGACGAAATGGAACATTCGAACAGCGGGAATGAGAAAGCTCCGCCCGAAGAGCGACAGACTTTCGCACTCGAAAATCTCACTCTTCACGTCCGACGCGGTGAGCTCCTCGTCATTGTCGGACCTGTGGGCTCAGGTAAATCAACGGTCCTGGGCAGCCTTGTTGGCGAGACTCGTTTCGAAGGCGGTCGCGCAGTTCTTGGTTCAGAAGTCGCATACGCACCACAACGTGCCTGGCTCAAAAGTGCCTCGATCCGCGAGAACATCATCTTCGGCCGTGAATGGGATGCGCAACGGTATCAAGAAGTGCTCGACGCATGCTCTTTGGCTTCGGATCTTGCAATCTTCCCCGAAGGTGACCGCACTGTCATTGGAGAAAAGGGTCTATCACTGTCGGGTGGACAAATCCAGCGTGTGGCTCTTGCACGAACCATCTACAAGCCCAGCCGTCTGTTACTTTTGGATGATGTCTTCTCCGCTCTGGATGCTCGAGTACAAGCATTCGTGTTTCAAAAGGTTGTCCTGGAGCGAGATCCAGGCACAGCTCTCGTCCTGGTCACTCACTCATTACACCTTTTGCGCCACGCAGACCGAGTATGTTGTCTGTCTGATGGGAAGATTGTAGAAATCGGATCTTTCCCCGAGCTGATGCAGAAGCCAAACGGCGAGATGAGAAGACTTGTTGAAGATTTTGCAAGCCAGTCAGTTGCCGAGTCACAACGCGAGAAAGAGCGCATAGCCAAGGAGGAGGCCGCACGAATTGCCAAAGGCGAGGCTGTCAACAGCGGCGAGGTGGCTGACACGAAGGAGATTGATACAAGCAAGCCTATCGTACCTGACACCGATACAGTCAGTCGAGAGAAGCCCATTCCCGCTCCCGACCAGAATAACACCAGCGGTAAAGCCATCATGCAGACCGAAGAACGATTCGTGGGATCGGTGACATGGCGCACATATGTCGAATACATACGAAGAGGCAAGCCCACAGTGACCTTGACTCTGTTCGCCATCTCCGTGCTCGTCTTCCAGGGTGGCAGCATACTCAGTCCTCTGTGGTTGCAGTGGTGGCAAGAAGACAAGTACACCAACATCGATTCTGGTGTATACATGGGCGTATATGCAGCGCTGGGCATTGCTCAAGCGATTGGGCTCCTGTGTATGTCTGCCTCGTTCGGCTTCTTCATCTTCTACAGCGCAAGCCAGATCCACGCCAATGCCGCACGCAGTGTCCTCTTCGCGCCCATCTCGTTCTTTGACACGACACCACTGGGGAGGATCATTGCTCGCTTTAGCAAGGACACGGATTCCATAGACAACGTCATTGGAGAGGCGTTTCGAATGCTGTTGAGTACGACTGCACAAGTCGTGGGTGCTGTGGTACTGATCTCGATGCTCTTGCCATGGTTCTTGCTTGCAGTCTTCGTCATTCTGTGCATGTTCATTGTCCTAGGCATGTACTATCGTCCATCGGCGAGAGAGCTCAGACGACTGGACGCTCTGTTACGGAGCCCCATCTACGAGCACATTACGGAGTCCTTGGCAGGCATCACGGTCATTCGGTCCCTGGGGGCACTCAAAACCACAGTCGACCGCAATACCAGCAACATCAACACAGAAAATGCACCCTATTGGCTGTCTGTCGCTTGCCAACGTTGGTTCAGCGTTCGCCTCGACCTACTTGGGGTCTGTCTGGTTCTACTTGTAGGCATCATTGTCGTCGCGAGTCGTGATACATTGTCTGCATCACAGGGCGGCCTTGCTTTGAGCTATATTGTGACAGTGCAGAGTGTTTTTGGCTACATGATCCGCCAGTCATCTGAGATTGAGAACAATATGAACGCGATAGAGCGTCTGCTCTTTTACTCAACCCAGGTGCCTCAAGAACCTCCGCATACGCAGAGAGACGACCAACAGCTTGCGAGCCAGCGATGGCCGACTCATGGCGCCATTGAGATGGAAGATGTGGTGTTTACACATCGAAAGGGTCTGCCACCTTCTCTCAGAGGCGTCAACATCGCGATTCCTGCTGGCAGCCGGGTAGCGCTTGTCGGTCGCACAGGATCCGGCAAAAGCACTATGCTCGCGGCGCTGGTGAGGATGGGCGAGGTGACGAATGGGAAGATCCTCATCGATGGAGTAGACGTCAGCACCATTGGCCTCAATTTATTACGAAACAAGATCGCATTCATGCCACAAGAAGCAGCTCTCCTGAATGGGACCCTGCGATACAACCTCGATCCATTCGGTGAGCACGACGACGCGGACCTATGGCGTGTGATTCACCAGGTGGGACTGGCTTTCACTGCAGCGAACGACTCGGAGAGCTCCACAGAAAATCTCACCAAGAGTGATGATGTGATTGACGAGAAGGAAAGGAGGTATTTCAACAGTGGAGCAGCTCAGCACCATCTGTCTCTGGACACGATGATCGTTGCTGAGCGCGGGAACTTGTCCTCTGGTCAACGTGCTCTAATATCGCTTGCACGTGCATTGATCAAGGAGGCGTCGATCTTTGTGTTCGACGAGGCAACAGCAGCCATGGATATGGAATCCGACCACCATGTCCAGCAAGTCCTCCGAGCTAATCTCAGAGGCAAGACAACCATCATCGTGGCTCATCGCCTGGACTCCGTCATTGGCAGTTCGGACATCATTTTCGTCATGGAAGATGGCAAAGTAGCTCAGGCTGGTCCACCGCTCGAGCTGTATCGCGAAGGCAGCGGGCTGTTTCACACGCTCTGTGCCAATGCGGGAATATGTGATGATGATATTGTAGCAGCATATGAGCGATTTCATAGCGACTAAGCAATCTATAGCGATCCCAGTGGTCTTGTGATCTGATCCCGTCGAAGCACAGTACAGAGCATTCACCTATGGGACCGAAGGCAGTGCGAGCATTCACGTGAGCCCGGATGTAGTCGTCCACTTCCCGAAGCCCAACGGCGCCCGTAGTGACAGCACGGCCTTGGTATTCCGCGCAAGCAGGTCGTCGGACTTGGCGTGGTTGCATTTCCTCTCGGGGCTCGCTCTTATCACGACCACGTCGACGGGCGGACCAGCGCTAATGCGGCGGCTTCACATATCCCTGCCCTGGTTCACTCAGCGCTTGTTAGCGTCGCAGGGCAATAGAACTAATGCAGGCCCCATAATAGTTCCAACCACCATGCAACGTTCTCCTCAACTTCAATCAATCGATCAGATGATCAGATAAAAATCCTCCTGCTTCGGCCGCTAGATGTCCAGGGTCTGCATATCTAATCTGATGAAAATTCTGATCGTTTCTCTTGGCGCTATGTCGACAGAGGCACGGCACGGCACCCGGGTCCCCTCATTATCCCCTCCTCGCAGGTCTTCAGAAGTTGCATAGGTACCTTAGTTGTGATCGTCCAGGAATCCAGCAATCCAGCACTCTTTTGCTTCCAGCAACATGCCACTGACCAATGCCGTTCCGTACGACTTTCCGAGCTCAGCGAGCAATGGGCAGACAAACATGTCATCGAATGGATTCTACGAGGCAATGAGTGGTGTCGAACAAGCAACGGACGCTTCCAAATCGACCAGCTCTCTCCTGGAACGTGCTGGAGATGACGAGCTCCACGACATTGTCTGTATCGGGTTCGGGCCAGCCGCACTTGCAATTGCGGTTGCTCTCAACGATGCCATTGCAGCCAAAGATCCCAGCTTGAGAACCCTGAGGCCCAAGGTCCGCTTCATTGAACGCCAGCCGAGCTATCAATGGCACCCTGGAATGCTGCTCGAAGACAGCAAGATGCAGATCACCTTCATGAAAGATCTCGCGACGCTGAGAAACCCACGAAGCCACTTCACATTCGTGAATTATCTTCATAACCAGCAACGATTGGTCCAATTCACCAATCTGGGCACAATGCTCCCCAAGCGACTGGAGTACAATGACTACATGCGTTGGTGTGCAAGTGCGTTCGAAGATGTCGTAGACTATCATCGCAGCGCAGGGCGAATTGACGCTGTAAGTACAACCCTTGCTCGTGTCTTCAGCCTGCTTGAATTTCTGTCGAACCATCACTGAGTCGCCACTTCCAGATAGAGAGCACTTCCTCAAGCGCTGCAGTGCAGGCCTTCCGAGTAGTATCGACCTGTCACAAGACTGGAAAGACATCTGAGCTTCGAGCAAAGCATGTCATCATCGCCGTCGGAGGCAAGCCATATATTCCGGAGGCTTTGAGGTTCTCTCACCCACGAATCATCCACTCGTCTCAGTACATGACAGAAGCTGCAAGTCTTTTCCAGAATGGCCAGCAACCACAACGAATAGCAGTCGTCGGAGCCGGGCAAAGCGCTGCTGAGATCTTCTACGATATACCATCGAAGTTTCCCGGTGCGCAATCAGTCCTGGTGACTCGGCGCTCGGCGCTCAGACCCAGCGATGACTCTCCCTTGTAAGATTTCCATTGCACTAGCATCTCACCAAGTCTTGCCATTCATTGGCTAACACCACTTCCAGCGTGAACGAAGTCTTCGACCCTTCCAGAACGGACGACGTTTTCTCTCAGAGTCCAGAAATTCGTGCCCAGGCAATAGCAGCAGATCGGGCTACAAACTACGGAGTCGTCCGCTTAGACCTTCTCGAGCATCTGTACTCTGCATTCTATACATACAGAGTGAAGCATTTGCCCGAAGAGTCCTGGCCACACCGGATAGCGAATCATAGCACGGTGACAGGCGTGCACGCCGCCAAGGCAGGCGAGCGTAGCGTGCTGCGGCTCCAGATCCAAAATGAATCTCAGGCGTACGGCCGCAGCAACATACCTCAAAAACAAGAGCTGGATGTCGATATGGTGATTGTGGCGTGCGGGTACGAGCGTAACGTCCACGAAGACCTCATGCAAGATCTGCAGGCAATGAGACCCGAAGCAGACTCAGCGGGTTGGACAGTAAGCAGGAATTACGCAGTGAAGTTTGCGGACGACGCTCTTGAGTGTGATCGAGGCATCTGGCTTCAAGGATGCAACGAGAAGACGCATGGCCTGCCCGACTCACTGCTTTCTATACTCTCGGTGAGGGCGGGAGAAGTGGTAGACAGTATTCTGGGAGGAGGACCAGACGGCCAGAGGAAGACAATGGTAGATAGCGTACTTGGTGCGGCAGGCCAGTAAATGTACTGCTGCTGCCTAACTTCACTCGTCCAAAGCGGCGTTTGCCAGCGCGTCTGCCGCGCGGTTCCGCTCGCGGCCGACGTACCAGAAACTCACCACTATACCCCCATCATCGCCGTATTCCATCTCATCCAGCGTGTCATGCAGGTCCCACAGCCTCTCGAAATGCGCCACTCTCCGGCCGTTCGCCGTGATGCCATTATTTGCAATCCAGCCTTCCATCCACTCCGACATAGCTCTCACCAGAAAAGCGGAATCGGTAGCAATCTTGATATCACTCAGCTGAAGATCGTGACTGCAGATGCTCTGGAGCACCGGAAGCGCGTGTGCAAGCGCTTCAATCTCCGCTCGGGTGCTTGTTTGCGGCATGTGAGCAGGCACGAGTCCCCACGTATTGTAAGGCGAGTTCGGGCCGAAGTAGATGCCATAGGCAGCACGTGCATTCCGGGTGCCATTGCCGCGACATGCGCCGTCGATGTGTATGACCATGGTCGATTCGTCTCTGTATGGAGCAGACGAACTATGTGCCTGGAATCGGAGCTGGGAGACACCTTTTCTTGCGTTGTACACTATCAGGTTGTTGCGTGGTATGTGATATCGGCCTGGATCTGCACCAGGTACGAAGAGGCGTCTGATTTCTTCGCCGTATTCATTCTGCATGTTGCCGTCGGGCTGTGTTGTTTGATCTGGTGGTCAATTGATATGGAGTGACGAGCTTCTTTGAGCATCTTTATGTCACGTCAGAAAGGTGGAAGGAGTGGTGGGTTGTAACTTGATGGAAGGTGCGCATTCGCATGCATCGACCTGAGTGTTCTTTCCCAGGATGCATCCGCTGGACCAATCCATGATCATTGCTGTGAGGCTCACACCTTCCCGTACCAACAGTGACATCGAGTTTGATTACATGAGCAGGAAGGAGAGAGAACCTGGAAGAGCTGGAAGAGAGAAGGAGAGCCAGGAAGAGAGGAGAAGAGTCAGGGAGAGAGGAGAAGGTGTGGAGTTTGTGGGGTATGGAGTTTGAACTGCGTGCACGTGAGGCTCGCAGTGAGCCAATCGGCGATGAGTATATTCGTTCGATCTTCTTGGCGATCCATCTCTAGGAGGCACCTCCAACCTCCTACCTATGAGACCCTCTCTCTCTCTTTGCTTGGCAACTGGGCGCGGTCTGCACAACGGGTCCTCGCTAACGACAATACCTGAATAGGTATGCCCGTCCCTGGAGCCTTTGCAGCACCAAGGATTTGGGATCTGGGATTTGGGAGTTCTTGTAGGTTGCACTGAGGGGAGTCCAATCCTCCTCAGGCTGAGACTACCCGACTATACCTCCCCGAGGGGTCCTTGGAGGTACTGCACGACGCTTGATGCGATGTGGCGATAGGGCAGGGTCATCATGCCAATTAAAGCGTCAAGTGGAGACGCTCGCTACCTTCCGGGTAGAGGCAGAGGAAGAGGCAGAGGAGGAGGAAGAGGAGGAGGAGAGGGAAAGGGGATGTTGCTTCACTGCCAAGTTGGGAGTCTTGGACATCGCGTCATTCTTCACTCGATCGACCCCATATTTCCTACCGAGCGGCAACCCCAAGCATTACTCCGCGCCACCTGAGCCATGGACCACTCCCAAGACCTCTTGTCAATTCTTCTATTGCAATGGCACACGTCTGCCAACGGGCTCTGGGCACGCGAGGGAAGCTGTTCTTCGTGGCGGTGGCGCGCGAAACCAGCGCTGTCCTTGCGGTGTAGGAGGTAGCATGCGCGGGCGTGGAGCGCGTTGGGAAATAAGTATTCGTCCTTTTCGTCCTTGTCGTTTCTGGAATCTGCTGTAGATATTGATTCCATTGCAACCGTGTTGATTGCGCATTCACTCATACTAGCAGAGGGCCATGGCAGACATACGGAAAGACGAGGAGGCTGCCAGCCACATCGAACCTGTGAAGAGACACTCGATATCACATGCCTCATCGTCCTCTGGCAATCATGATCCCTCAGAGAAGGCGAATACTGGCCCAGAAGGTGTCACTGCTGCTGCAAAACTCCGCAACCCTCTCACTGGCATGACCGAGGAGGAGGTCATTCAAGATGTAGATGCCTTCGTCGACAGTAAAGGACTGGAGAAATCCCGAGACGCATTCCGCAAAGGAGCGCTTCTCGCACGTGTTAATCAACGCTCGCCCGAGACTGGCTTCCTGCAGATATCTGCATTGTCTGCAGAGGAGAAGGGCTGGCTACAAGATGAAGTGAATCACAGATGGCGACAGCCCTTCATGCTGTATTTCCTCGTGGTACTCTGTGCCGGCTCTGCTATTGTACAAGGAATGGACCAGACGGCTGTGAACGGTGCTCAGCAATTCTACTTTCGGACTTTCAACATTGGCGAGGATGAAGTATGGCGGCGTGGACTACTGAACGGCGCTCCATACCTCTGCTCCACGCTCATCGGCTGTTGGACCAACGTACCTCTCAACAAGTTCTTCGGTCGACGAGGAACGATCTTCATATCCTGTTTCATCTCTTTCGTGGCCGGCATTTGGATGGCCGCTGCCGACACCTGGTACAACCTGCTCATTGCCCGATTTGCCCTAGGTTTTGCTGTCGGTGCCAAGTCCAGTACCACGCCCGTCTACGCGGCTGAGTCCGCGCCCAAGAACATTCGAGGTGCGCTCACCATGATGTGGCAAATGTGGACTGCCTTTGGTATCATGCTCGGTTTCGTGGCATCCGTAGCGTTCCAAGGCACCGACTTCCTCGGCGTGGACACTCAATGGCGATGGATGCTGGCTTCGACCTCGATCCCACCGCTGCTGGTCATGATTCAGGTGTACTTGTGCCCCGAAAGTCCTCGCTGGTACATGGAGAAGGGAAAGTTCGACAAGGCATATGACGCTCTCAAGCGTCTACGATCGCACGAGATTCAAGCAGCGAGAGATATGTACTATGCATACATGCTGCTCAAAGTCGAGGCTGCTGAGCGCGAGGGCAAGAATCTGTGGAAAGAGTTCTTCTTTGTCCGACGCAATCGTCGCGCAGCTCAGAGCTCGTTTTTCGTCATGTTCATGCAGCAATTCTGTGGTGTCAATGTAAGTCAACCAGTGATGAGAGAAACACGGTGCTCCCTCCCTTGACTAACACCTATACAGGTCATTGCATACTACTCTACTCAAATATTTATGGATGGCGGGTTTACCGAACCGCAGGCACTACTTGTTTCACTGGGCACGGGTATCGTGAACTGGTTGTTCGCAATTCCTGCCATCTATACAGTAGGTGCCATCAGTCTCGCTCTTTTATACATCACATGACTAACATCTCGGCAGATTGACACTTTCGGGCGCCGCAACCTGTTATTGACGACATTCCCACTCATGGCCATCTGCCTCTTCTGGTGTGGCTTTTCCTTTCTCATTCCCGACACACCCAGCACCGATCCCGCCGCCGGCGCGGACGGGCTCATCACCGGTCCTGGCAAGCTAGGCAGTATCGCGGCCTCGATCTATCTATTCATGGTATTCTACAGTCCCGGCATGGGTCCCGTACCCTTCACATACAGCGCCGAAGCATTTCCCCTGTACATCCGTGACGTGGGCATGAGCTTCGCGACAGCAACCACCTGGGGCTTCAACTTCATAATCTCCCTGACCTGGCCCGCCCTCCGAGACGCTTTTACGCCGACGGGAGCATTCTGCTGGTATGCGGCCTGGAATGTTTTCGGCTGGGTCTTTTCCTACTTCCTATTGCCTGAGACGAAGAACCTCACGCTTGAAGAACTCGACAATGTCTTTAATGTGGGGAACAGGGAACATTCCAAGTACTACACGCAAAAGCTGCCCTGGTATATGAATAAGCATATTTTGCGACGCGATGTCGAGCCTTTTGAGCCGTTGTATCAGTTTGCAGACCCCGAGGCGGAGAGTGAGCGGCGTGCGAGTATGGTGAGGCGGAGTAGCGTCACTAAGAGTTTGAAGAACTAGGGAACGAACGGACGTGTTTGGGCGGCAGAGCGTGGCTATTAAACCGTTCTATTGAGGCTTTGAGATTTAGATATGGCTATACCTGTTTTCTTCAACGCGACGAAACGCGCACGATGAAACGAAGAAGTCGCCTGACGCGCAACGAGGCCGTTTTGTCCAGCAGACTCTTGGTCCCCTCTAAATCGTCATATCGCATCAAAAAAACGGAGCTCTGTCCAAGAAGATGTTTGCCCAGTGACATCTTGGGTTTCAATCATTTCAATCGGGATTCCTCCGGCGGCATATAGTCAATCCCGTCCTAGCAACAGAACACGTCTAGGCATAATCTGAGATAGATATATACAACAGTGATGTGTCAATGATACTCGCTTCCAGTATATATTGAGTTAGGACTCGCGTAGTCCAGGCTTTCTCTACGGTCTTTCAGCGTGCTATTTGATATATGTTGGAGAAGTTGCTAGAATAAAACTATTCGCCTTTCTGTAGAATCACTGTGGTTGATAATATCTGTATCTAGTTTGAACGCCACTGACTTTGTCGACAATGATTTGATACTTCCATACCTAATGGAAGACTGTGAATTGTGTGCCTTGCTGTTATAATCTCTCTCTCTCTCTCTCCCTCTCTCTCTCTTATATCATCACCTCCCCCCCTCAACAAACCTCTTCAAATCATCCGCCTGCGCCTCAAACGCACTCTTCAATTTCCCCTTCAACACCTCCGTCACAGGCGCCAAAAGCCCATAATACGACTCAAAACTCACATACCTCGTCCCTCTCTCTCCCAAATCCGTCAAAACATTCGGATGTTCAGCCCGTTGTCCCACCCCATCATATCTCCACGCATTAATCGCATGCCGCGAAGCCGTCCCCTCCGAAGAGGTCCCTTCCGCAGAAGAAGAAGAAGAAAAAATATCCTTCTGATCAACAGTAACAATTTCCTCCGAAGTAGTATTCAACGACCCAATCAGACCTCGCGTAATAAATTTCACTTTAGTTCCCAGCGGTGCGGGACCCCGAGGTATCTCCCCCTCCACATTTCCACTAGAGGAGGAGGAGGGTTGGACATCTATAACGAAAGAATTCCAATCCGAGTAGAGGCGAAAATCGAGAAGGGTGTTGTAGACTTGTGTGATGGGAGCTTGAATTTCTCGTTCGACGCAGATGGTGAAGATGATGTGTTTGTCGCCATATGTCGGTGTGGGAAGTTTATTGTTGTTGTTGTTGGTGCTACAGCGAATGTTGACGAGTTGAGAGGGCTCGATTTGGTAAGTTTGTGCGTGCGAGGGGGAGGGGATGGTGGTGGCGACTAGGAGTAGGAGATTTAATTTTCTGGTCATGCTGATGATGGTTTCGAAAGTATTGGGGAAGGATCTCTTTCGGCTAGAATTGACAATGGTCGAAAAAGGAAGCTTCAATATACCAGGTATCGTACATAACAGGTACCTATCATACTGTTGTAGGGATATATAGTCTGTCACGCAGGGGAGGCTGGGGAGGTAGGCATATACATCATCGTTCGGCAGGGGTCGGCTGTCCTGAATCGTATTCTGCCAAGTGATAAGTAGCTGTAGCTTACTCTGGACGAAAGTATAGCAAGAGATAGGTCAGCAGAGATCAGTAGACAGTATAGCTACCTACCTATAAAGGTAGAACCAGCGAGGTTAGAGTACCTAATATCGATCGCCCTATAGTCTAGATAGTATACTCTAATGAATACTTAATTAACAGAATTGTACATCTTTATACTTTATCAATCGCCTGTATGATATATATAGTAAGTTTCTATCAACTTGCTATTACAATACCGGTACACCGACTACAAACGCAGGCCTCTACAATCGACGAGAACTCCTGTATGAAAAAAAAAAATGAAAAAAGAAAATACGAAGACATTGCATATAATACGAGAAGATCTAATTACCATCGTTTCAGCATTGGCATCGCCAAAAGAAGCATTTGCTTCTAGAACCTGAAAAAAACCTATCCTCCCTTGATTTTTCTTCCCTTCGAAAATGTTGTATTTCAAAAATTCTACTTGAAAAAGCAATTCACCAAACGGTTAGGTAGGTATACTTCCATCCTTATCCCATCTATCCACTATCCCCGAGGTATACTAGTAACAACTAACAAGAAAGATGGCGGATGCCTCAGGGGGAATAGAGAATGTCATCATCATCAAATAAACACCACCCGAAAAAGGACCCCCTCCCCCGGATCGAAACAGACAAGGTCAGGTACTTTACCTACTAGGTATCCGCCCAAAATCCTGATGACTACGGGACAAAACGCACTCAGGGGATAAGGTACAAAACGAAACGAACGGAATGTTTGGGTCGCTTTTGATGAAAGGGTTACTACAGTAGTTTATCCTTTCTGTCGGGTCTAGTTTTGTTGGGGATAGGTGCCGGGATCCCTACCTTGTAGGTGCTGTAGGTAGGTAGGTGGGTAGGTATAAGCACTAGGGTGTCCGTAGAGACACGAGGGAAAAAGAAAAGAGAGAAAAAAAAAGAAAATATGGAATTGGTAAGGGATGGGGATTTTGCACTACGGGACCACGATCGCCCGTGATAGTGCAACAATAAAAGAGAAAAAGAGAGAGGCAGAGAGGCAGAGAGGGCAGGCAGGGCATACATAGATATCTTTTTTGGAACAGATTCTGTGCACAAAAAACCTATTGCCTGTTTTTCCGAGTCGAGATTCATTATATTTTTTTTTTCGACTCATCTCCTCCATTCCCACGATGCGAAGGAAGGGCAAAGAAAAAAGAAAAAGAAAAGAAAAAGAAAACCCGCAGAACGCATTCTCCCCATCTCACCCTCCATCAATGCGGTATATACATAAAACCCAATCCCCCCCCCCCCTTCCGGGCGGTTCAAGCCTTTATATCCAGCAGCACCACATATCCATACCCCTCATCATCGTCATTCAGAGAGATGGATTGGTAGATTTTATTTAATAAGGTGTGCAAACCGCTTGCACACATGAATCGAGATCAGGAAAGCCAAGAAGGGAAAATGGCCAGTCCAACAATGGTTTAGCAAAAGCTTTGCAAGCTTCTCCGAATCCATTCTTTTCGATTCCGGCTTGGAGGGAATCGACACACTGTAAAAAGAAAGAATGTCAGCTTTAATTCAATCATCACACACTTCTCAGCGGGCAAAAGGGGGAAAAAGAAAAAACATACACCCTGTCCATTCCACCACAAATTCGGCCAATCCTGAGCCAAAGTCTTACAAGCACCTTCACCAACCAGATCCGACTGTTGACCAAAAACCGCACAACTGCACGATCCAAAATACGGGCCGTTAGCATCTCCTCCGTGTCCAGGCGTGACGCCCGGGTAAGGGTAGGGAACGAAATCTGGGGGCGGGTAGAAATGGGTGTTGTCGGGAATGACGGGTCCTCCTGGTGGAGGCACGAGGTCGCTGGCAGGTTTGTATTTTGGTGGTCCTGGTGGGGGGACGAGGTCGGTCTTGGGTTTGTAGCTGGGTCCTCCTGGTGGGGGGACGACGTTGCTGTTGGGGTTGTACTTTGGTCCTCCTGGTGGGGGGACGACGTTGCTGTTGGCGTTGTAGTTTGGTCCTCCTGGTGGGTCGACGGGGGTGGCGAGGGCACTGCATTTGTGAGGTTAGAGGTGGGTTCGCGGAGAGAAAGGGAGAGAGAGAGACTTACGCGCTCGCGAAGAGGGCAGTGGCGAAAGTGATGAACTGCATGATGGCGGATTATGTCGAGGTGATGTCCAAGTAAGAGACTTTCTTAATTGGGAAATGTTCTGCGGAGAAGGTGAATGCAGATGGATGAGTTTTTCGAAAAGGGTGGAAGAGGATGTGAAGAATCTCTTTATATGAGGTACCTATTCATGATACTGCCTCTTGAACCCCTCCATGGCAACTGACAGGGCCACAAGCCCGCCCTCGACAGGCAAAAGAATCGTCTATCCCATTTAACCGGATGCGGGCAACTGTCGATGTTGAAAAAAGTCTAACATATATTTGGCTTGGGTTCGACAGGCAATCGTGCTGGGATTGAAAAAGGTTGCGAATGTTCTACTCGCATGGGACGTGGTTTGTTATGATGGAAGACTTGAGACGAGTCGAGCGTATGTTGAACATGCACCAATGGAGTCGTAGTGTGCTATCCAGATCGCTTCTTCACCACTACCGCCCCGTACACATATCTGCTGTACGTAGTGCATCTTTTCGGCACGTGTCAGCCATGTGTCCACTGTTTGCAGGAGCAAACATTGCCATGCCATGCCATGCCAAGCTGGTTGTCGTATCCATTAATCAGAAAGGCAATTCCAGACTCGAAGAGATGAGGTCAGCTTGAAGGTTCCATGGCTGTCTGGGTGACGGGGAGGAGCATGCTTGTCAATGGCTTTGCGCGGATGAAACCATGCCCTGGCTTACACGTTTCGATAGACGTAAAAGCGCTATTCTGGGAACGGCACCCGAGCGCAATCAGCTAGCCACACTTCCCGGAGGTCGGAGGACAACACCAAATCACTCATGGTACGAATAGTAGTACTGTCACTACTGTGTATTCTTAAACCCACCACCTGGTTATATTGCCCCGGATCCAGTACAGCGCAGCAGAGAAACGCCATTTTTCATCGGATTTCCTACCTTGGGTCCTCTGTCCGAAAGCCCGGAAGAGAGGAAAACAGGACATGTCACCTTGACCACATCCAGGGAGATAAAAATCTTGGTCAGCGAGCCACTCTCAAGGTTCCTGGTTGGCATTCCTCAGGTAAGCAGGCATCAGAGGATCTGATGATTAGGCTCGACCGGAATAGCAGGCAATGATCTTCACGGCATCTTCTGGACATGCTTGCTGACGTGTTGCTATTATAGATTGCCTATGCGAGTCTGGCCCGCCAACCCGCCGTATAGACAACGCAGGTGCTAGGGCAGCGCAGCACACGCGCGAGAGAGTTTAACCACGTAGGTACGTTGACATCCCAGATTGTTGAAATGCTGCGTTGGAAGCAGCACGATCAACGACGTGGCACTGACTGAACGTAGAAGCACGAGCGACGAATAATGGTCCCGGGAGCATCTGCCATCGTTTCTTCAGTGAGCTCGAGCCCTGGGACGTGAAACCTCGATGCTGGAGTCAAGCCATACGAGGGGCGACAGTCTTCATGTTCCTCCACAGAGTCCATCGCCTCGACGCAAAGCAGTCACAGTACCTCTAGCTTAAGAGCACACGAATCTCATCCTCCGTTCTCGGAAAGACTTCTCTCAACCAGACCTCTGCGTCCATGTCCCCGTTGGCCTGCTTCATCTTGAGCTCATCAGCTTGTACAATCAGCGTCTCGATCTCAAGGAAATCTTCACAAAACTGCTCAGCAGCTTCTTCAATAATCCTCCTGGCCAAATTCTGATGCTCAAGCTTCGAAAGGAACGCTCGAGCGTCCTCCGTCGCGGTTGGTAGAAAGCTGTCCAGCTGCTGTGCGATCCTGATGATCTGGCCGGGATCTTTGTATGAAGAGGACAAATCTTCCGTAGTTGAGACGTTTTCTACAAGATATTCCAGACCAGACTCTTTCAGAAACCAGTTGTGCATAGCGTCTGTCAGATCTCGCTCGTGGCCTTCTATCTTAGGCTGCAGTTCCTCCGACCGGTCAGCGAAGGAGTATGCGACCAGAACTTCTCTCGTGGACAGCAAACAGTTCAGTGCAAAGATGTGACTGTTAGGCTTCCTGAGCCGGGTCGTGATGTTTTCGCATCCTGCCAAGAACGGGTCGAGAGCTTCCTGAAGAATGGGCGTGAAGCCTTCAATGCGTTGAGTACGGTCAATATTCACAGCAGAAGTATCATAGCTCTTCATGAGAACCTTTAATGTCTCCAGCGCGTCGAGCAAGAAGTCTGGAGGGGCCAAGTCGTCTGTGGAAATGGAAAAGTCGGTTCGCAAATTGGCGACGTGATCCCGCATTGTGGACCTGAAAGCCCGCAGTGCACTCTCTGACAAGGGCTGTAGAATCTCCAACAATGCCGAGCCCTCACCGAGCAGATTCGTGAATATACTCGCGTAAAAGGTGACTAGATTCGAGATTTTGTAGGCGAGCGTTGCATCCTCGTGGCTTTGCACGACCTGCTCGGAGCGCTGCCGAAGCTGTCTGAAGACACCAGCGAGATCTCTGTCGACCAGATCATTCAGTGCTTTGCGGCCGTTGAATGGTTGGACGGTGCCTTCATCATCAGACCGTGACCATGGTTCGCTCTCGATGCCAGCTTGAATGCTCTTGGCAATCTCATCGCCCTCTGAGATGAATAAGACCTCCAAAGCTTCCCGCTCTGACACGGTCGCCGAATGTGCCCATGCCAGCATGTCACTCACATAGCGCAGAGGATCGTGAGCTGACAGCTCAATCGCCTTGCCCAGCACAGGATGATCAGCATCTACAGGTGCACCGGTCAGAGCGGAATAGAAGTTGTTGGAAAGGATATTCTCCCTCGCTTCTGCAAAGAAGTCCAAGCAGTTCTGAAACAGAGTTGGCCTTTCCGCCAGCACGCGTAAAGCTCGTCGGATGGCGCCACTGATCTGCGGGTTTTCCAGATCCAACGCCTTGAACTCGCGCTGAATCCATCTGTACAGCTTCTGAAAGGCTGCATTGAGCTGTCGGGAACTCTGCTCCAGGATCTCGAGGCCGAGACGCTGATTTTCCGAGCCCAGCAGCAGCTGAGAGTCCTCGTGGATCTTTTTGACTCTGGTCATGATTCGGAAGAAGTCATCATTTACGGGCTCTGCAGTCGATGTCAGAGTAGCCAGGTCCTCGTCCGAGACCACAAAATGCGCCTTCAAGGCATCGAGGAGCTGCTGCCTCGTCTCCACTCGTCGTTTCTCTGCCAACATGGACTTTGCTTCATCCAACATCGGACCGGTCTCGCGGCTCGAAGCATCGACATACTTGCGCATTTCCACACAGCTCGCCTGGAGATTCGAGATGGCATTGCCGATCTTGTTGAGCTGGTCGGCGACTTTACCAAAGTCATGTACAATGTCGCCATTGCACCGGATGAGCTCGTCCTGCACGTCTAGGCGCAGATTGCGGCGCGCGTCTGCGGTGACTTGCAGATGTCGCTCGTCCAGCACAGCCAAGGCGTCGCGGATCTCGAGGTCGGCGTACGAGGCGGATAGCACACTCGTGATCCGGTTCTGCAGGGCATTGGCCTTGCTGCCGCCCAGAGTCGCTGTCGTTGGTGGTGGTGGTGTTGGTGGGAGAAGCGCCGGCGAGAGCAGCGACGAGGCGCCACTCTCGTTCATGGGCGAAATTACGCGGTCAAAGTAGGGATTACTGGACATGGACATGTTACATGTACTGATGAAGCCGATATTCTCTATTCCCTCCCGGGTGGTATCGACGGTCTCGTATCGATAAGAGGGCGTGGGTCACGTGTGCGGTGTGATGGGCGCCGCCTTGGTGTTGTCCGAGTGTCCGAGCAACGAGTGTCCGAGTGTCGGTCCGGCGGTCCCTCACATCCTCTGGCCCTACTCCCTCTGGCCCTACCTCCTACCTCCTAGTGCCCTGTGCCCTCCTCTTCACTCCTCTCTTCTCTGCCTATAGGTAGACAATACACGGTATACCTACTCTGACCTAGTGTCCCTAGTGCCCTTAGCTCCGAAGATGATGATGCGAGGTACGAAGATCGCTTGTAGGTATTGACTGTCCATAGCTCCTATAGGCTATAGCCTGTACTCGCAAGTCTCATTATCTCTGTCCCTCTGACCAGGTACATGCCGATAATGAAGCTTTGCTCGTCCCGCCTGGTCTCGACTCTCGAACCAAATCATCCATGTCCGCACATGCCTCCTACATCAGGCTACATGTATACCTGATGTTCCCACTTCCCAGCAACCAGCCAGTGCATGTCACGCTACCGGACTACAGCACTCTTCGATACAGACCCTTCTCCAATCTACATACCTGACGGTCCTGACCTACCTACTACCTCCTACACACCTACACACCTACACACCTGCATACCTGCACACCTGCATACCTTACCTACATACCTTACACGCATACCGATACCTACCAATCCACCGACTTTCCCTTCCACCCTCGAACACTGTCTAGGTGTCCCCATCGCCTGCCCGCCCGCCTCCCTCCACGCTACGCCACGCCACGCCGGCCAGCCCACCCCGCCCCACGCGCGACTCTCGAGAGTTGATCAAACTCATCATCCGTCATTCCTACCTCTCCGTAGTCCCTTGACCACAGTGTCTACCGGGGCCCGTCTCCACCACATCCACAGCGGCCGCCCAGCATGGGCAAAAGGTGAGTGACTGCGTGATTCCTCCTGTGCGCCCCCATCGCTTTGCGCATATGACGTGGTATGCGCGCAATCTGCCGTCCTGTCCTTGGAACTGGATCGAGCTGAGCCGGACTCATCCTGGTTCGACGCTCTCGGTGGCGTGTGCTGGCAGGAATGATACCTCAGGTAGGTAGCTGGCTATCTGGTCCTCTGCGCGCACTGGAGCCGAGCACGAAATTTCAGACCGCCATCGTACTCGCTCTTCTGTTCAGTCCAGCTCAGGCCAGTGTAGCCATCACCGGACACCAGATCCACCAGCTCGACTACAGCGTACCTGCGCCATGGCCGACACGCCCACATCCGAAGAGCCTGTGTTTGCGGTGATACCAGACGTACCGTCACCGGAAGACAGTCAGCAGGAACAGCAACCAGAGGGACGGAGGACAAGCATCGCAACAAGCCATCACGCCCGGCCGCGCCCATACCATATCCCGCGCCTCCTCTCGCACACCTATCCCGAATTCAAGGCCAAGCAGGAATGCGCTCTGAAGATTGGGGTTCACGATCTCGAGAAGGAGATGTGCAAGAGCACCGGCGTGTCGTATTTGGAGATGTTCACGGACAAGCTGACCGTGAATCGCAAAAACAGTCAGAGTAAGCTCTCTCAGCAGGAGCTCGTAGATCTGCAAAAGGCCACACATTTCGACAAGAAAGAACTACAACAATGGTACAAGGGTGAGCAGCAACAACCACACCATCCCACCCGTCGCCAAATCGCACTGACCAGGAACCAACAGGCTTCCTCAAGGACTGTCCTTCTGGCATGCTTACCAAGTCCGAATTCCAAAAGATCTATAAGCAGTTCTTTCCGTTCGGGGATCCTTCATCTTTCGCAGATTATGTCTTTAATGTTTTCGATGCCGACAAGTCGGGAAGTATTGACTTTAAGGAGTTCATTTGCGCGCTTTCTGTTACGAGCCGAGGGAAGATGGAGGACAAGTTGGACTGGGCGTTCCAGTTATACGACATTGACGGAGACGGAAAGATCAGCTACGAAGAGATGCTCGCGATCGTAGAGGCGATATACAAAATGGTCGGCAGTATGGTGAAGCTACCCGAAGACGAGGATACGCCCGAAAAGAGAGTGAAGAAGATCTTCAGAATGATGGACAAGGACGAGAACGGCAGTCTCGATATGGCTGAATTCAAGGTATGCTCGACATCTGCCGAGATGGGGGGGCGCCTTCACTAACAGAATCGTCGCAGGAGGGCTCAAAACGAGACGAAACGATCGTGTCGGCATTGTCATTGTATGATGGCTTGGTATGAGGTGCGGAAGACTCCCGGATTTATGAGCTATGAACTAGAACGGCAACGGATCAGCAGTAGAGCACGGTCTTGATGATAGAAGAGGGTCGCAGGATCCATGTCTGCAGGTAGGGTCAGAAGAGCGACTATGCATAAGCCGAATGACAGTAGCAATACGTGCAAAAAAGAGTCGTGGCAGAGTGAAGGTCTGGTGCAGCAGGGCCCGATGAGGGAGAGTTTGCGCTTGGTCGAAGAAGCAGGATGGATACTGCGAATCTGATGAGTTCTCTCGCCTCTGTCCTCCACGCCCTGTCTACCCAGGTAGCAAAACGCAATTCCATCGGTGATCACCGTCGGCGCTTCTCAGCCAACTGCAATTCGTGACAGCAGCGCAAATCATCATCTCTTCAATCGATCAATTCTCACGCACTTGCCCTGATCCGCATGTCTTCCCTCTTTTCCACGACGAGCACAGATGGATCCTGTCGGAGATGGCATCGCACCAAGGTTCATGTACGTACGTACGCTGTGCGTATCTGCTCAAATCGACAAACTGCACGTTACGAAAACCCGGTCAGGCACATGTACATATGTGCCCACGTAGCACTCCCCCAAACTTCATCTCGATACCTAAGGGACCGCAGATATCCTCATGCGGCCGACGCAGCCCGCGTCATGCAAGCATATGCTCAGGTAGGTATTCACATGGAAATTTCCCTTTTTCTAATGAATGAACACGTACGTGACCGGCAGCGGACAGTCCGGGCTTCCCTCCTAGGTCCATGTACCTGTAGGTACATGTACCTAGGCTGCTTCACCCAAGTCCAGTCGTGCTTGCGGTCAGTAGTCCTACGCGTCGCATGAGACTGGTGGAGGTAGCAGCTCAATTTCGGGAGGTGGTGCAGAGTGAGTGCACTCTGATGTATTTCGGGATTGACGCCAAATGGGCACGGGAGGATTTGGATGGTTGGTGGTGCTAGTGATGACAGTATTCGAGCGAGGAAGGGCTTCTTCTCCATATGTACCTTAAGGTAACGCATCATGAAGAAGAGCCCGCCGAGCCCATAACAGGCATAAACTTGATTTTCCCTCGCGATTCGATGCTGCAGAGTGATATGTCAAGGTCTTGCACATTCCACGTTTTTCTTTTTTTCGTTTTTCTTTTTCCTTTTGTCTTTTTTGGGCTCCAGAGAGATGGCAGATCCAGAATGATCAGGGGCGCCGCGGAAAGGATGCCATTCTTCAACGCAGCAAGCCGCCAAGATCCTTCTCCATTCCGTTTACTCGTTCGGTCAGAGCGTGCTTCTTTCTTTCGAGCTCCTTGATTTCCGCTTCCTCCCTCGCCAGGTCCTCTTTCGAGATTCGTGCACTAGCGGTAGCGTCGTCGGCGTCCTCTTCATAGGGGAGCAGGTCCTCGTCATCGGAGACTGGCGTCCCATTCATGCGTGCAAGGTCCTCGATCTGCTGGTCGACTTTTGCCTCGTAATGTTTAATGTTGGCAGTCAATTGCCGATGTCGACTTCGTAGCAGTGCGATCCGATCAGTAGTTCCCGGGATATTATAGACTGCCAATAGTCGTTCGGCACCCTCGAGTAGAACTTCCACGTCCAGTTCGCCTTTGATGCGAGCAGAAGTTGATTCTTGACGGGTTCGATTGTAAAGGTCGCCACCTAGCACAGCGGCGACTGCTCGGCTCTTGGGTTGCCGTTGTCCATACACTGTAGCTCTCCGTTTGGGCGTCTTGACTGTTGACGTTGCAGAGACATTGGATTGCGTTCCAGGATTGTCGCCATTGCTAGATGTGCCTGGGAGAGGAGGAGGTGCCAAATGGAACAGCGCGCGCTCATGCTGCTCGGTATCGCGAATGAGCGAGGTGATGTCGTGCTGGGAGAGCAGAGCATTGGTGAACATTTTGGGTCCTGGAAATGGGAGTTCTGCTATGGAAGTGGCGCATAGCGAGATTTGCTCCAGGTGGGAGTTGAAGAGAGACCCCATCGCCTTGATATATTTTCCAGACGCCTTGTGCGCGTCCGCGAGGGCTCTTCGGTTCTGCTTAGTGTGGTGATATAATCTATTATCAATGTGAAGAGATATCGCACGTAGGAGACGCGTCTGAAACAGTTGCCTGCGGGTGGTGCCGAGCGAGCTGCTTCCAGCGAGCGTAGGTCACATCATCCACCTACCTGACCTTACCTAACCTGCCTGCCTACCTTAGTCTACCTTTCGCCGCCGCTACTGCTGCCACTCGCACATCTCCGCCGTCTTCATCACATAGGCAGCGAAGCCACTTCACATCATCCAGATGGCCGACAAGATGGATATCGATGCCGTCAATGGCGGCAAGAAGGAGGAGAACGTGGAGCCGGCGCCAGAGTTGACGGCCGAGCGAAGTGCGTTGCCATCAGCTGCCTCAAACATCGCAACTGGATAAGGTAGACATGCTGACCTGTCCCATTCACAGTCATTCAGAACAACCTGAAATTCATTAATCAGGCCGTCGAGACGTTTGATTCGCGATTCACACTACGCGCTCTCCGCAGCATATCGACGCTGCGGAAATCACCCAACTTCGCCGAAGCCATCGTCTTGGGCATTCGGACTGCATACCCCAAAGCATCGAGACCGCGACAGATATTAGAGGACCTGCTGCCAAAGAAGGCGCAGGTGGCGCTGAACGGGTCGACAAGCAAGGACAAGGACGCGCCTGAGCAGCATGTGCATCAGGAAGTGTGGGCATATCTTGGTGTCTTGGTGCAGGTGAGTCGTGATGGGCTCTGATGCTCGACGAACAAGGGACACTGACGACAGTAGGTGTACCTGTACGACAACGGCGAGTTTGAAAAGGGCGCAGACTTCAGCGATAACTTCGTGGACAAGATTCGGGAATGGAATCGCCGCACCCTCGATCAGATTGGCGCAAAGGCATATCACTACTACTCGCTGTTCACGGAGGAGCTCGACCCCAAGCCACCGTCCAAGCAGGCCAAGGTCATTGAACTGCGGCCTACTTTGTTGCTTGCACTTCGGTCTGCCGTCATCCGCAAAGACTACGACACTCAGGCCGCTGTGACGGTGCTCCTTCTGCGGAACTACATCAGCACCGCCGACATCACGCAAGCAGATCTTCTGGTGGCGCAGACACAATTCCCAGCTTCTGCATCCAACAACCAGGTATGCCGCTACCTCTACTACATTGGCCGCATTCGAGCCATCCAGCTCGCCTACACGCAAGCGCACGAGAACCTTGAATCAGCAACACGAAAGTCACCCACGGCCGGACCCGCTGTGGGTTTTTACCAGCAATCCATGAAGCTACTCATTGTCGTCGAGCTGTTGATGGGAGATATCCCCGAGCGTTCTGTATTCCGCCAACCCCCTCTCGAGTCTGCCCTCTACCCGTACCTCAAGCTGGTCCAAGCAGTCCGAGTTGGAGACCTCCAGGCTTTCCTCAAGTGCGTCAGCATTAATGAAGCTCAGTTTCGTAAGGACGGCACCTACACCCTCATCCTTCGCCTACGACAGAACGTCATCAAGACTGGTGTGCGCATGTTGTCGCTATCGTATTCCCGTATCTCTCTCCGCGACATTTGCACGCGACTGGGAGTGGACAGTGAAGAGTCGGCAGAGTACATCACAGCAAAAGCTATCAGAGACGGAGTTATAGAGGCTAGCCTGGACCACCAGAACGGGCACATGGTCACTGTGCCTCAAAAGGATGCATACAGCACAACGGAGCCAAGTGAGGCTTTCCATGATCGGATAAGTGCTTTGCTGGGTATGCGAGACGAATGTGTCATGGCCATGAGGTATCCGATGAACAAGCATCGCCAGGAGATTGCTGAGGCTGCCAAGGCACGTGACCGCGAGCGAGAGCTGGCCAAGGAGATTACAGAGGGCGAGATTGACGATGATGGCGACGAGAACTTTTAGTAAGAGTCTCTCTTTCCTATCACGAGGAGGCAGAGCTATTCACAGGCCCTGTGTACCAATAATGCCGATAGAGCTGCTAGCGAGGTGTGCTTACTCGGCATCACTCGCCATCATTAGATTTTTAGTTGCTCTGCTCGAGTTGAACGCCTTTGTCAATGCTCAGGATTTACCGTTCGCTGCGAATGGCGAGGTGTCCCACGTGAAGCCCGCGATCCGATACGACAACCGCCCATTCCAGGACTGGTCGGAATCGATTGTGAAAGTTGCTTTTGATGCCATGCTATGATCTTCCTAAGCTCCGTCGTAGGACGCGCGCATATACCAGATGCGTCAGAAAGCAGCTAGAACAAGCCCACTGACAGCCTTATGCTCGCAGGATGGCTCTACCAATCGTCATTCCTACTTTCATCTTGTCCTTGATCGTAAGCATTATCCATCCTGTCCCCAAACTCTTCCACTTCGCCGACCTTGTCTCCGGCCCATCGCGCGGCATCTTCAGGTGCATCTTCTACCGCGTCGACAGCATTATCCCAACGATTCTCCACCCTCTCTCCAAATCTATCGAATCCTCCTTCAATATCTTGAGGAATATCCTCAACATCTTGGACCTTGCGGCCTGCCCATCTGGCAACATCCTCTGGTGCATCCTCGACATCCTCGACTTTGCGTCCTGCCCATCTGGCTGCATCTTCTGGGGCATCCTCAACATCTCTGCCGAAGTTGTCGAATTTCTCCTCAGCACGGTATTTGTCTTCTTCGACTCTGTCCTCAGCGCGGTATTTGTCTTCTTCAAATCTCTCCTCAGTTCCTTCGATTTTCTCTTTCATTTCGTGGCCTTCATGCATCAAGAAAGCTCCACCAGCTAAGCCGGCTGCTGCACCCAAGGCAGCGCCCATCCATCCATGGCCGCCAGACTTCTTCTTCTCTTCATGAACCTGTTCCTGGGTGGAAGAGCTTCCTCCTTGAGGGCCCATGGGGTAGTCGCTACCGCCTTGATGCTGTTGGTATTGAGGACCGGGGTGCTCGTAGCCTCCTGGACCCGAGGGACCGCCGTATTGGCCACCTCCATAGCCGCCATCATAGGATGCTCCATGTGCTTGCCCTTGGCCGCCAATACGGGGATATTCGAAAGTTCGCTCCCCGTTCTGGGGGTTGACGAAAATATAGCGGTTTTGTTGAGGCTCCCATTCGGCTCGCCATGGGTAGGGGAGGTCTCGAGGTGGTGGTGGACGGGAGTCGTAGCCCCCTTCATAGCCTCCTCCCCCTCCTCCGCCGCCGCCGCCATAGTACTCGTTCGAGGCCATATGAGGGGCGGTGTTGCTGCTGCTCTAGAATGGGTCGATGTGAGTGGTATTGGAGAGGCGGGAGCTGTGAGGTGTGAGAAGTGTGAGTGGAAAGGGAGATGTGAGCAAGAGGGGGGTCTTATACGAGAAGCCCCCACACGTGTCGAATGTGGTCAAGTCAATAGGACGGGGTTGCAAGTGCCTGCATGGGCCATGGGGATGAGGTCTTTCCACCCCTCGCAAGCACCCGTCACATCCGAGTGGGATGCATGCTGCTGATCTCCTACCAGCGCTGTACACCGCCACCACCACCGCCACCGCCGTGACGGAGCCACACGACGGCACTGACGGCAGCTGGAGTGGCAGTGTGAGCTCGACAAGGAAGAAGCGCCACCCAATCCTACTGTACCTGACCTTAGCTACATAGGTACCTTACGCAAGGAGCACGTTCGGTCGAAGTACGGAGGGAGGGTCGCATGAAGACGAGACAAGCTTCTACTTTTCCTTGGCAGGTGCTTGATTACTCTCTTCACACTGCATAGTTCCATTGTTCATCAGCGAAACTACCAGGTACATGTACCTCCGCGAGTGTCCGCCTCGGCGCCAAGCTTGGAAAGAAATCCATCGACATCACACAGTCCTCTCTCATCACCCCTCTCCCCCGACACCCTGACTCCAGGTCTGCGATTTGACTGGCTATCGACACAGCGCAGAGATCTTGTGTGAATACCTATATCACCGCCTCCAGGACCAGGTCTTGGCCTTCCTGCTCGCGAAGAGCATGCCTCCAAACGCAGTCTGCCAACTAGGTAGGTAGGTACTATGGGCCAGAGAGTGACATACTAGCAAGAACGGTAGCGACGGCTTTCGATTGCGCGGACCTGTAACGAGAGTCCGAGGGGAGAGACTCCAGCCACCAATCTCGCTCTGAGGATGACAAGAGCTTTGCCGCGTAGTATCCAACCCTCATCAAGGTGGAAACAAGTCTGCCGGTCGCAAGCTACTCAAGTGTCCTGAAAAGTGCATTCACGAATCCGCGCAGTGAACCTCTCGAACGAAAGCATGGATTTTCAAGATATGAACGAAAGACGGTCAAGATGAGCTGTATAAGCAATAACAAAAGATCAAAACGTCCGCAAACCCACTCCAGTACTCCCATAATTTCCAGCGTTAACTCCAGTCCCGGAACACCACTCGCCGGCCTTCCCTAAGTCTTCAAGTACAGTCGAGTCCGATCATCCACTCGTCAACCTCTGTCTCTCTTCTTAATAGAAAGTTTAGACCGAGCTAGCTTCAAGATCCCTCTTGCTAGAGCTCCAGACATAGGCCGGCTCGGCTGCCTCTGCGTCTCTCTTGCTAGAGCTCCAGACATAGGCCGGCTCGGCTGCGTCTCTCTTGCTAGAGCTCCAGACATAGGCCGGCTCGGCTGCCTCTGCGTCTCTCTTGCTGGAGCTCCAGACATAGGCCGGCTCGGCTGCGTCTCTCTTGCTGGAGCTCCAGACATAGGCCGGCTCGGCTGCCTCTGCGTCTCTCTTGCTGGAGCTCCAGACATAGGCCGGCTCGGCTGCGTCTCTCTTGCTGGAGCTCCAGACATAGGCCGGCTCGGCTGCCTCTGCGTCTCTCTTGCTGGAGGCCCAGATAATAGCTGGCTCGGCTACCTCTGCGTCTCTCTTACTAGAGCTCCAGACATAGGCCGGCTCGGCTGCCTCTGCGTCTCTCTTACTGGAGGCCCAGATAATAGCTGGCTCGGCTACCTCTGCGTCTCTCTTACTGGA